AGCGCATGCTCTGACCATATGGTTTCCAAGGTCAATCTGTTCAACAACTACGTTGAAGCAAAGTCTGATGTCTCTCTTGCGGATGGAAGTGTCATTCACATTGCTGGTAAAGGAGACATTCTATGTAATTCTTTTGGAGGAAATGTTGTTTTGCAAGCTTATCACGTCCCCAATTTAGGATCTCCATTAATCAGTATGGGTTGTCTTCTCAATGATGGCTATCATCTTTTTCATGATAAAGGAATAGTCATTTTAACTAAAGAAGGATATGCTGGATTTTGTGGTCAAATCAGGAATCGAGTTATAGAGTTGGACATCATCTTAGGCGCGTCATCCAAATCTTTCACTTGCAATAAGACGACATCAGCTGATTACAATGTGCTACATAGAGGTTCAGGTCACACAAACACTCAACGACTTCAATTGATGTATGGAGTGAAGGCACCTGATGAGTGGTTCTGTGAAGACTGTGTAATTTCTAAAGGCCATCGTCTTCCATACCCCAGTTCACTTCCAAAAGCTACTTTTCCTCTTCAATTTGTTCATAGTGATCTCAGTGGAAAGATGTCAACTGTTTCAGAATGAGGAGGACTTTATTATTCCAAGTTAACGGATGCTTTTACAAATTATAAACATGTGTATATTTTAAAAGCCAAATCAGAAACCATCTCTTATTTTATGAAATTTAAATCTGAAGTTGAAACTTTCCACAATTGCAAAATCGTGAGTCTAGTGAATGATCAAGGCAGAGAATACATGTCAAAGGAATTTCGTGAAATGTTACAAGAAAACAGTACAATTTCCTACTTGAGTGCACCTTATACTCCCCAGCAAAATCCTGTATCTGAGTGAGGTAACAGGACGACCACTGAAAAGGCTTGAGCACTTTTGCAACACTCTAACTTACCCATTTCCTTTTGGGCTGAGGCTGTCAATACGGCAGTATTCTTGGAGAATGTGACGCCGATGGCAAAGATCAATGGTCAAACTCCATATGAGTTATGGCATGGTAGGAAGTTTGACGTGTCCCGTCTGAAACCTTTTGGCTGCAAATCTTACGTGCTCATTTCGAAGAAATTTAGGAAGAAGTTTGATGCAACGTCAGCGCCAGGAATTTTGTTAGGTTATCAACTTGGAATGAAAAACTATTGAATTAGGCTTGATACGGGTGAAACGGTTTATTCTCATGATGAAGAAATTGGATTGATTCATTCTACTGAAATCCTGATTCAGTCTTTGACAACTCCGGTTAACACTCCTCCTAACTCACCCATTGTTCTTTCACTTGTTCAAGAAGACTTTTCTGAGGAGTCTTTGCCTGAAGTTCCTTTACAAGAGGAGAAGCATGGTCAATTGGTAAGACAAAATGAGCCGGAAGAATCAGAAAACCAATTAGTGTTGCATGAAAATCGTATGCAAATTGAACCAGTACCTGACATTCCTAATCCACCTATTCCACTTCCGATCGTCCCAGTCAAGCACTCTTGGGATTGGCAAGATTCAACTATACCAGCTATACATGACATTTCAAGTGCTATCGATGAATCAAACATTTTACCATCTGATTCAAAACGTGAAAAACACGGATGAAAGACATAGGAACTCTCATTACAAAATATGAGAACCAGGCTAAGGACAAGTCTTTACGGTTGGGAGAGGCGAACTGTGGTGAAACAAACCCTTACGCAAAAGGTGATAAATCAGAGTTCAAACACCCTGAAACCGGAGCTTACCTACAGAACAACCGCGCCCCAGTCCAGTCAGCATCCACAAATGGATACGCCGGAACAAGCTCAGAAACACAACCACTCAAGCGCAAGAGAGGCAAACGTGGAGGCCACTCAACATCTCACCACCCATCGGCCAGACAACCTCCTCACCATGCAGCTCCCCCACCGGTACATCATCACTTGCCAATAAATCCTACCTTGTATCAGGTCCAACACCCTCTACCACCTGCAGCCCCCATGGCTGCTAATCGATTTCCTAGCAGAGGTGGAAGAGGAGGATTCCAACAACCTAGAAATGAAAGCCCCAGAGAACCGTCCCACAAAGACGTAGCAAGCAATCTTCCCTACAAGACCAGCATATTCCAGAGCAAAAACGGACCAGTGTGGCCAAAGGGGATCAAATGTGATATGAAGATTCACGCCTGGAGAAATGCACTAGAAAAGCATCACCTCTTACCTCGGTTGCAATTCGTTCTCGACGGATTCAGAACAGGTTTTGACCAAGGTATCCCAGACCACTCAATTGAAGGCCTCCCGTTTTTCTGCCCGCCCAACCATCAGTCAGCTCTCTCAGCTAGAGAGGACATAGAGAAGAACTTAAGACAAGAAGTTGCAGCAGGGAGAATGTATGGTCCCTACACAAAAGAAGAAATGTCATCAAGGTACAAGTTCTTTCGGTCTAGCCCTCTTGGCGCCGTGATAAATGGTGATGGTTCTTTCCGCCCAATGAACAATTTATCTTTCCCAAAACGAGACCCAAGCATCCCTAGCGTCAATTCCTTTGTAAACAAAAATGAATTCAAAACGACGTGGGACAACTTCGAAAAAGTCGCCCTCCACATTGCAAACGCATCAGTACCATTACAGATTGCACTTTTTGATTGGCTTAAAGCCTATAGGCAAATCGGAACACACCCCAACCAGTGGCCCTCCCTACTGATCCAAGACTTCAAAGGCTTCCTTTACATCGACCTATGCATATCCTTTGGGGGAGTAGCAGGCTGCAGGAGCTTTGGTGGCCCCACAGACGCATGGAAGGAGTTAGTAGAAATGGAGTTTGGGCTAAACAGGGTGTTCCAATGGGTAGATGACAACCTAGTCATCAAAGAAAAATCAAGCACACTTAGCATGCATGAAGTAGTTGCTTACAGCACGAGCTTAGGTGTGAAAACAAACGAAACCAAGTTTACACACTTTAGCAACGAACAGAAGTATATAGGTTTCCTTTGGAATGTCAACAAGAAAACCGTTTGTCTACCTCCGAAAAAGCTACAAGAACGTCAGACTCAACTGTCAGACTTCCTGGCCAAGGTTGATTACACCTACAAAGAAGTCGATAAGATGTACGGATGCCTCAGTCATGTTTTGTACATTGCCCCCCAACTACGTTGTTACTTACGGACAGGTTATTGCTGGAAATGCGAGTGGGTTAAACATGAAGCCAAACGCAAAATGCCCCCTCATGTTAGGAGTGACCTGGAAGTCTGGAGCAAAGACCTAGACAACTTTCCAAACCAACTCCTCTTGAAGTCTAGATTGGTTAATAACATCGGTTGGGTAGGTGATGCGTCTACGTCATACGGCATTGGTGTAATCATAGGAAAGTCCTGGGGACAATTCAAATTGAAACCCGGATGGGACCAACCCCTCGACGAACCAACTCGTGGGATCGCTTGGTTGGAAACAGTCACTGTACGTCTAGGACTGCTGATAGTACAGAAGCTGTGTTCCCTCGATGGAGAAAGGTTTCTAGTCTTAACGGACAACACGACAACTGAAGGAGTCTTACGTAACAAGTCCTCCAGAGATTTCTGGGTCAACAAGGAATGGAAAAATATTTCAACCCTCCTCTTTCAGAACAACTGCCAACTGGAACAGTGACGGGTGTCTACGTTAGACAACGCAGCCGACGAGTTGTCAAGAGGACTTCCCTCTTCTAAGCCTTGGTACCTGCAAGTCCACATAACTCTCCCTGACAACTTACGACCCTGGTTAGAGAGCGTAGAAATTCCAACACAGACAGAGCTCCTTTAAAACCTTCACGACAACTACCGACCTTGTCTTCGTCGATTACCTCCTTTTTGTAGTACTAAACACCCCATTTCATACCTCGTTCTAATACATTTCCTCTTCACATCTTCCCTATCTTGTCTACCATCGTTCATCCTGCTAAGTCCCAACCCAGTATCAGTACCATATATCATTCACCCTAGTTCATATTACATCCAACCTTCTAATTCATACACCATCCGAACCCTCTTGGAACTCTAGCTTGAACCTTGAGAAAGGCCTTATTCCCTACATCGATACCACAATACCCGGCATGAAGTGTATCAAATCATTTCTCCGGATAAAAGACAATGTCAAGCGCCCCTTAACTAGAGCGCAGCGACACATGATCCGGGCAGGATGGTGCTGTTCAACTATCAAATCCTACGCATCCAGCGTGAAGAAGTTCAAGCTTTACACCGCCCTGAAGCGCAGACCAGCCTTTCCAGCCTCAGTAGACACAGTAGAACAATTCATCGTTTGGGCCGGACATAACGTCAACCACCGCGCGACAAACAAACCCGTTAAAGTCACAACAATAACCAAATACCTAACTGCTTTACGAACCTGGCATGCCTTCCACGGATACAACTTTCCCAACATCCACTTGACCTGATTGAAAACGCTACTCAGAGCATCGAAGAAGCTGGAAGTCAGAGCACCAGTTCAAAAAGCAAACAGACAACCAGTCACGCCACACAGGGGCAAAAATTGATGCTCACAACTATGTGAGCGTTGAAATTTTCTTGTTTTGTTCCCATTTGTTTCCCATTTGTTTCCCATTTCTTTCTGCTTGTCAGCTCAGTGTGTGATCGACAGAAACTGAGGAGATGAGTCAGGCCTCCCTCAGGCAACATTCCTTAGCAAAGAAGTGTGAGGGAGGCCTGACCCATCTGCTCCCTTCATCTAAGCCCCTCAGCTCATCCTCAGCGGCATCCCTTGACACCTGTGGCTGGCTGGGCTTTTGTCAAGCTAGCCCCGTGTTGGGTTTTACAACACCAACCCAAACTGTTTCGGGAACAAGGGCAACTGGGACGTCTCCAACAGTGCTGACTGTCAGCTCAGCTGACAGTGATCACTTTCACGTCCCTTTTTACGCATGAACAGCTCCAGTCTACATTGGACTCCTCGAAACCTGCCAGCTCTGGTCAAACCACGGTCAAGAGTGTGCCTGACTCGACTACGCCTCAGACTGAATCTAACGGAGTCTGCAATCTCGATATGATGAATCATTCACCAGTCACCGTCGGTAGGTCCTCAACCTGTCGTAGTCAGGTTCTCAGGTTCAGGAAGATATAATATTGACGTGCCATTCACGATATTTAGCAAACCCCCTCATAGTCGATGATGAGCGTTTGAGTCGGTTTTGTGAAGAATATGCTGGACAGGCACCGCAATCACTGCAAGAAATTTCTCAGAACAATCAAATCCTCTACCTCACAACTCGCGCCAACAAGGCCAACTTGGCTTTTTATCATCTACATTACCAATTTTCTCGCTCGCTGGATACACTCTCGGCACTCAAGATTATCCCGGGAAGCAAGGCTTGTGACTGGGACCGGTCTTTTGTGCAGGAGATTGCTCAATCTGTTGACATGTATGTCCATTGCGAGATACCTCATGACGCTAAATGGGATCCCGAAACATCCGACGAGGTAGACTTGGTGACCACATCCCGGTTTGAATGGTGGGTAGTCTTCATGAATTATTCTTTGATTGAGATGATTGTTGAGCTTTGAATTGTCTCATTTGCCCACCAGTCTCCTTGCATACTTGAAAATCGTTGTTCATCGACACTTGATTGCTACTCATCCTCAGCAAGAGCTCAAGGCATGTCTGGTCGCATCTAAGATGCTGATAAATGTGATCGACCACCTCAACAGCCGAGGCTTCCTTGAGCTCAGCGCTACCTGGACACCTTACGTGGTCAGTGTGTCGTATTCAAAGATGTGTTTCTCGAAATAGATCACATTCACATTTACATATATATATCCATCGCGTACTTCATCTCCTAGATCACTCCGGCGGCCCTTACATTCATCTTTGCCGTTTCTACTTGACACGAGTTTATGACAGCCTCTTATCGAGTAGAATCTTATGCGGATGCCTACCGATGCGTGAATATCCTGGCCGCATTGGCACCTACGTTAGTGCTACTTAGCTTGTAGGGTGCGCCACAGTCGTTGACCTTTGATCTACCCTATCGCCACTTCAACACTCGCACACATGATAGCACGTTCCAAGCTGCAAAATTGCACGCCTCGTTGGAGCACGTGCTGAAGTGTTGCGATGAAGAAACCCTCAACCCGGGCTCGACTCTCTGGAGTTCAGCAATTCAGCCAGGAGCGGGTGAAACTTAGTCGCTTTCACCTTGTTCTTCTTCAAATACTGGAATTGCACAAACATCTTGCGCTCTGAATGAGCTCCCGCCAATGAGTGCGACTGCACCAGAGCTCCCATCACTTAGCGCTGATGCAAGTGGTGCTGTCTACGTTCCTGATACTTGACCGGTCACACTTGAGTTATTGAATTTCGCCGCGCCCCAGCTCGATGCTTCCTTGTTTCAATTCCCAGGAACAGGATTCAATGTACCAGCACCGTGGGAAGCACCACAATGGACCCCCAGATTCGGATCCTCTCTCTATCCCTGCCAACGCTCGGGTACAATGACTTCGTTCCTCAATCGTTCATTGGTCCGAACTCGATTGACGGAGAGCACAAAGCTTTGGATACTTCACCTCTCCCTAGTTGGGCTTAAGTAAACTGGTTCATCTACTGAAGGAAGTAAAGAAGTTGAAGTATCGATAATCGTATTAAATTCATGAAACGTTTTGGTAATTGTAATCGAATCTCTTGGACTATAAGTTCAAAATAAGTCAATGAAAGTACACCACCAGAATTGTTTGAAAATTCAAGAAAGATATAAGTTAATGAAGAATTGATTGATATAAATTTCCACTCAACTTTTCAAGCCAACCTAATCTAAAATCGGTTTTCACAATCCTAGTATTGGAATCGAAGACTTCAATACCTTGAGCTTTATCAACTAAATTATCCCACATCCCTCTAAGCTTAGGAGGATTCAAAACTGATTTAAAATCATCCACATTAACTTTAGATTGATCAATCCAAAGATCACTGATAGCTCTAACCACCATTTGACCATATGATTTTTTAAGATGAATTTGTACATTTGAAAATCAATCGGACCGATTCCATTTAATAATTCACGTGGGTTTGGTTTCGAATCTAAAAATGGAGTATGTGGATTTACTTGGGTTGCAGTAGGTGGGATTGGTTTCCATTGATTTGATTGATTTGAAGATAATAATGATTTGAATTCTGATAAAGCTTTGTTTAATGTATCTTGATACCTTTGATGTGTTCTGTTGAAGAATTATGAATGAGATTAGTTTAAGATTATAGATTAGGAAAGAGATGACTAACTGTTCAAAGGAACCATCCATAGTTCGGTAGACTTTTGAGTGATTTTAAGATCTTCAAAGACATCCAAGGGATTAGGAGATTTGATGATGAATGATTGATGAATTGAAGATAAATACTTGAAGGTGGTCCAAAAACCCGGTCTCTGCTCAAAAACCCGCGGAATTTGGGCCAGGTTCCGGTCGTGATTCTTGGGTACCCCACAAACCAAATTTCAACAAAAGCGGGGTAAATTTGTGGTGTAGTGCTGACATATATTGGGAAGGGTGGTGAAAAAAAAATGATTTTTTTCCATCTTGGAGAGGTTCTGAGCTGTTCTGAGTATGCCTCATGAGCGGATCCTGAATACTCATCTCAGAGAATGAGCCCACAGAATGCTCATCCAAGATGAAAATGAGCATTCTCCAGCAATGCCAAGCAAAATCTGAGGAAAACAGCCTGATTGCCTGAACACTACCAAACTCATGAATTGAATGATTCTGAAACAAAATGAATCTTTTTTGGAGTTTTCAGGAAAGTCTACAACGCTCACATAGTTGTGAGCATTGATTTTGGCCCCTGTGCCAAAAGCTCTCCTCTCTCTAGTGTCAGATATTGCCGAGCTGGAAGTAGACTCCAAAGGCTTAACCGCTCTGGTCCTCGTTGCATACTGGGGACTCGCCCGGTTGGGAGAACTCGTATACAAATCAGTCAAACATTACAGACACAATCATACTGCCATCCTAAGAACAGACGTTAGAATTTACACCAAGCACACCAAAGAGGTAGCTGAAATCCAACTTTGCAAAGCTAAAACGGCTGCTCCAGGAGAAATTCAACTCCTAACTTTGAGGGCCTCAGGAGGCGTCCTCTGCCCGGTAGCCGCCCTACAACAACTACTGACTAGCTTAGAAAAAGTCAAAGACCCATGTTTGTTTCTGACTCACGAGGCAAATGGCCACGCGGCAATCACGAGACCAATAATGACAAAGATAATGACGAGAACTTGGGGAAAAGACTCGAAATTGAGCGGCCATTCTTTTAGGATAGGAGGAGCGACCCTGTTGACCAAGGCAGGAGTGCATTTAGATGCTATTACAGCCCTCGGCCGGTGGAAATCTTCCTGTCACACCCTATATCAGCGTGAATGGAACAAGCAAGAATGGAAAGCAGCAAAGAGAATCTTACGTATCACGGAAGATGTCATTCCAAGGTACCATTGAGCTTTCTTAACCTCTCCCTATTCACTCAACACCCCCCCTTGTTGTCCTCCCTTTCACACTTTCATCAATTGTCTTTCCTTACTTCCTGTACCCTGTTGATATTATCCTTGTCATTAGCAATCTAGACACGATTTGTGTTATCTTTTACACCAAACAGATAGGTTGCCTCCTTGTTACCTTGACAAACACAAAATACCCAAGATGTGAAGGCGACAGGGAAAGGAGAAGCCTAACTAGGCTCAGGCCTGCCACCCAAGAAAGGGATATTTAGGCTTCTCCATCCCCTCTAGATAACGTACTCAAACCTGAGAAGAGACAAATGAACTCTACAGGTTTAAACTTCTTCAACGAGGATTTCCAAACAGAAATCTCGGAGAAGAAGTAGATACGATTAGAGGAGAATTCATACTCTCCCCCAGAAGAGATGAACTCTCCACAATTGTTTCTACTTACGCATAACTATAAAGTCCAGGTTTTGTCGGAAGTAGGAACTCCCACGAAACCTACCGCCCACATCTATTCCTTCCCTCACTTAGTAGGAAACTAAGCAAGGGAAGGAAAAATCTATTGATAATATAAGAGTTACAAATTTGAGAATGGACTCCCCGACACTACCTCAATCTGACTCCTTGACGATCTTTGACTGACCACTTGTCATTGTCTCTTTGGAGTCAGTCAGTCTGTAATTAAAACATGTACTTTGGTTCTAGAAAGCTTTCCACCACTTGTGTGGTGTAGACCTTCCAACTCACACCTTATAAAGGTATATAATCAATTCCTAAACCTTCCTTCCTTCCTCTCCTTCAGTGAGGACACTCAAAGTCCTTACAGTTACTTCCTTCATGGATATATCTTGCATTGCGTCCCTTGAGCAAGTGGCAAATATCCTGGGTTCTGAAAACTGTTGTGCACATTGGGGTGAATCTCTTATATAGAGCTATGAAGAAGAATATGTGTGACAAGGGAGTATAGTAAATTGACCCTTGACAACCCATTACAACAAATAATTCATCTCCTGCCATCTGCTTCCAACAATTATTTGATCACAGAGGTAGCAAAAACCTTGAAGTTGTTTTACATGCACTTTCACACCACACATGTTGTGGTAGAAAAATCAAGTCATCTCTTAACAATCTGAGAGCCACAGTTGCAAGTTTTGGGTATAGGGTCGTTTGATTGACACCAAGTCTGACACTCCATCTCAGAACGACTCATATCTACGTCAACATTAACCAATGCTTCATCAGCTGATATGATTCCTTTTTCGCTCTTGGGATTCTTGATTGGTGGCGCCAACCAAGGTACGACTTGGCGCAGAGTTCCATGACTGAGAGTAACGTTGATTCAGACATCAGCATAAATGCTTATAGAGAGAACAACGCGAGTTGAGGAAAAATTTCCCAGAACCGATCCAAGGAAAATTTCTCTCTCAAGTTCTCTCCCACGCCTGATCAACGTACACCAGTCTTCAGGAACTCTAAGTTTAAATACAATTTACGAAAATTATATATTTAACCTTTTCAAATATCAGCTAACCAAGAAAGTATCCGGATTGCAATAACACACGGATCAAGACACGAAATGGTTACATTTGCACAAGAACTTATAGAGTCCAGAAGACTAGCTGAGCAAGCACTAGCTAATGGAGAGTCAGGCCCTAGTACAAGGAGTAGATCAAGAAACCGAGACGGAGATCAAAATGAAGAAATAGAAGTTTACAACCAGAACGAAGATGATCCTATCGAAGGAATTGAGGAAGATAACGGGGACGACCCAAAGAACGACTTCAACGACGAAGAACTAGAGTATGTGGAGGAAGAAGAAGAACGGAAGTTAAACAAGACCGACAACATACCAATTCCTCCATACGGGAGATTAAGGCAACCGAGGGATTCCCCCGACGAAATCGAACGACCAAAGGGTTTGGCCATGATAAACGTGGAGAGGGATCTAAGACAAGGTACAGACCATGACCAAAGTTTCATCCTGCATATATATATACTTTCATCCTTCTTAAGATCCTTTCCCCCTTTCCAAAGACATAACTCCAAAGACATAACCTACCCCTCTCCCAATTCCACGTCCTATCCTCTTTACAACTCCACATCATTCCGGACACCATATCAACTCCTTTGAGGTAGCCATATATGCACCATCCAAAGGCCTCCGAAGCCTAAGAAACCTATCCAAGGAGCGGTATAGATAGATGTAGATGTGACCATCACGTACCACGGATAAGGAGAAGATGATGTTGATGTGTCCATCGGAAAAACGAGACAAGGACTGGGTGTAGACGTGTCCACCAGGAAAGTCGAGCGATGTTGAAGTGACCATCTGTAAATAGAAATAAAAGTAGGAAATGATGTTGATGCGACCATCTTCCGGAAGGCCAAAAAGTAATCCAGAGGGGACAAATATCACATAGAGAAGAGGACGTCAGAGGAAATGTTCGGCTACCGTGTAGTAAGAGAGTCCATCCCACGAAGAGGTGGAGTACCGTTACGCACAACGAGATGACCAAATAGTCGGAAAACAATACGGCACAAACGTATGCCGGACAGATTGGAAAAAGGAAGAAATGACCTCAGTGACCAGACTTAACCAGACTTAGTAGAGGGTTGATCATACACACCAATTCACAATCCATCCCCCCCCCGGAATGAGTGGAGGAAACGGTTAAGAAACGAGGAACTGACATAATACCGTTATCATCCTCCCGGGTAGATGCACAAGACGAAAGCCAAAACAGTTGGTGGCGAGCAATAGTCAAATCCTTTGACGAAGGCAACTTGATGCTAGGACAAACAATGCTGTCAGCTTATGAAGCAATGTACGGAGAAATCCCATTCAACCCGGAAGCGAATGATGGCAGACAAACCGAGGCCCCCAAAGAAAGAGGGAGGACAAGACAGCGACGTCCCCGCACGGAGTCCCTAATCCTAGATGAGGAACCCGTCACGGTGGAAATGACCAGAGACCAAAGACGACCACCAGATGAGAGAATCACAGTCCAAGCTAAGTCGACGAGAGCCCCTCAGAGCAATCCCCCAACGGGTCCCAGGAAGGAAAGAAAGCGATCTTTACCGGTTGAAGAAGATTCAGAGAGCGATGCTTTGTCAGACCCCGAAAGAGAGATCAACTTCGTTGACGACCAAGAGCTGTCAAACAATCACCTGCTGAAGTTATCAAACGGCCTACATCAAAGAATGACAAAATTACAAGCATATGTTCCGTTAACTGTTTTCAATGCAGACTGGATAGAGAAAGACGTAGAGAAGGCTGGTCTCAAGAAGGTCAAGACCGTGAAGGAGCTCCAAGAAGGAGACGATGTGCCAACTTACTCAGGCTTGACTCCAAAAGACAAACTCCTGCTGTCCTACGGCGAGTGGATGGACTGCATAGATCTATTCATCAGATATGTCGAAGAGTTTTACCACATGGAACGAACGGCAGAGATGTTCAGGAAGCACAAGGCCAACGTAATTGATATTAGGAGATCTACATTGTGCTGGATGGTTGCCTTGAGATATTGCATCAAAGTGAGAAAGTTAGTCATGCAGAATAGAACCAAGAACGGCAAGCGACAGATGAACAATGCAGGTATCTTACACCAAGACATTCTACGAGCGGCCAAGGACAAAGCTGAAGTATGCGGCGAAAGGAGCTACGCGGAGAACCCGTACACGACCACGACCGGCGAGAACAAACTCCAATCATCCAACGGGAGACCCCTGGCCAAGAACGAAGTGTCCACATCAAGCCAAGATGCAAACGGCTGGAAGAATAGTTCAAAGAGCAGAAGAAACAACCACAACAGCAACAATAAGCGGAAGAGCTTCGACCGTAACATCAGCTATAGGAAGAACTGGAAAACCGACTATCATGGCGGAGGCCACGGAGGTGCATCATACCACCAAACACAGAACACCGGCTATTATTCCAACTGCAATCATCATAACGCCCCCTACAACAACACCTTCCCCTCATCGTCCTCCGGTTTTCACCCATTGGGCCCATACGGTGGAAACGTATACGGTAGCTCCTTTCATCCATCGTACAGTCAAGGTGGATCTATGGCAAGCACGAGCAAGCCACATAACCAACTGGCAATCGTGGCAAAGCCGAGCGGAAGCGGGCAAGGAGGCGCTTTAGCCATCGTGAATAGACAAAACGGAGGGGGAAAACAGAACTGGTAAGACCTACTCACCTCACATTGTCCGTTCAACCACCACACCTAACACCCCCCCCTTTTTTTTTTTTTTTTCTTCCCTTTCACCCCACTCTTACGCACGTTTCTCCTTTGCACCCGTCAAAAATCACCAAAGAGGTTCTTTGTGTAACCGGTGACACCCTCCCTGATCCCGTCGGTCAAAGCCTCATCGAGCGGTGATGCCCAGGGCGGTTGGTGTGAACCCGGAAGGCTAGGAAAAGACTTATAATATATCTAGTCCTAAAAACAAAGTGATGACGTTGTCAGAGGTCATGTACAATGTGATAGTTTGAATGATAGTGAATAGAAACTAGAACCGTGCTCCAAGTCCAGTTGTACACATATGTATCTAGACGTCCTGACTTGCAGAAGAAATGAAACTCACAAATGCCTCATGTGCCCCTGTTCAACCATTTAGCAGCATCCGAGAGAGTAATGGCGTGCCAGACCACGAAAACACGATGGAAACGGATGAGAACAGTGAGGCACGGCTGAGAGCAGAGAGGACGCCAAGTGCACAAAAGACCCCAGGCCATGGCAGCCAGAGTGTCACGGGAAAGAAAACAGCGTCAGCCGAGCTAGAGCAAGAAGGAGAGAGTGAGTCACAGCTAAACTCACGTAGCAGAAGAGTTAGGAAAGCATACTGATGCGGGGACTGCTGCTCAAATAGGCGAGATACCAGAGCTAACACCAAACAAGGAATGGCCGTCATCAGTAGAGTGCGAGATGAACCTCGTAGAGTGGGAAAAGAAACTAACGCAGCTGGGGTTGCTGGAGAAACACAAGAAGATCATGGAGGGTTTTCGAACGGGGTTTGACCAAGGCATACCGGAGCACGTTGTAGAACTTATAACCCAACAAGGGTTATACAGAGCTGGAAGAGGATAATCTACTAATAAAATGACTAGTAGAAGTTGTCTAAGGACTGCTCTTCTAAAACAACACAATCAGAAAGAGCTCTGTTGTATTGAGTACTGATAAGGCACCAGAGAAATATAACTTCACACGTAATTTTAACTTCAAAAGCACACTTTGTATTACTATCAACACTGCTATAGTGTTATTCCCAATTGATAACTGAAAAAAAATAAGCAATATCTGATTGATATTATTCCCAATAAGTCTTTATGACTATAAAACTAAAGTAAATTTCTCTTTATAACTGTAATAAAGGGCGTATTTAAGTGAACAGGTACTATTAAAATAAGTTTATGATGATAAACAAAATAATAATGGCGTAAATGATAAAGAAAAAAAAAAAAAGGGGGAACAACAGTCCCAAAACCCTCTCAAAGTATATATAACAATGTACTAGAACTTTTACAATGGTCAACAGCCTCAAAACCAATCAAATCCGCCCAAAATTCCCTAAAAACCCTATGATGACGCAATGTAATGGTTTTGTTACTAATAAATGATGTAATTTTCACAGCTAAAAGTGATCAATGACGCAATAATATGATGTACAGCACTTCTTATGATGAATACAGGTGATTTTTTTCTTGTAAACTAGCTGAAAACCAATTTTTGAGATTACGAATTTTTTCAGATGTGCTCCAATTTTTGATTACTAAAGTGCATCTTGTAGTCCACGTGTTACTGATCATTTCTGACACCTACATGACCTACTTCTGATGAGTGATGAGTAAGATATTGAGTTGTGAAGTTAAGGTTTTTAGTGTTACATATGACTTGTGACTGTAAATTCGAGATTCACACCAATTCTTTATTTGCCTTATAACTTTTTACACACACCTCCGTTACTAATGATTTAAAGTTTGTACATTATGTAATCCACTCTTCTGCGTTGAATGAGCCATCTACCAACCTATTCTGACGTCATTTGACATATGTAATTAGCTGAAAACCTCCATTTTCCACGAATTTCACCCATTTTCTTCACTTTTCACAGCTACTACTAAGCCTTTCTTGCTCATGTAATATTACATCATCATCTATAGCCTTAAAAATCCCGGAAAATCCTCTTGGCAACCTTAAATTCCATCACTACCACTATTACACAACCAAACTACACGTGTACCTCTTGTTTACCAACTTCGAAAAAGTGCTTTCTTCCTAATAACTTCTGTTTCTACTTATCAACCTTGAAGATTAAAATTTTCATAGTATCATATAATGTTGTTCTTTCATATTCTAACCTCATAATACCCATAACTGTATTTTTACTAACCTAAAAACCATTTTCCAACCTTTATACCTATAATTTCGAATTTTTCTTATGTTTTTCTTTCTTTCTTTTTGTAATAAATTTGTAAGTAAACTATAATGATCTTAATATATAATGTGAAATAAAATAATGTAATGTTGACCTAATGACCAATACATAAGCCTACAAGAGCTTCAATTGATCAAAAACCTCCATTTCGAATTTTCTTTCCTGCTGAATCCTGCTAATAAACTGGTAAACTGGTAATTGTGAATTTTTTAATTGATCCCATAAATTGATCACCACAACGTCCTAAGAAACATACGCTTCTACTCCCCGATGAACCATGATAGATCGAAGGAAGCAAACAAGATCATTCGGGAGAAGTTGCAGAAGGAACTAACAGCCGGCCAGATGAGAGGGCCTTTCACAGAGGAAGAGACCCTAAGGAAGGTGGCATTCTTCAGAACCAGTCCGATGGGCGTGGTAACAAACGGCGACGGCACTAAGCGTATAATCAACAATCTGTCATTTCCTAAATACAACAACGACCTGCCATCAGTAAACTCGTTTGTGGATAAAGACAAGTTCAAGACAACTTGGGACGACTTTGCAAAAGTCGCCCTATTCTTTGCAAATTCGAAGGGAGAGTTGCTCCTGGGTATCTTCGATTGGGAGAAGGCTTACCGCCAAATCCCTACCCATCCCAGTCAGTGGAAATATCTAATGATAAGAACAGACGACGGCTCGATAATCCTTGACACACGAGTATCCTTTGGAGGAGTAGCGGGGTGCGGAAGCTTTGGAGGCCCCGCCAACGCATGGAAGGATATAATGTGTTTACACTTCGGCTTCAACATCGTCTTCCGGTGGGTCGACGATAATCTCTTTGTAAAAAGTGTTGACAGCGGCAACAGCACAACAATGGAAGATGTCGTAAAGCTGAGCGCGGAGCTGGGCGTAAAAACTAACAAAGGCAAATACGCGGAATTTGCCACCGAACAAAAATATATTGGCTTTATCTGGAATGGGCGCGACAAGTCAGTGAGACTGCCAGAAGAAAAGTTGGAAGCGCGAAAACAACAGGTAGATGAGGCAATTACGAAGAACGGGCCGCACACATTCAAAGAGGTAGAAAAGTTGAGAGGAAGGCTATCTCACCTAACAAACATATTGCCACAGATGAGATGTTTTTGTACAAACATTGACCACTGGATGGCGAGGTGGAAAGAAAAGAGAGCTCCAAGAAACATGCCAAAGGAGGTGCTAGATGATCTGTGGGAATGGAAGAGGGTACTACAAGAATTCACTAACCTGAAGCTGCTTCCCAAGAAAGAGTCGATCAACATGGGTTGGGTGGGTGACGCAGCGTCCAACCACGGAATAGGTGTTATGATAGGTAACCGCTGGGCCCAGTGGAAGCTCAAAGACGGTTGGGACCAGAAAGACGCGCTCGGAGTGAAACGCGACATCGCCTGGGCCGAGACGGTGGCGGTACGTCTGGGGCTCGAGATGATGGTCCAACTGACCGACGTGCGAGGGAAACGTTTCCTGTTCCTGACCGACAACACGACAACCGAGGGGGCGGTACGAAACCTCAAATCGAAACACGTCGCAGTAAATAACGAGTGGAGGTTGATACAACGGAGACTGGCTATATTAGACTGCGACCTAGAGGAAAAGAGGGTTACATCGTTAGAAAACGACGCAGACAAGCTATCGAGAGGAATTAGAGTCCGGAACTACGACTCAGATCGATTACAAATAGACGTACCAGAAGACCTGAAGGACTACATCGAAAGATCCAACGTTCGACTGTCCAGCCCTGCCAAGTAACCAAGAAATATATAACCTCCGAGAAGCCAGACCAAACCAGACGACCACATCCAGTATGACAGGCAGACCTAGTTTCGCGCAGATAGAAGATGAGATTGCCGACGAGAAAACGAAAAGCATAGCGAGACACATGGTCGGAGGGTCCTGGGCAGATTCAATCATGCAAGGATACACGAGTGCGGTATCAAAATTTAAAGAATACATAGAGGAAGATGGGAGAGACTGGAAGTCAGCCATACCGGTACAAGCGAACGACATCTACGGATTTATCGTATGGGCCGGCGAATCAAACATAAAGAAAGAGACGTCAGCCAAAAGGACAGTGAAAGCTAAGACAATTGAGAAGTATCTTGCTGGACTAACCGCATGGCAAATGGCGACCAAACTAGAACCCCCTGACCTAAATCAAAAAATGATAAAAGCTTTGATACGAGCAACGGAGCGAGCAGAAGAACGAAAGAAGCTGGACGGAGACGTCGAAGGCAAGACAGAGCCAAACGCAGTGAAACAACCGATCCAGACTCAAGAACTAATCGGTCTAGTATGCAAACTAGGAGGTAGATCGGAGTTGGAAGAAGTGATCGCGACGACTGCCCTGGTAGCCTTCTGGGGCATGATGAGGATCGGGGAGCTAACTAGAACCAAGAGGAAAGATGGGATGTTGATTAAAGGAGATGTGTCTTTCGAAGGTAGCGGGGAAAAGAAAGTGGCGGTATTAACCTTGTGGCGAGCAAAAACCGCGAGGCCCGGTGAATCTCAAACCATCCGTATCGCATCTCAAAGATCCATACTCGACCCCGTAGCTGCATTAGAGCGTGTTCTAGACAGGAACAAGAATCTGAGAGACGATGAAGTACTATTCGGGTACAGTTCGGGAGGTTCGAGGAAACCTCTAACGAGGAAAGTGTTCATTGAAGGATTGGAAAGTCTATGGGGGAAGGCCAGCGTCAAAGTCGGAGATTGGACGGGTCACTCCTTTCGCATCGGAGGAGCGTCACTCAGGTGGAACCTGGGATGGGAGAAGGAACGAATCATGAAACAGGGAAGATGGCTTTCGAGCGCAGTAGACGTATACCTAAGGGAGTATAGCAAGGAAGAGTTGTCTGAAGCCAAAAACTTGCTTTGGGCAATAGACCAAAGGAATAGAGACGGAAACGATGGTAGGTGCACACATCACGTTGCAGTCCCTATCATAGAGTCTGATGAGCTGAGACATGACCAAAATTCAACAGAAAAATAATACGAGGAAGGTTGGTCGACAAGTGATCGACCAGGTCCAGAAGTGAACAAGCGGATTAAAGTTCAAGACGGAAACTTCCCAGTACAATAAGGGACTATCACCAAGAAGCCTGAGCCAGACGGGTAGTTCAATTACGAAGCCAGACAGGAGTTAAAGTTTGCTCAGTAGCTAATACAGACAGAAGTGTATAGATCAAGTTGTGAGAAGCAGAAGAAATACGAACCTTGTATGCCGTGCCCCCTGCGAGCTTTGGGACTCCTCGACATGCCGAGCCTCGCCGAGTTCCCGTCAAAGTGGGTGGTGCCGAGCCCCCCCAAGAGCCCCCATAGTGCACGTGCTTGGCAAACGGTCCTGGGTTTTGCGTGAGATAGAAAGATTTTTCCGCCTCACGCAAACCAGACCGGCCTGCGGCCGCCATCCCAAAAACCGGCTGTCTCCCAGTGAAAGACACAAATTGGGAGATAGTCAGGATGGTATATATGTTAAAGTTACATATATGATTAAGCCCACAAATTAGCAAGTCTTGAAACTTGCTCTCACCAAATGGATTGGTGGCGCCAACCAAGGTACGACTTGGCGCAGAGTTCCATGACTGAGAGTAACATTGATTCAGACATCAGCATAAATGCTTATAGAGAGAACAACGCGAGTTGAGGAAAAATTTCCCAGAACCGAGCCAAGGAAAATTTCTCTCTCAAGTTCTCTCCCACGCCTGATCAACGTACACCAGTCTTCAGGAACTCTAAGTTTAAATACAATTTACGAAAATTATATATTTAACCTTTTCAAATACCACCCACCCACCCAGCGTGCTTGTGGGACGGTCCTGGGTTTTGCATGAGATAGAAAGATGTTTCCGCCTCACGCAAACCAGACCGGCCTGCGGCCGCCATCCCAAAAACCGGCTGTCTCCCAGTGAAAGACACAAATTGGGAGATAGTCAGGATGGTATATATGTTAAAGTTACATATATGATTAAGCCCACAAATTAGCAAGTCTTGAAACTTGCTCTCACCAAATGGATCATGGCACCAAAAGATTGATTGACTGATACAAAGATCACAAAGATGGTGGCAATGATGCTGAGATTCATGATGAGATTTCTAATTGGTTGAGCAAGGCTTAGTAATGTAATATTGTGGCAAAGTTTAGGTTAATTATCTCAAAACTCACCAGAATGCTAGAGCAACAGGGTTTGAGAAATTGTGTGTGCGGGCAAAAACGGATAGTGTATAAACCTGTCAAAAGGGCAAAGAAAGGGACCATAAAGTATGAGCTCAGTCTGTTTATAAACAATATCTCCAAAATTGGCTGAAAAAAATTGGCGAGAAACATACCCAGACAAGTGTGCAGGTTAGACAAATCACTCGATGAGATGATTGGATTGGATGGCAAATCATCATCAAAGTAGGCCACTTTTATATCCGTTGATGACTGCCTGGGTCAATGTCTGTCCGACTCTTCCCGGTCATCAGGTTCTGGAACATGATACTGCGTATGCTAGCATCGCCTTATGCAGATTCAGATCACGATTGCTTTCAACTGTGGACATTGTCGTGTTTTGGAAGGTGGAGAAGCTAGTTGTGGCCATATATGTCGATTTTCCTTTGAATTTTTGGTCTGCGCTTTCAGCACGTAAAACGGCTATTGTCGACCATGTTTTGCATCGCGGAGAAGCTGAGTGGAAACCCGAGCGTGATGATGACCTAAAGAATGACAATCGAGCGAGTCAGTTTAATTTTTGTAACAAGCATCAACATGTATGTAATACAACATCAGGCTGGATAACACGATTTGCTGAGAGGTGAGAGAAATGAGGTGGAGACAACAGGCGGAGCCGAATGATATATAAGCGAGTGGTTGATATACGGGGATGGGTATCACGCAGCCCCTTATCGGAAACACAGAGTGGTGTATGAAGCATTTCTTTTGACCTTCCCCGCTCCGCTCAAATTGTGTAAGTCTTTTGGTGTCTGAGGTTTCTATTGGTTGACATTAACAGTGTTTTTTTTTTTTTTTTTTTTTTTAAGTGTCATTAGAGCCGTAAGGCTATTAGACACTGCATATTTTCCAGCACCGGTAAAACCCCTCTGGCTGTGTCAGGGGAAAGGTTGCTGTTGGCTGTTTCAACTAGTCTACATTATGATGATGTTTTTAAACAATGTGTGGCGCTAAAGGATGTGGTGAAAGGAAATGGATGTTTCAAGAATTTAATCTCTAGGGGGTTGCCTGTTTGTTGGCAGGTCTTCTTCTGAGATCTTTGCCCAGCACCAACGATTTTTCAATCGCCATGTGCTGTTGCAATATGCGGCTATCGCTTTGAAAGCCGCCGGTTTGTTGAGAATGGATGTGTTGAGTGGGAGTTCGAGCTCTTTGATGACTTGTTCAAGTTGTTGGCGTTCTTTGTCGTATTTTGTGCATGTGAAGAGAAAGTGTTCTACGGTTTCAACACCTTCCTGGCATTCACAGCTTGGGTCTCCTGTCTGGTTAAATTTGCATAGATAATGGTTTAATGGGATATGACCTGACCTTAGCTGAGTGATTGCTGCAATCGAGTGTTTCTGGAGTTTGTTCAATTGTTTCATGTGTTTCTTTTGTTGAGGTTTATGTCCTAGTCTTTTCAGGTCGTCTGGATTCTTGATCTCCGCGTTTTTTGTTCGCCATTCTTTAATGGCTGTGATGAAACTCGCTGCGTTTGGGGTTGTTTTGAAAGTGCTTGGTAACTTTGTGTTCGCTTTCTTGTTGGCGATTTTGTCGACGACTTCGTTTCCATGTACACCTGCGTGACCTGGACACCATCGGATTACTATGCGCATATTGGGGAAGGACCTGTGTAAGTACATCATTAATTTGTATGTTTCTTTTCTGTCGTCTAATGTTGTGATTGGGAGTTTGTTTCAACGTAGGTCTTTGATGACGCTTTGGTTGTCGAGGAGGATGGATGTTCGACGTGTGTGAGGTGATGCGGTGTGTAATGCCATTGTGAGCCCCATTTGGACTCCCCGGTATTCCGCTTGGTATATACCGTGGGTTCGTGCTGTACCTAAATGTTTAGACACTGACTTGTTAGTGTTTTTACACCACGCAGCGGCTGCTGTGGTGCATTTGGGGATACGAGAGCCATCAGTAAAAATAATTACATGTTCCAGAGTTGCAGTGAGGTTGTTGGCCTCTCTCTTTGCTAGGCTCTTGGACTCTTGGATAATTGTTGTATAATTTGAAGGTCGGGTTAAGATGTCTGTCGGATCTAAAGGGATCTGTTGTATAAATTCCTCCAGCTCCTTACTGACCGGGTGCTGAAAAAATCGATGGAAGGGGTTGTGATGACTTTTTGGATTCGAATTTTGAGCTTGTTTAACGAAGCTAAAAATTGGTGAATAAGACGGTTTTGTTAATGCATTTGCCATGAAATTCATGATTTTACCCTGCAGTCTTATCTTCGGGGGTGTGAGGTTCGAGTCGTGTATTAGAAAAATGGTAGGCGTGGTTGATAGTGCTCCTAGAGCTGCTCTCGCGCACATGTGGTCGATTGTACTTAGTTGCTTGGTGAAGTATTCGGGTGGTTCGAATGGGAGCCACGCTGCTACCCCATAATCCAGCGCAGTATGAATGGTCGTGGTGATTAAGATGTTCATGAGTTTTGGAGAAATTCCCCATTCTGACTTAGACAGAGTTGTGAGAAAGCCGGCGCGCTGTTGTCCCTTGGTGAGGACCGAGTTTCTATGTTGAGAGAAGGTTAGTTTATCATCAATCTCTATGCCGAGCCACTTAGCCTTCCTCTCTGGTAATATGTTCTTCCTGTCGAAGAAGTTGATAGTTGGAGGGTCGTCAGTTTCTTTTGGATTAAATACAACCCAGAAGGTCTTTTTGATGTCAAAGATCGCTCCGTGATCTTTGGCCCATTCGTTTTGTCTAAATGCAAGTGTCTGCATCTGCGATTGTAGTTGGTGCTTGTCTCGTGCTGTGGTGAGTAACACTACATCATCAATGAAACCTAACGCTGTGGCGGTTTCGATCTTGTCTGTGATTTCGAGTAAGCCGTTGTTGTACAGGAGATATAGAAGAGGTGAGAGGGGTGATCCTTGCGGGAGCCCGTGGGTGAGATCAAACGGTTCCGATTCGAATCCGTTAAAGGAAAGTGTGGTCTGTCGATTACTTAGGAATCCGTGTAATAGGTTGATAGTCTGGCTGTTGAAACCCTTCTTCTCGAGGATGGATAGCAGTCTGGGGTGGTGGACGGACGGAAACGCGGACTTGACATCAGCAAAAAGAGCACCTACTATATGTCCTTTGGTCCATTCTTTGCAAATCCAAGAAACCAGATGTGTCAATGCTTTGTGTCCGGATTTGTTGGGTCTTCCTCCATAATGACCTTCATGGAGAAGTCGTTTGTGTTCCACTTGTTCTGATAAGTGTTTCGTGAGTATCTTTTCGTAAATCTTACTTAGGGTGAGCAGGAGTACGATTGGACGGTACGCCAATGCAGCCGTGTAGTCTGGTTTTCCCGGCTTCGGGATCATGATTGTACGTGCTTTCTTCCAGTCCTGGGGGATGAGACCGGTTTCTGTGACTTGCAGAAAGAGACTTCTTACGTGGTTTTTGACTTTATGCCATACTCGTTTCCATACCCAATTCTGAAGGCGATCTGCTCCAGGCGCTTTGAGTGGTGGTACGCTCATGACAACCGATTTGATATTCTCTTCTGTCAAGTAGGCGAAGAAATCTGGCATCGTGGGATCTGTTGGGCGAGTTTTGGTGTCAAGGGGGAATTGTATGATGTCGGGTTCCGCTATTCTGCAGGGTGCTGTGGCAACACAGGTCGTCTGAAAAAGGAGATTGGCTTTCTCAGCATTAGTGTTACAAACATTACCTTCTTTAGATATTAGAGTGTTGACCAATGCTGATGGCTTGCGTCCTGAGGCAAATCTCTTCGCTTGGAAAAGAGTGTCATGAGTGAGGGTTGAAAGGTAGGTCTTCCAACTGTCTTCTTTCATTTTCTCGACTTTTTTATTGAAGGTGTTTCTTGCTTTTTGATATAGAATCTTGTTCTCTTCTGTTTTGTTTGATTTGAATTGCCGGTGTAGTTTTTGTGCGGTCTTTCTGAGGGGATCGAGGATTTCTGGTCTCCACCAGGGTTTGTGTTTGCCTGGAGGAGCCTTATTCGGCGAGTTATTGTCGAGTGCGGTGGTAATTGCAGATCTCAAGGCTCTGTCAAAGGCATCGATTTCGTCCTGCGTTGTGAGTCTTGTCATTTTGGGTAAGGTATTTGTTAGTTCCGTAAGCATAGTAGGTGTTTCGACCTTATTCCAGTTTTTTTGTCGGGACGTTTTCTGAGTGGTTGTTGGGCTTGTTGGAGACTTTGTTTTGAAAGAGGTGATGAGGGATTGGTGGTCGGAGAGGTGATTGGTTATGTCTTCATTATCAATGAAACATGCCCGGATTACCTCATCTAGTTGTTCATTGACCCAAACTAGGTCGATCGTTGTGCCTCTGGTCGTCGTTGAGCTTAGACCATATGTCGGTTCGCCTGCTGGTGAGCGCAGCCGGAGATCCCATTTCGACATTAGATCAATAAGATCCTCAGCTTTCTTGTCGTATGTGTCACTGTAAGATGGGTTCCATGCGGGTGAGTGGAGGTTCGCATCTGTAACCACTATTGTGGGCAGAAGCTGGATGGTAAGGGGGAGGTCGGACATCAGTTTGTCCCAGGCATCAAAGCCTTTGAAAGTCAGCGGTTCGTTATATACATTTGAAATGAGGATTGAAAAGTCGTTAATAGTTAATTTGCATGTCGTTATGTCACGTGAGGTAGAGAAGATTGGATTGATGGCCACTTCGAGATCCTTACGAATGTATAGGCAGGATCTCGGTCGGGATTCCTCATTTCTTGCTGCTGGTGTTGGGCTAATGAGGATCCAGTTTGTCTGGTTTGATGGGAGGTAATCAATTTTGTTCACATGAGGTTCTTGAAGCGCTAAAATAGAAAACTTATTAGTGATATCATGGTTAAAGAGTGAGTGCATAACATGCGGTGAGCGGTGACAATTCACTTGTAGAATTGAAGATGTGTCTTGTTCGTTTAAAATTTTTTGTAACCGTTGTTCTAACATTGACTTATATTCATGTCATTGTTTTCTACGATTACGATCTTTGGAGATCCACTTGGGTTGAAAGGCGGGAGGTTAGCTGCAATTCTGGTGGGGCAGCTTGGGCTGAACGGATGATGGATGATGTCTCTTGGGTTGGATGCAAAGAAAGCCTTAAGGTTTGTTAAGGGTTCAAGTTTTACCTTTTTCCTGGCACATGCCGTGCATTTCATTTCTGTTTTACCTTTCTCAGGGCAGTTGTGTGAGTGGTGTTTATCACCACAAAAAGGGCAAAGAGGATCCAACGGGCACGAAGGCGCCGTGTGACCTACCTTTTGGCAGTTGTAGCATCGGCGCGGAGGTGGGCCACTTCTAAACGTGAGGTGTTTGCCTTGCCCGTGCCAAATCTTATTGGTTATGCATTTCTGAACCTGTTCTTCGTTCTTCAACCCTATCAAGATGGACGAGTGTCTCTTACTTGGGTCATCTAAAATCTTTGGGTTAAGCCATCGTACAAAAAGCATGTCTTTGAGAAGCTCCCCGTTACATATTTGTAGTTCCTCAACATGATCTTCTACCTTTGGATCAAATGTGGTTGAGATACCGTTGACTATAATCTCGTGGCGCTCTTCCTTCATCTTCAAGGATTTCGAGAAACCTTGAATCCATGTCCGGGGCAATTCTTTGACTTTTCCGGCAATAGAAGCCGTTTCAAAGTACATGTCAATATCATTTGACGGGTGGCGTCTTACGCTCTTGACTTCAATGGATGCTTCATCCTCCGGTTTGAGCTTGATCTGATAAGCCCTGAATGCCAGGTTAATTTCCTGTATTAGTTTGGCGTTTGACAGTCCTGGGTGCGAGATCTCAGACCCCGGTATATGGACTAGCGATATGATGTTGGTGGGTTTGGCTTTTGGAGCCGACTTTTGCGTTTTTTGGGTTTTGGCCTGATTGGCCTTCTGGCTATCTGACGTGGTTTGTGGTGCGTGTTTGGACGCTGCGAGTGCATATGAGGGGGCGGTTGGTCCCTTTTTTTGTTGTTGTTTTGGTTGTAGATTTTCTACTGCTGAAGTTAGGTAGGCCATCTGTTCGGTGAGGGCTGCTAACGTATCATCTGTAGCTTTCCCTTTGAATATTATAGGTCGGCTCTTTGACTCGGCTCCAGCAAGGGCTGCTGGAGTCGTGAAGTTACGCCGAGCGTCATCATACATGACTTTGTCGTAGACGGCTCCTGTTAAGACTAGGATATCCGCCGCGGTCTCGACATCGACCGATATCTTTTGCGCTTTCTTCGACTTGTTAGCAAGTGGAAAGCCAGCTTTGATTACTTCCAGGAGTTTGCCCACCATCTCCTTGAGAGATCGGGATTCGGCTCCTCCTGGGAAAAGGTCCTGCATTCGGTTCGTCCTAGGACTCCCCGTTAACTCGGACGCTTGGTCCATCGCAATGATGCCCGGGGTATCCAACCTGGAACGTTTCTTGGCGAAGTTTCCCAGGTCGGATGACTGGATCGATGGGGATTGAGAGAGTCCTTGACGAAGGCAAGCTTTGTCGAAGACGAGAGGGGTTGGGGGTTCGGTCGGTTTGGCCTTTTCTTGAGGCCCACAAGGATTGATAAACGCGTTAGACGCGTCGCGAGTTGGGGCAGTGTTCTTCGGAACACCCTGCTCCTTCTGGCCCGTGTCCGAAACGTCGTCGACCTCCATATCGACCGGTATCGCGTGAAGAAGGTGGATCGAGTGTGACGAAAAAGTAAGGAGAATGAGAAAACGAAATTTGGACGAGTACTTGCGCAGTCACGGACCGGGTCACGTGACTAGTTAGTAATTCGTGGTAAGAAGTCTCTTCGACCGACATTAACAGTGTGTGTGTCAGTGAAGACAGAAGGAAGCCAGAGGAAGCCCTCACCGCCGCTACAGAAACCAAACGGTATCACCAATTTTGTGACCGCTCAACTCGTACTCGGATTGCGGCTCGAGGCCTTCGAAGGAGAGCTTCAAGCGCTTCCATTGCAAAACAAAAAAGCTTTTCCCTTTCATCTCATCTGGCGCCACATGTTGCAATTTGTCACCAGTCCGACGTTGGTTAGAGAACAGCACGCCATTTACATATCATAACCTTGATGGATTATGCAATGCATGGCTGGTTGTATTGATGGTTCCATGATCGCCTTTCAGCATGTCTGCCCAGTGCCGACTTCTAGAATCGAAGCGCATCAAAGACCCAAGACTGTTCTTTAACTTGGATCAGTCACACAATCTTCGACATCCAATTCAGTATTCCACCTGCATACACGCAAGCTTCAAGACGTTTATTCAGCTCTAGATCACTCATTCTGCCGAGTTTGAATTGTGAGAATGAACCAGTTTGGTTGCAAAAGGAAATCTCCTGAAATCTCTCATGGGTTTTGAAAGCTCAAAGAAGCTTTAATGCATTGAAATTGTCGATTTTGAATGGAAAACCGAGACGTCAAAGCCTGGTCTGATTTTAATTTTACACAATCAATTTGACCGAAAACAAAAAGATCTCAATAGCCATCGATAGATGGCTTTGACTGTTTCTGACATCATGAAACCATTTCTGGTGACCTGGGAGAAATTTCACCAATCTTGCCCTAAGAGGAACAAACTCCTCAAAAAGGGAAGTACTAGTGACCTCAAATCTCCCCATGATACGTTAAACACACTATATTTATTACCCTTGTTGCATTCCCTCAAACGTTTTAAAACAAATCCCACTAAATCCTTTCTTGAATTCACAATTTTCACGCCAAGATGTCTGCAACCCCCAATCCATCAACACCCACCATCGTCGTCCCTGCTAATAACATACCAGCACCCGTAAGCAATAAGTCCATCAAACTCTATACACATCTCTTCGCTTTGACTGATAGAAAACCCTTACATATTTCATAGACATCACCTATGGAACCTCAAAGTCCAGCTTCTAAAGCAGCTCTAAAGAACGAGAAAGCTTACAATAAAGTATTAATAAAGGAAGCAAAAGCCGAAGAGAAGAAAATCAAGAATGCAATCAAAGATGGAAGTCATGCTACTAAAGCTGAACAAAAAGCAGCTAAAGAAGAAGTTAAAGCTAAGAAAGTTCTAGATAAAGCCGTAGCAAAAGAATTCAGTAAGTTTTTTTGTCTCCCTCAAAGTTTTTTTGAAGTCAAAAACATCTTTCATTAACTCTCTTTCTTTTGATTTTGACGTTTTCTTTTAGAGACGAATAAGAAATTACTTTCTGTTCAAGCTAAACATGAAAAAGCTGTACTTGATTTAGAAAAAGCCAAAGCGAAATTAGAATTAAAAACTACACATCATACTACACAAACTAATTTAAGAGATCAGAAGATGGAACTAGTGAACAGTTTAAGAACTCGTGGTTCTATTCCAGCATGAGATTCTTTTGTCTTCACCTTTTATCACACCCCAACGCAATACTATCTTTTATTGAACTTTTCTTTTCGTCTTTTTCTTCTGGTTTATCTTTGATTTCTTAGACCTTTTTATAACTTTTTTGACCATATATCATAGTCGTACATTAGCCATCAATACCACCTCTGCTTTGACTTTTTTTGCGCAACTTGAAATCTATGAACCCAACTCATTGTCATATTGCCTCAGATATGACACACCTTGTGACGTCTGTGCCCTTATGATAGTACCTATTGCCTGAGCCTCAGTTTCCGTGCCACCACACATACTCGAGAAATTTTTTAATTTTCCAAACAGCAATAAGATACAAATACTACCAATTCCTTTAATCCGTAAGCTTGGTAAGCAAAACTACTCATTCGAGTCCAAAAGAACCCCTGTCGACAATCCATCAGTTCAAATCGAATGCCCAATGTGACTCATAAAATAATTCCAATAATCCATATCATACATACACATTGACGTACATATACAACAGGTTACTAATTCATTTTCGATAGGACACAAATATCTGAGAGAAAGAATCAAGCTGTATGCAAGTTTATTGAAATATTGCACAAAAAACCTACAACTGATAGATATAGTGAACTTGAATGTCTAAGAGTATATCACTTTCCTGCACCGATCATCGGGGTAGATGGAACGGCCGCAACCACTTTCCAACCCTAAAACCAAAAAACAATCAATAACTTATATGAGTCTATCACACACACATAAATTAAGTGAAACATTTCTTACCATTGCTTTTCCTTTTCTATAAACATCTTCAAGTTCTTCATCCCATCCACCTTCATTAGCCAATTGCCGATAAAAATCAAATAAATGTAAAGCAGTTTTAGCATCTTCAATCGAATCATGTGTACCTGCATTTTGTATATCATGTTTTAAAATTAAGAAAGATAATAATCGAAGTGAAAGTCGTCTTTGTCGACTCGGAATATAGTAGAGGTCTACTGTATCAATAATCTGTGATGGTGGAACATGTATATCTAGTTTCCGAACACAGATTACGAAGAGCGAAAGAACACAAACATCAGGTCTGAAGTTGTGATTATGGGCAGTCTATAGATATATGGATGTAACTCAACTAATGATACGAAAATCCTTTGAAAGTCCGTGCCCAATGAAAGTACACCCCAGATCCACTAGCAACCGTAACTTTTTATAAGCCACCTTAAGTGGTACAAGTGTATGAGGCGATGATCGATGATCGAGGTCACCCGCTACAATGAGATCAAAGTGAATCAATCAGTTATATTCTGAGATCGTAAACAAACTTGAAAATCACAAACGTCGAATTCCGGAATACTCAGTAAGATAATCAGTGATAGGCTCAGATGTTTGAATATGATCATCAATAAAAGGTACACCGGTTTTAACTCCTTCTCCACGAAGAACTGACACTCTAGCTAGCGTCATACGACTTGGTCGTCGCACAATTCGAGTTCCATCTGATCTATAATCCACTTCCTCCTTCACTCACACAAACAAAAAAGATTACCCAAAACAAGATGAAGCAACTTCAGTATACACCATAGCAGAGAAGAATCTAAGTGTGATGGAAGCTTACTTGTTGAAGCGATACAAATTCCGCATCAATCGCTACCAATGCGCCCTTCTCAGGGAGCTCAGCTTCACTCAATACCTGATGCCGAATCTTGGTTGCGTCTCGTCGTCTGATCGAGGACCACCAGGATGAGCAAGCAGATTCTATAAATGATGGAAGATTGAACTTACTCAGATACATTGATGTCTTCAAGTAATATCGAGCGATCCATGTTGGTAGGCAGCATACTGAAATCGAGAGCTTGGTCCAAATCTTTCCGCCGATAGTATAGAACAGCAGGGATCTGCAAGAGCGATCAACAGTTGTCAAGCTACTTATGATAAGAGGGATTTGATGGACTTCTAAACTAACCTTCCAAGCTGCAGGAAAACCCAATGCCTCATCCTCACTAATTTTTCTGACCAAAAAGTCATTGAACAGATGCCACCCACTACCGTCTGCGACCTTGACAAGTGCCACGAGGTGTGGTTCTTCATCTTCTGCCTCAATTTGTAAGACCATTGAACATAGTTCGTATCGAACGCCATCTGCAGGTGCAGGTACTGGGTAATCATCCCCAATAACCAGTTCAGCCGTCCCAGCTCTTGTCGCAATTGAGATTTCAGGTTGCAGGAATCGATGCGAGTGCTGCTGCTTGCTATCCAGCCAAAAGTCTAGCTGTTCGACTGACGTCACACCCGCATGTAGTGCTAGTATTGCCGGCAGTCCCTCGCGTCCCTCGACGCACGTCTCACTGTCGAAGACGCGTCGCCAACGCTGATGACTGTTCTGACCGCACTGAGAACAAGGAGACTTGGCGGTAGTTTCTCGCGCCAGTGAATGACGTAGGATGGTACATAAATCGGAGCCAGGGGGCGATTCGTTAGATAACGCTCGACGCGGGTAGACCAATTCAACAACTTTTGCAACAGTCGGACGTGCTGAGGAATGTTGACAAGTGGGGCATACTTGCTCGGTCCGCCAATTCGTGGCGTATATCACGGCAACTGGATCGACAATGCCGAGACCGGGCTGTTTCCGCGCATCGTCGGTCATCTGCTCAAGTAAGAAATGATGACATAACTGTATGAGACTTGAATATGACCGATGGGGGTTGTTGGAGCTCGAGGCAAGTGACTGGGAATCAGAGCGAGGTCGATGGAGAAAGAAATCCTGGTGGTGGTGGTCCATCAATGCTAGAGCGATAGCACGAGGATTAATGGAAAAGGCGCGTGAAAAGTTGGTAGTCTGACAATTTACACCCTTTGCGTCGTCCATCATCTTGAAGAGAAACCCAAGCTCGCACAGCATACAACTGGTGGCGCTACAGGTAAGAGTGATGTGCGACTCGGCAAGGTGTCGGATCGGAAGAGTGTGGTATAAGACTTGTAAGAGAGCATTTGTGTATGAGTTGACTATGTGTGTCTCCAATCCGCTATATTTTGTACGATTATAGAACCTGTGAAGGAAGCAGAACTCTGACACTTGATCAGCAGACTGATTGCAGTTAGGATCAAAGGTCACAATGGCTATATAAGAAGGTAAGAAAAGAGAGCCTACCCAAAATCAAAGTCTTCAATCCCAAACTTGCTGTATTTGATCTCAACTTGACGATACCACTTAGGCATGTCCTCAAAGTCTTCAAGAGTGAGTCCAGCTAAGAGGGTCTCTTCCTCCAAAATTCCTTCAGTGCTCTCTCTTCGCTTTCGGCCTTGCATCATTTGTTTTTCTTTCTCTTTTTCCTTCTCACTCCTAAAAAGGGGAATACTAAGCCGACGGCGGGTGTCGGTAGAAGACCCTTTTCCTACTCCAGGAATGATTCTTCCAGCAACTGAATGTGCCGAGATGGCTCCAGATGAAAAAGCAGGTAGGCTAGCTTGATAGCGTTTAGACTTCTTCGAATGAGGCAGATAACATACTTTTTCAAACTCTGTTCTACCATTTGTACTATAGACAGGATTGATGGATGGAGAATATTGATAGGGAGAATGGAGATGATGTTGGTGAAACTGTTGCTGTTGGCGTTGATGGACAGCCGAGAGCAGATCGGGCTCGATACTGGGCCGAGCTTGGAAAAAAGGGGAATAGGGTGTGATGTAGTTTTGAACCGGTATGACTGAGAGTAACTCAGATGAGTAGAATGGCATTCCGACAGTACTGAGAGGTGTATCATCCGCAGCCCAGTCGAATAAGGCGTCGTTGAGTTCAGGTTGTTCGTCTGGAAGCTCTACTGGCTGAGTGGCTCTACTCCATTTCATTGGTCCATGAGGAACATCTGAAGCAGTACCTGTAGTCCAAAGATGGACAACGCTGTCAGCATCCACATAGGCAAGACCTTCGCCCGTTCCCGCGATACATAGGTCTGTTATATAGCTGCCACAGTCGAGCTGAAAGAATGAATTGGCGGGAATGGGGTTGATGATGTCGAGAATTTGAAGTTGACCGAGCGATGAGGCTATGAACAGCGTTGAGGACATGCGAGGATGAAATCGAATCAATGACGGGATTGAAGGGAAAGTGATCGGAGGTAAAGGGCGGAGGGCACGGACGTCGAAGACTTTGACAAGAGGGTCTCGCACTGGATGACCTTGCCTGTTTGTTCGAGCACGAAAAGGATGATCCGATCAGTTTTGATGACCAATACGAATGAGTGACTTTGGAAGGATTGTTTAACTTGAGAGAAAGTCCGCAAGTGACGAGATAATTGCCTTCGGTCTCCATTTGTTCAAGTCCAGCGTAATGTGCCATCATAGAGTGTTCCTCTTTGAGGGTGTTCGGATCGCGCAAGGTGACCACACCAGATCTAGCACCGCAAGCCACCAGGTTTTGAGAACGCCTTATATGAGTGATAGGTGGAAAGTAAGTAGGATCATGGAGCCCGCTGAAGGCAGTGGATGGAACAGGGGCGGTAGGGGTGATGTCTAGTTTGCGGATCAAAGCCCCATTAGCAGTGTTGATGGTGATAAGTTCAGGCTTTGATCCAGCAATGACCAGCTCGTTTGATTTTGTACTGCTGAAAGCCATCGATTGCGCATCCTGAGCATGTCTGTGAAGAGGGAAAGAAGAAGTTAGTTAAGGAGAAGACGGGGATGACGCGCAAGTGAAGCTAACTGCGAAAACCATTGAGGTAAGCCTCTACGACTCGTCGACTTTACAGAGCTTTCTCCCAAGCTAAGAACCGCTCGTTCGGAAATCAAGAGCTGACGAGTTGGAGTTCGATTAGAGTGAGACTTGAATGAGGTGTAGCGATTTAGACACTTCGACTCGTCGTTTGAGCCACCAACCCCATTAGGGAGGAAATGAGAAACGACGGTGCCGATCGAAGACCCGGTCCAAAGTAAGTCGGCGTATGGATCGAAGAGAATTGAAGAGACATCGCCCAGGAATGTACTCGAGTAAGGCTGCCAAGGAGCTGAAGGCATTTGTGCTTGAATGAGAAGGAAAGCAAGAGAAGGTGAGTGGTCAAATACACCCTTTGAAATTGAAATTGACTTGAACCCCTTCACAGAGAAGATACAAAAGCGCAGCTTCCTGGCTCTCTCTCGTGATCCGCACGCTAATGACCACTACATACAGCACAAGCGGCACTCCCTTGACTCCAAACGAACATGGCACCACAATCCTTAACGTTAGTTCCTCAGGCTCTCCCAACACCTGGTCAAGAAATAATTTGAGGATTTCATCCGGCAGATCACGCTACACCCCACCAAGTTCTTGATCAGACCAGCTGGCAATGTACTCAAAGCTTATCCCGAAAAGGAAAATATGGCCGAAACAAGCAAAAACATCAGCAACGTTAGAACTCGACGGCTGACGGATCCCCTCCCGCTCTCGTGGGACTCTGCGGCAGCTTGGTGCAACCAAGATAACAACTCATCAGGCGCACATTTGGAACGAGCTAGGACTGATGTGATATTCCAAGCAGAATCCCGAGAACTGCAAATAGGCCTAACAATGGCAATCCAAATGGCTTTAATACACAGCAAACAAACATTGATTTTCCTCAAATGACGACTTCGCGTTTTGAGCTGAGCCTGGAATCCGAGTATCAGTAAGTGATTTTTGATACCGCACAATGGACTTTTCGATTGATTCGTTGTCCGTGGTCAAGGGATGCTTGGCATTCTAAAAACTTCTGCACGTCGGTCTATACGTGCGGCATAGGTGATACTCGGAGGTTTTAACACCGCTCTCTGGTCCTGACCGGTCTATGATCAGATTATATGAAACGATCGGTCGCAGCGTTGAACTTGCTGTGAGGATGGCAAGTCACGAATCTGAATCTCGAACTTATCAATTCCTGTTCCTGAGGTCATAATTCCATGCGAGATCAAGAAGTCAAACAAAATCGATCGCTAGCATTGTGAGTTGGGTGTTGAAATGAATCTAGCCCTGAGCCTGTGAGAAAAATCGCATTCAATGAAATGCTGAGCCAGATCATCTAATTCGCCGGAATTGCTTGCAATCTTACTGTGATCAGAAATTGTTTGTGGTCTTCCTAATTTCTAATATCGTCGGTGCGCTGGTTTGGCTATACCTAAAAAGGTAAAGCAAGAGTGACAATTGTATAACATTCTAGGTGCAGACTTCATTTGTTTACCTTTTGACCTTTGATTTGAGTAGAGTTGTTGAGTTGCTGGGTTCTTTTGATCACCAATCAGAAAATATAGTTACTCCCGAGGATCTGTGAGCCTTTTCAGGGTTTCCACCTCAACCACTTGGCCTTAATCAGGTAGCGTGTTGGTTAACCGGTCATTTTCTGCAAAGTGAGTCGATCTTTCATTCCAAGCTGCATCCTCTTTCTGGGCCAAAATCGTTTACGGAGGGACTTTAGAGCAAGAAGGACTGATTCTAATCTCCGTCCAGTGCACTCTCAACTAACGTACCCTGTTCTCCTACATAAAGGCATTCAGCCAGGAGATATTCTTAATCCTCCAGGATATTCAACTTGTTATACCTTTACTCAATCTTACACCACTGCGCTCATACTTGGAAAGCGCCCAATTTTGCAAACTCACCTTCTTAACACACCGTCAGACCAATGTCAGACCCGAAAGTCTCAACCCCTCCTGTGTGTAATCTTTTGATTATTCGCTACGACGCGATTTGGTAGAAAGATGATGATAGCCTAACTAATGAACTTTCTTGATTGAATACTATTTGATATGGAAATTAAAAGACTCCAGAGCCCAAGCAAAACCCGTCCGAATCCTATGAAGATGATACCATCGAGGCTGGAGTAATCCCACCACACACAAATCAAATCCCTCAAGATCGAAATGCTGCCGAGGCGATCACCCCTGAAAAACTACCTGCAGAGGACCATAAATCATTTTTAAATGAAGCTCCAAACTCGCCAGATCTCAAGATCAAAATCGAATCCGATGAAAAGGGAGGTGAACTTACAGATCAACTCAATGATGGATCCCAACGGAATACAATTTTAAGAGGAAAACGATTAGCATTGGCTTTTGTCGGAATGCTATTGTCTGTATTTTTGATATCTTTGGACCAAACTATTTTGAGTCCCGCTTTGCCGGTCATTGCTTCTAGCTTTGATGCTCTAGATCAAATCGGATGGATTGCTAGTGCATATGTATGTTTGTTCCCTTTTTTAAAAAAGACTCGAAATTGAAGCTGATGTTATAAAATATTATTTCAATTTTTCTTAGCTTATCACTCAAGTCTCATTTCTCTTACTTTATGCACAATTATTGGTGACCTATAATCGACGTTGGATTTTTGTAGCAGCGATCTTCATTTTTGAACTAGGCTCACTAATTTGCGCCGTATCGCCCAATCTGATCAGCTTAATTATTGGTCGAGCTGTCTCTGGTTTGGGAGCAGCCGGAATCTTGATTTCATGTCTAAGTATCATCGCAGACATCACAGAGCTTCAAGATAGGCCTAAGTTGCTTGGTAGCTTTGGTGCAGTATTTGCTACTTCTTCTGTTGTTGGACCACTTCTGGGTGGGGCTCTCACTGACCGTTTGAGCTGGAGATGGTGTTTTGTAAGACTCATCAATTTTGAATCATCATCTTTGTATTCAAAACCGTTTTTTCGGTTATTTTTGAATTTTCTGACATATATTGTTTTTTTCATTTGATTTGATTCGATTACGCTGGACTAGTGGATCAATCTACCTTGCGGAGCTATCACTGTCCTTTCAATATTTCTTCTAATACCCAATACACCCTCTCCACCGTTATCAGAAAAACTTCTTGAATTGGTGGATCACAGATGGAATTCAATCACTTTCGGAAAATGGGTTCCACCTCATCATAGTGTTCTTCATAAACTTGGTAGTTTAGATTTTGTCGGAGCATTCTTAATGGTTGGACGTAAGTGTTTTTTCACATATCTTGACCTTATTTCAGAAAAGCTTCATATTTTTCAAAACTTAATTTGTTTTTGTCGGAATTCTTCCAGTTATTATTCTCTTAGTTCTTCCATTACAATGGGGTGGCAATAAATACCCATGGGATAGTGGTGTGGTGATTGGAACTCTCTGCGGTTTTGGTGTAATGCTCACAGCTTTCTTGTTATGGGAATGGAAAGGAGTCGATGCAAAGAATGGGAGGGGACTTTTACCTTTCAGATTATTCAGAAGTAGAACTCAGTACGTTATCTTCTCTTTTTTTGTGGGAATTGAATTTCTGATCTTGTGACTTTCTCTTTATTTTGCATAGAGTTGGAGCTTGTTTACAAGCCTTTTTCATCAAATTATCCAGTTAGTTTTGTTACTTCTCTCTCATTTTCTTTTGGATTGCCGCACAAGATATAATTACTGACTTTATCTTGATGTTTTACATAAAGTGCTCAGTGTAGTTTGTGAGTGCTCCAATATCATGCTTCCAATATTCCAAAGCCTTACTGAATAAAAAATCGAAATGATATTCTAGATTTTCTTCCGATCTACTTTCAAGTCGTCCAACATGCCTCAGCCACCAAATCTGGTATCGATTTAATTCCACTCAGTACGTCATGTTCAATCTCTCTTCAATTTGATTTGAAACCTTTCACAATCGACTCTTTCACTTAATAAATAAATTTTGATTCTCTTTTTCAGTGTTATCAATCGTCTTTTGTTCGGGTTTAGCAGGTTTTGCAATCAGCCATACTGGTTATTACTGGCCTGCATTGTCAGTTGGTTCAGTGATTCTCACCATTGGAACAGCACTTCTATATACCCTTGGTATGTCCATGTTTCCAAGCAGTTATTTTCAGATCAAGTGCGAGGATGAATTTTCGTTGACACTTGGAACCCTTGAATAGATGAATATGCAAGCAATGCAAAAGTCATTGGATTTCAAATTCTCGTTGGTGGAGGACTTGGTTTTATCCTTCAAAATGTAACTGTAAGTAGTTAATAAAAAATGGTGATTATGCAGCTAGAGCTTAGGCCACTGACCACGATGACAATTTCAATCTAGGTCGCGATCCAAGCAAATGTAGAGGACAAAGACATTCCACAAGCAACAAGTTTATCTTCCTTCTCGTGAGTATTCCCAAAATCGAAACAACTTGTAGGAAGGAGTGTACTTTTTGCTAAATTTGTCTCTTGTTGCCTTGAAGACAATTGATCGGTGGAGTCATCGGTATTGCAGTAGCGTAAGTCCACTTTCGTATAGTAGTATAAATCGACCGTGCTGCATCGTTTTTTGACTTCACTTTATATAATTCAAAGGCAAACTATCTTCAACAACGCTTTGAGTGTAAACCTGGAAAAATATGCACCTGACGCACCAGCGGCACTTATCCGATCCTCCTTAGAGGAGATCGGACAACTTCGGGATTCGTTAAAACCTGGTGTCATTCATGCCTATACTGAATCTCTAAAACAGGTCAGTTTCTTGGAGAGTTTTCGTTTTTGAAACAAAAAAGAAGGCTATTTAACATGATGGTTTATGATATTATTTTGGTAGGTTTATATCTTAGGTATCGTCTGTGGCGTTGCTTGTTTCTTTGCGGCATTTTTGGTTAAGAGTAAGAATATCAAGAAGAGAAAAAATCAAACATCGAAAGAGGCTGTTTGATTTGAATTTTTCGTCACCACTCATGGCTCTGATGCCGAAATCTCAAACTGTTCTTAAAGAATAAGCGATTCCACCTTTTCGGTCACTTCTGCGCAAATCAGGACTTATGCAAGAATTATAATGTAATAAAAGGGTCACATAATTCACTGTAAAAGCCATTTGTATCATTGAATCTCCTGGTCAATAATTGACAATCTTCATCATGCAGACTTTTTTCTCGTTCTTATCATTATATCTCGTTATGGGTTTTTTCATTGAGCTTGAGAAATATGTGAACTTCGATAATTTATGTAGTGTAGTTGTATCAATCCCTCTCCAAGTTTTCTTGCACTTTGTGGGTGCTATGCAGTGTTTCTACTTCGATTTGTTTCTCTATAAGGCATCGTACTTTGGTCAATTCAGTCTATTTGTGTGTTGATGAAGTAGAATCTGCTCTTTCTTCTGTAATTACGATAACAAAGGATTTGGAGTTGCAAGAGACCGGTTAATCCAAGTTGTCGATAAGCCACGATATTCTTTATGTCATGACCCCCTATCTTTTGAATTTCCAGGCGCGCTCACACCTGAAGAGGCTCCAGAGTCCAGGCTCAGCAAAGGGAGTTTGGGAGATATTTCATGGACAAGTTACGGGAACATGCAAAGCCCTTTATCAATTCACACCCCATGTGACCGCGTCCGACCGGGCCGCTCAGTACGTCCTCGCCCGTCGGACCTAGACAATCACGTGCACGGAATGCTACATGTGTGTATGTAATCATTGATGTACGAAAAACTCTGGCTTGCAAATTTCAAGTCTGCCTTGACCCTCGTCTGACGCCTCGAGTCCTCATTATGGATGTTCTCTTGTCACCACCTTTGCGTATCGAGCTTCTTAAAGCAACACCGGCAGCAACTTACCAGGAGGTGTCTAACTCACTAACCACATGTTTAGTACGTAATTTACTCAAAGCGATCGATTAGATCTGAACTGATGAGATTTACCTTTTTTCCTCATCAGAAAGATGATGCCTTGCTTCCAAACGTCGCAGGCGCGAATACCTATCACACCAAGGCCCATCTGTGTCGTATAATTGATGAGGTCACGTTCTTACATCGAATCACCAAGTCACCTCAATCAGTTTCACTTTCCACAACCGAACAAAAGCCAACTCTTAAGGCTTCTAAAAAGAAACGCAAATCAGAAACCGCACATGATGATGGATCAATATCAGCGCGAGCTTCAAAAGCCCCTAAACTTCCGACTTCAAAGGAGTCCGTCACCTCCCAATCCACTCATAAGAAGCCTCGCAAGCATTCGTCAAAGATACTCAAACCCGATGAGTAAGACTCTGCGGTCTTTCGGTCTCTTGATCTACAGTCTTTTCGGTCTATCGATGGCCCCTTTCGCTTGAAAACAATTGGGCATGGACGACTCGTTTTGAAATCTGGTTCAAAAATGTAAAATGTTGCTATTACTATCCTACTTCAGATATTCTGAACTTTGTTGCGTGACTGTGTCTTATCCTACAACTTCAAAAGTCAAGGACCAATCATACACATCTACATTTCTCTTCAGGGAGCTATGATGTCCCTACGGTAACTGGTCCAATCTCAATCCACCTGAAATGTTCATTCTCCGTTCCTACTGCTTAGCCGAATTCACCGGTGGGAACTTGTGTCTTGACTTTTAGCTAGCCATTTTGCAGCTTCTTGGATTTTCAGTGACACTCACTTTACGGTCATTTGATGCGTTGTAGAGCTCAACTCTTCAAACCTTTTCTTGGGTTATCTATGAGATGTAGTGGTGCGAGTTTAAAGTCAAACTGGGGACTCGTATGTGATAGGAACTCAAGCTATGTAGCTGACTTTAGGGACATATCTCGACTTTAGGAACATCTATCTTTTCTGATGAAATAATTATCTGCCTGCATCAAGGAAACACGCACAAAGATTGCTTGGGCAGTTATCCCACAAAACGAGAACTGGAGTTCAAGCGGGTCACCCCTGCCTGACCTTTGATTATCCGTAACTTACTTCTAACATACCCTCGTATCATTGTAGAGATATGCACAACCCTCCCACTATATGTTGGACATCGAGAAAAGATGATGAACTCTGAATTTCAGTTTTTTAACTGGATTCAAACACAGCAAAGACTGTATTGTTTGATTGGTAAACTTCTTTGAAGTTTAATCATCTTGAAGGTAGTGGAAAACTTCGTTAATTTTTCTCAATGTCAAACATATCATGGAATGGTTGTATGAGGACCGGAAGTTTCCAAAATTTCACTGCACATGTGAATAGCTGCGGAGGCGTCATAAGTTGTCACAAATAAAACCTCGAAACTTTCCTTTGGTCCCTGCCAATTTCTGACCAAGGTGCCTAAACGGTCAAAGGCTTGCAACAAGTGGGCGAGGGTCTTTATATATTTTTTTGACTCGGGATTTCAGTTTACTTGGGAGTGATACTTTTCTTTGGTGATATTTTGGTCAAAATTGATCGAATTGTATTGACCAATCAATTCTGCGAGATATACTTTACAACTATGAAGTTGTATCCAAATATGTCAGATATGATAGATGTGATCAACGATTCAATGAACTTTGATTCTTCTTTCTCAGCATCCGGTGAAGAGCCATGAATGAAACTCTATATTACCGATGCTTTTGGTCAAATCAGCAATCACGGGTGCAGTAATTCCCTACGTGCACCGTACACATTGGCGTCAGAAAACCCAACTTCAGAAAGTGTAGATTGGCGTGAGCTACAAGCGACAGCAAGACCGGTTGAGCGCCCCCAAACCCCTGACAAAGACAACGATGCGTAGGAATCGAAATCGCCAGATTTTGTTTGTTCGGTTGATATCAGTGAATTTTGATATTGATCATGTAAGTTACTTCAGTTACTCTTATATGTTCATACGGATATCTTTTTGAGAAATTATGAAATTACGACTTGTATTACATTCTGACACAAACAGGGTACAACTTCTAGCAAGGTATCAATTTAATCTCGGACAGGGCGTAAAGTTTATATATGGATGTGTTGACTGACTCGAGACTTGAGTGATAGGACATTCATGAGAGGTTTTTTGGGGGAGATTGATAAAAAGAAGACTCTTGGTTCACTTTTCGGCGCGAGGACATTTACATTGATCACCCAATGGAACCTGAGATGTAAATAGAAGGTTAAAGAGATGCGCCAGTTAGCCCAAATTTGAAGTATGTTCTCACTATAGGGCATCTTCCATACTCGCCTCGCTCATGACGTCGGCGCCGTGTAAACCACATCCCGACCATGTGGTCTTGCCGCATATAGAACATCGCACCAGGCTGATACAGTCAATAATTCCCATACAAAGCGGGATGTTTGGAAAGAACCAATCCGTTAAATTTTTGATGGACCAGGAGAAAGAGTACCAGAAGTACTGACTAGCATGCAGTTATCAATTGTATCAGCCGAGAGATCATTCCGGAAGAGTACGAAGGAAGTTGTCCTATCCGGGGATCTTTTGCAAGATATATTTGGTTTCTTCAAGCTATACCGGGAGGTAGACTCCTAGAGATTTGCCTACAAGTCGCGTGTTGGGTAAGACGGTATGTTGAAGATCTAGACACGATATTGGGTTCGTAAGATCTGCTTGACAAGATGAGCAAGGGAGAAAGGTGGAGAAATTGATTACTATCAGGAGGCGCAAAATTGAGGAAAGACTATATCGATGATCCCTACACGTCTTAACAAGAAAAGCTGATTCCGGAAATGATAAGTCATCATCTGGTTTTCACACTTCACGGAGGGCCAAACAGAAGGTATGAGCGATTTTTAATACTTTATTATTATGCATGCACGAGTTCACACGAGGCGTATCAGACCTTTTCCCAATGTATTGTTGGTCTTGATGCTCGTTGAACAATTTAGACGATCGCTGTGGTTTTCCAAGGGGATCAAGATTTGTGAAATTAAGCGAAGAGCACATCTCGGGGGACCATTCAATACAGTTCTTGTGCTTGACGTAGATGAGGTGTGTAGATGAGACTGATAAGTTTCTAAAGCGTCACAACCAGCGTTTGAAATAAATTACTTACGTAAAATAGATATTGAATATCTTCAGATGTTGATATGTGCAAAAAAGGGACTCTTGAGATAAAGCCGAACCTCCCAGGTTATAGGCTATGCACAGGTTGAAATCTTTTAAAGTTCCAATTTGAACTGATGCAGGTCTGCTTAAAGATACAAACTTAAAAATGGCAATCATGAACCTTCATGAACTCAAGGCTGCACGATTTCTCCGTTCCAACATGAACTCCGCGCCGTTGGTGTCAGACTGTTTGACCTTCCGTACATCATTTTTCTTTGTTCTATACAGATATCAGTGGACCATGCAAATCTGTGGAAACCTGAGTTGCCGTGTACATAATGAACTCTGGAAGACGAACTTTAGATGTCCCGAGTCAGAATTTGATCGACGTGGTGCCTCGCCTGCACATGGGCATTATATTATACATACGTACTCGCGTATCAAACTTAATGGGCAAGTAGGGAAAGTGCAATTTATCATCAAGGCGGGGAAACGACGAGGAGAAGACGGAGGCTGGTTTTATTTTTTCTCTTGATTGAATGATGAATTGAGTTGAATCGCCCATAAAACCTAAATGATTTGATTGCCTAGCTTGACATAAGCCCCACCAACCGCAGAAGCATCCCCCGGAGTCTGCGGAGGGGGGGCTTGCGACGTATCGTCACTGGTCATTGTCAATTCACTTATTTAGACTAAATGAAGAAAACTCAGATATGTACAGTCGTTCTCAGAAATGTTGGAAAAATGCAAAATCTCGAGCTGAGCTCGGGGTCCGTGCGCTGAGCAGGGACACGCAGATACAAACACTGACAAAAACTTTGATTTTGACAGGTATCTCAAGATGAAAATTTGTTTACTTTCCATCATACCTCGATGACCACACACCTATCTTGCCAATGGCCAGGCTAACGGACTGATCTCTTCAGAAAAACGGTGAAAACGTATGATTTCATGGTTAAGGGATTGTAACACGAGTTGAGGATCAGAGGAAGGATGGCATGGAGAGGACACAAGGGAGTTGAGGTTGGTGAAAGGGACACTGATCTCCACTCGACAGCTGCCATGACTTTTCCGTGACACATGTCATGAAAAAGTCACCTCCTCGGGACCACTACCTCAGCTCGAGATGTTGGATTTTTCCAACATTTCTGAGAACGACTGTAAATGCGAAGTCTGTAGACAGACGAATTAAACCAACAAAGATTGAAAATCGACACAACATCAACAAAGACAATCTCAGATACACAAGGATTCACATTATTTGCAAAATATTGTTTAGAAAATGGAAGATATAAAAATTTAAGAACATACACAGAAGAGGCAAATAAAAAGAAATCCAGACAAACATGAATTATTGAAATCAGTTCTCTTTTTTTCTTTTTCTCCGTTTCTTTTTCTCCGTTTCTTTTCTTTTCTCTCTCATTTACCATGGATCGATACACTTATGTGACCATTTGGTTTCTGTAGCGGCGGTGAGGACTTCCTCTGGCTTCCTTCTGTCTTCACTGACACTCACACTGTTGATATCAACCAATAGAAACCTCAAACACCAAAAGACTTACGCAATTTGAGCGGAGCGGGAAAGATCAAAAGAAATGCTTCATACACCACTCTGTGTTTCCGATAAGGGGCTGCGTGATACCCATCCCTGTATATCAACCACTCGCTTATATATCATTCGGCTCCGCCTGTTGTCTCCACCTCATTTCTCTCACCTCTCAGCAAATCACGTTATCCAGCCTGATGTTGTATTACATACATGTTGATGCTTGTTACAAAAATTAAACTGACTTGCTCGATTGTCATTCTTTAGATCATCATCACGCTCGGTTTTCCACTCAGCTTCTCCGTGATGCAAAACATGGTTGACAATAGCCGTTTTATGTGCTGAAAGCGCAGACCAAAAATTCAAAGGAAGATCAACATATATGGCCACAACTAGCTTCTCCACCTTCCAAAACACGACAATGTCCACAGTTGAAAGCAATCACAATCTGAATCTGCACAAGGCGATGCTAGCATACGTAGCATCATGTTCCAGAACCTGATGACCGGGAAGAGTCGGACAGACATCGACCCAGGCAGTCATCAACGGATATAAAAGTGGCCTACTTTGATGATGATTTGCCATCCAATCCAATCATCTCATCGAGTGATTTGTCTAACCTGCACACTTGTCTGGGTATGTTTCTCACCAATTTTTGTCAGCCAATTTTGGAGATATTGTTTATAAACAGACTGAGCTCATACTTTATGGTCCCTTTCTTTGCCCTTTTGACAGGTTTATACACTATCCGTTTTTGCCCGCGCACACAATTTCCCAAACCCTGTTGTTCTAGCATTCTGGTGAGTTTTGAGATAATTACCCTAAAATTTGCCACAATATTACATTACTAAGCCTTGCTCAACCAATTAGAAATCTCATCATGAATCTCAGCATCATTGCCACCATCTTTGTGATCTTTGTATCAGTCAATCAATCTTTTGGTGCCATGATCAAGAATCCCAAGAGCGAAAAAGGAATCATATCAGCTGATGAAGCATTGGTTTATGTTGACATAGATATGAGTCGTGCTGAGAAGGAGTGTCAGACTTGGTGTTGATCAAACGACCCTATACCCAAAACTTGCGACTGTGGCGCTCAATTTGGTAAAAAATGACTTGATTTTTCTACCATAACATGCGTGGTGTGAAAGTGCATGCAAAACAACTTCAAGGTTTTTGCTACCTCTGTGATCAAATATCTGTTGGAAGCAGATGGCAGGAGATGAATTATTTGTTGTAATGGGTTGTCAAGGGTCAATTTACTATACTCCCTTGTCACACATATTCTTCTTCATAGCTATATATAAGAGATTCACCCCAATGTGCACAACAGTTTTCAGAACCCAAGATATTTGCCACTTGCTCAAGGGACACAATGCAAGATATATCCATGAAGGAAGTAACTGTAAGGAGTTTGAGCGTCCTCACTGAAGGAGAGGAAGGAAGGAAGTTTTAGGAATTTATTATATACCTTTATAAGGTGCGAGTTGGAAGGTCTACACCACACAAGTGGTGGGAAGCTTTCTAGAATCAAAGTACATGTTTTAATTACAGACTGACTGACTCCAAAGAGACAATGACAAGTGATCAGTCAAAGATCCTCAAGGAGTCAGATTGAGGTAGTGTTGGGGAGAGAGAGGTATAGAGTCAAGGTGCCACCTGGCAACTATCCGGTGGGATAAGCCCACTTTGCCAACTGAACTGGCGGATACTTTAGAAAAAAGACCAGCTCTTATCCGTCAGAATCGTCAGAGCCGATAACCAGACCAAGTATCTGACGGATATCCAACAATCAGGCCAAAAGAATCACCATTGCCAGGAATTGAACCCAGACCCAGGGCTTTTTTGACTGGTCCGGGTCAAAAAAACTGAATTTTGACCTAATAAAATATCATCTGGATTCCTCACTCCGTACATACATCATTGTTGTTGAATCAATAATACAATATTGAACTTTGGAATCTGGATCATCACCGCTCAATCATTGTTGAATTAAACTCAAATTGCTCAATCAATATGTCTTCAGCCCCTGATATTTCCACTGACACCGCCTCCCAAACCAAAAACTCCAATCTCGGTGATATTTCTTCAACTCCAACTGCTCGTATCAGCTGGGTTTGGAAGATTTTGTCAAGCTAACCAATTCACAAAAAAACAAGTGTATATTTGTAATGGCCGATGGAAAAGAATGTGGGGAGGATTTGTCTCGTGATCCTAGTAGTAGACACCATGTACGTCCCCCATGAGCACGTCGATGTGCTCACACGGAGAGCTGTGTAATAAATTTGAACGGATCTTTATTCAATTTGTCTCTAGAAAATGCAAATCCTTTTGTTAATAATAATAGACAATCAAAAATGTACCATTTGTCAATGGAACTATGAACAAAGGGGCCCATTTAACACTCTTGCTGTCTGAACCTCTTGACAAAGGCAATTGTATGCTTAGCTCTCAGACCTGTTTGTAGGTTATATCCAACCTCAATGGAAATTGATTGGTGCAAGCACATCGACATGCTACCTCAAAACAGACATGGTGAGAGGTACAGTTGCTATCACCAAGACAGTACCACAGCCTGATCCGGTTTGGCCCCGGCCCCGGCCCTGGTCCGAAATGTTGAGGATTCGTGACCAGCAATGTGTGGGCCTTTTTTTTCGCATGTGCATCTGTAGTTTATGCCACCAAGGCCTTCTCCACCTCAACCATATCAATCCAACAGCCTTATATCACCTTAACACCCACTCCAAACAATGCCCAAGAAAAGCACAGCGTCACGTGCTCAAAGTAGACAATGGAAAGCACACAGGATCGCCCAAAGCATGAAAATAACAACCCCGATGACCTCCAAAATTCAATCAGAAACCCCTTTACCACTTGATTTCCCTGAAAACCCCATCAAAATCAATCTCCTTTCTGATCCAGAGAAGCTTTCTTCCCCTGTTTTCAACTCATCGCCAAAAGTTAACAATGTCCAATTAGAATTCCTCCAATTAGAATCTCACACAACAGCTCAGATGTCTTTACATGATCCTCAACTACCACTTTCCTCTTCTGATTGTCCACCTACTGAGCCTTATTGGCTTCCTATTGATATCAAATATGCACAAGAAGAAGATGATTTAGATCCTCTAGAAATGCACCATTACACTTGAAGCAATATAGTCGACTCATCTGATGAAGAATTAATTGATCATGAATTTGTGAAAGATGTCTTCTATCCCGTCTTTACTGAAAAATGTCCACCAGAAGCTACTCTTCAAAAGCAAAAGTCTAGATTGGGTGTTGTGATGAAAGGTTACAAGAGGCCTCAAGTTCAACCTGGAACCGCCAAAGGAAAACCTGCCATTGGGTCAAGACAAACCAGATTCAGTCGTAAGCAAAAAAGACAGGCAGCACTCAGAAAGAACAATCACATCATGTCCAACTGGATGAATCAAGCAAAACCTCTTCCTCCGCCGTCCTCGACTCACTCTGATGCTACTGTTGATGTTGAGGATGGTGATCACCAAACTGATCCTCCCACCAAGAAAGAGAGTCTCACTGATGATGACTCTGACAGCAATTTATCTGATCAAATCAATCCACTGATTCCTTTCAACACCAATCTAGCTGCAGCCCAGGACATATGGATTGACCAGTGTGTCAATCAATACCGTGCATCACGGCCTGCAACTAAACCACTCACTAATAAACTCAAGGAGGATGCTCAAGGATACTTCGATGAGTTGAACTCAGCCATCGACTATGTTTCAAACAATCATCAGCAAGATCCGAAAACCAATCAGATGATCAGTGACCTTTGAGAATATCACATCAGACAACTTGAGCTTACAATAAACGGCTTGCCTTCTCCAGCTGTCACCGCTTCATTTCTCACCGCTTCTTCTTCTGTCCGTCACGATACTTCAAAGTCGAAAGCCACAAGTGGCATTGGTCGAGCAAAGGCGATCTGCGAACAAGCAGTCCACCTACTCAAGTTCAAGGAGCTGAAACTCAGCCAGTGTGGCTGTCATTCATCCCATGCCTCAATTCTTAAGGACAAGCAAGTGTTTGATGCCCTTAAGTCTTGGGCAGTTGCTAAGAAGCCTGGAGAAGTAAGTCACCAAACTCGTATTTTATTATCAATTACAATCAGCATCTTTCTGATTTTTTTCTTGCTTTTTTTTTGATAGCTATCACCACCTCTCCTATGTGAACATGCAAATAACGTGGTTCTGCAGGAATAAGGCTACAATCAGAAAATCTCTCTGGTTACGTGTTATTGATGGCTTCGTAACTTAGGATTCCAAGCTCGAGAGTGCAGCAAGGGGCTGTATCATGATGGCCATGAATGGCCTGATGTTGTTCAATATTGTCAGAAATACCTTGAATGTTTCGCCGAACTTCGAGAGCGGTCAAGGGAGTTTGTTGGAGACCAGCTTGATCAGTCTATCCGTGTCGATCCCGGAAAGTTGAATGGCCAGAAAGAAACAGTCTTTCTATTCCACAACGAGTCAACCGTACACGCAAATGAACGACCTCGTCTGGCCTGGATTTCCGAAGATACCACTGAATTACGAAAGAAGAGCCAAGGCCGTCTAATACACGACTCAGATTGGATCATTGAAGCGAGTAGTACTGGCTGGTTAGTTATCACACCTGAAGACAAACTCAAAGCTGGGTCTCGTCCTCGACCAACCTTTAGTGACGCTGCAGTGGTGACCTATCCTGGATCTACTGGTGACAAGTGGTGGGACTGTTCTCAACTCATTGAACAGGTCCAAACACGAGCACTTCCTATTTTCAATCACCTTTTCCCTGATTCTCAGGGAGTTTTCATCTTTGATTGCTCATCTGCACATGCGTCTTACGGCCCATCAGCTCTTCGAGTCTCGCACATGAAATTTGGCCCAGGGGGAAAGAAGGAATCCTTACGTGATACCTTTATTCCAACTGAAGATCCTAGGATTCCAACCAAACTTCAAGGGCAGCCACAGTCGATGGTGTATCCTCCAGATCATCCTCAGTTTCCTGGGAAGTCTAAGGGTGTGTGATGCGTTCTTGCAGAGCGAGGTTTGTGGGAATAATTTGTGTCGAAGTCAAAGGCAGCAAATCACAAGCCCGTCTTTCAGTGTGCGGATTGTCAAATGTTGGCAACAAAGCGTGAGCAAATTGCTTGTGAGGGTCGATTGAGGCGAGAGAAAGAAGCCCAGGAAGCTTATGAAACCAGAGGAGACATAATCCCTCTCACTTTTGAAGATGAAGATCTGGCGTGTTGTGCTTCCAAGATTCTAAGCCTCCAATCCAAATTTGCAAACGAGAAGCCCTTGCTTCAGACCATCATAGAAGATGCGGGTCATATATGTCTTTTCCTTCCTAAATTCCATTGTGAGCTTAACCCAATCGAGATATATTGGTCATTTATTAAACATTGTAAGTGTCTTTACATAGCCATCTCTCTCACTTCGTCAACTGACTATGTATGTATCTCATTCAACAGAGTTTTGAAAGAGTAGCCATCTATGTAAGTCTTTCAAGGACTCAAAGGCTCTCTTTGAAAAGGTTCGGCAATCATGTCCCGTCACAACAATACAAAAGTATTTTTGAAAGATTGATCGGCAAATGGATGTGTATTGGTAAGTTTTTATTTGTTTGATTCTTTTGTTTTCATCAATACCTATTCTTTGTTCTTGTTATAGCCAAGGTTTCACAGGCACTCAAGCCAACTCGTTGGCCAACAATAAACAATATTCATCTCATCAATGTGTTCCTCAAAAAGCAGCAATGACTTCCGAGTTTATTTGTCAACCTGGTCACCAAAACCAAGGTGAAAGTTTGTGATTTCTTTTCATTTTATTGTTTTCTCTGATTGTGTTAAATACAGTACAAGGTGCATGTTGAACCCAATTGATATATCATACACAAAGAAAAGAAGTCTTTGACCTCTTACAGACCTCTTACAACACACATAGAATGTTTTTTTTTCTGCTCTTGATATATTCTCTCTTTGTTGTGCCAATGCTCTTTATCTGTGATGTGCTGCAATTAAATGCAATTGATATCAATATACAAGATTGTTGACTAACAGGGCTCAGCTTGAGCGCTCAAGAGGAGCCAATTAGAGGCCTCCTAGACCCATATGTACCACCTAAACCCATATCACCAGCCCATAAGTACGCCCTAAACCCATACTATAAACCCATAAGTATGCTATAAACCCATATGTCCGAAATGTATGGGAATATTTTTTTTTAAAAAAAAAACTGCTGGCCACATTGACTTGAAAAGTCATTCACCGCATAAGCCACCCTCTATTACCCCATAAATGACCTTTCTGCCCTTGATAACCCCTCGGGGCAGGTGGGATGGCTCGGGTCGGTAAATTTCAACTTTTGCGGGCGGGCGCGTGGTACTGTCTTGGTGATAGCAACTGTAGTACATTGTCCATGAAGAACCACCTTGAAATCAAAGATTATGTGCGTGATGGCAATTTACTTGATCAAGGGACCATCATTGGAGCTTTCAACAAGAACAAAACGGGTCATATGGTGAGTCCTTTTATGTAATGATTTCATTATCAAAATTTGATAGCTCACACAAATTGACAATACATTCTGATAGAACAAACTCAACCTCCCTACCCTCAAGACACATGTGTGTTATTTTATAGCCGATAGTGATCTCCTGTTTTTGATTGTTGAAAGACCATCATTTCAAAACCTCCTGCAACTATGTAACCCTCACACAGCCGGTTGTAAGGTTCTATAGACAGAACCTTCACCGGAGAATTTGAATAAGCTTGTAAGCTCAAAATCACCAATATAATGTCTCTATATTCCAAAACAGCTGGCTCCGAGTAGGAGAGTCTCCTTCTAATCAGCTACTACACTAACCCAAACACACACAAGACAAGATATGAAAGACAACTGAATGATGTGCTTACCTGGCTCCGAGTAGGAGAGTCTCCTTAAGGAGAAGATTCACTCAGGAGCCAGGGCAACTAAGATGACTACGCTCTTGATGTCTAAACCCATACCCCATGACTACAGCACTGAGATCTACCTGTAAGGTATACCCTTACACTGGTATGCTTGTCAAACGCACGGCCACCGCCAATCATATGCGCCAGATTTATTATCACTACAGGATTTCATCAAGAAGCTTTACTTTGCACCTTGCAAATTGATTGCAATCACTCAAGATGCTTGGACGTCGCCGAACAATGTCCCATTTATGTCTCTCACTGGTCAATTTATCAATAACAATTGGGAACTCATGGATCTTACTCTAGGTATTGCTGAAATCAAAGGTACGTTTTCATCGCTTTTTAATGAAATATCTCAACATGACTGATGTGATCTTCCAGGTGCACATGATGCAAACAACTTTGCTAGCATCATCCTCAACTACTTGAAAAAGTACGATCTATTGAGCAAGGTGAGCGCAATGACTGCGGACAACATTAGTACAAACGCGGCAATTGGTCAACTCATTGGATCGACAGAAGGAAAGACTTTGATCATAAGACCCAGGTTCCTGGGTGTGTAGCTCATGTGATCAACCTCTCTGCCAAAGAGGGCTTAAAGGTATTTGGTGAAATTGTCAATATGAGACGCGACTTGGCTCTTGCAATGGCTTCTGCAGCTTCCACCAACAATTCCACCAACACTGCTAGTGATTCGACCCCTGCTACTAACACTTTGGGTGCAGCCACCCCTCTTACTGCTGTGGAGAAAGAGGCTGCTGAAAGACTGGCTGCCAAGAATGAGGCTGTTGTCTACATGTCAAAAGATCCAACTATTGACCACGTGGAGCCAGTTCAAAGATATCCTACTAACACCGCAAATTGACTGATTTTTAATGTTCCAACAAGATGGAACTCTTCTTTTCATATGTTTCAAAGACTTCTGCGACTCCAAGACTCATGTGACAAGTTCTGCAAGGGTCAAGATTCTCAAAAGTCTGCTCTGTCACCTACTGAGTGGAAATACGTCAAACAGATGTGTGATTTCTTGGAACCACTCAGTGAAGCCACCAAGATACTTTGTAAATCAAAGTTCCCAACAATGCATCAAATAGTTCCAATCTATATCACAGTCTTACAAGGACTCAAAGACGTAAGTATTTTGTTTTAAACTCACGTGTACTTTACTTTCCAATTTGCTAATCTGAATGACTGTACACATAGGTGATTGGCAAACACGATTTTGATCAATTACAAACTGCTGCAAACAAGACAATAGCTAAACTTGAAGATTACTTCAAGAAAGTACTTGCCAAACCTGCACCGGTATGTGCCACCATCCTGGATCCACGTCTCAAGTTGAATTATTTTCAAGTGAGTTCATTTCTACCTTTTCTGACTTAACTTTGTACTGATCATCATTTGCTTTGAAAAAGGAACGTGCAACAATCTTTTCCAAGTATCACATCAACATTTTGGATTTTAGGTCAATGTTTGAACTAGAAGCCATCCAATTTGAAACCAATGCACCAATTCCAACATTGATTACTGGCAAAAAATTATCAACTGCGGCGACGTCTACTCCTCAATATTTTGAAGATGCAATTTTTGACACCCAAGACAATTTGCAAATGCATTCAATTCAAACTGAGATCACTCAATACCTTGGGGATAAGCTCAAAAACTGTGACCAACATGTATTGAACTTTTGGAAAGATTGAGTAGCCATCTCTCCTGGTTTGGCTAACATGGCGATGGCGTTTCTGGCAATCCCGGCAACTAGCTTCCCGTCAGAGGGGCAATTCAACCAGACAAAAAGAATCTTGGGGCCTCAGCTTAGTAACCTCTCAAGTCTACATGTTAAGACTCTTTTATGTGTAAAAGATTGGCAACAAATTTTTGGACCTTTGAAACTTCCTGCTGTTATTGAACTTGAGGGTGAAGAAGAAGAGTATTTATTTTCTCATCCCCCCCTCCTTTATTCTATTCTTTTGTCATCTACATCCTAAGAAACCAAGCCTGCCAAATGATGAAATAACCACCAGATATCTGGCAGAACACTATTTTTTCTGCTCCTCCATCCAACAACCGGACTGGCCGGATTATCCGGCCACCGGATAGCTCCAAGCCCCTATTCAACATCCGTATCTGACAGATGCACCAACGGATATCTGTCTCCGGGGGGCACCTTGAGTATAGAGAGCTAAGTCTTGGATCTAAGGTATGTTAAATGCTGTGGTGTGGGCTGGCACAGGATTGCTAAGAGCAAGAGCAGCAATTTTGCATAGAAACCTAGCACCTTACCGGAAGGATAGAAGATTCCTTCCAGCAGTGTCCTGCTCCCAGGAAGACAGTTGCTCTTGACTGGGTGAATGGGTTTATTATGATTCAGAAGAGTTCTTTATTTTTAATAAAAATGTGGAAGCAAGATAAGCCGCACATCAGGAGGGATCCTAATCCCTGGCTAGCTAGCCCTTGCACGCTTGTGTTTCTAAAAGTCCTGGTTTTATTTGTGTACCCCCTAAATAGCACCCAGCAGTCCTGATTAGACAGTGGTTTAATTTGATCCACTGCTATTTAGAATTAAATGGTTTGGATGTTCCAAATGACCAAATGTTTTTAGCTTGTAATTAAAAAAGAACTTGCTATTAAACATTGCCAGCAAGAATAAAAACTGTTGGCATCACCTCCAATTGTAAAGCAAAGGTGATTGTTATCAATCATCAATAGATTAGTATTGATCATCAATATGTGCTTGAAATCAATTAATATGTGTTTATTGTTGATTGTCATAACTGTAGTCTGTATTGGTCTTTCACATACAGATTGAAAATTTGTACAAATCACAAAACATCAAACACAAAATCATGGGTTACAGAAACGAGTGGCAGTGGTTTTGCCCCAGGGCCACCGCACCTCAATATGCCGTACACCAAATGTTGGAAGATTGTATGTATACATTGGAAATCACATCAGAAAACTTTTTCAATTCATCATCTCAACATTCCATGCTCCAAATACAATAGATCCATGTTTGAACAGCACTCAAACAATTTAAATATCTTTTAATGACAAATTGACTCTATGGGCTTACCTCAATGTCTCATATTATGCATAGCACAAAAATGCCATGCTTGTACCAACAATATTCTCAAGCTGAATGTAAATAAAACATCCTCATGTATTTGATTTGGTTTTGTTGAAAGTCTTCACAACTTTCTGCTGCAAGCCAAGTTTATGACTGACTACTCACAATTTTCAAGTCAATCAGGTGAAGATGAGTTTGAATGTGGTTGAACTGAGAGCACCAAAAATCATTCTCAAACTAATTGTGGTGCAGAGATTTGGCATATTGTATGTCAATTTCTTGTATGTCAATTTCTGTCTGAATATAGGATGCAAGTTCATCAATTTTACAAAAAGTAAAAACACAAATTGTTATATTTTTCCTTCAATTTTCCATATTCTGATAAAATTCTTGGAATACTTTTGCATGGGCATAATTTCATGGAGTCACAATAGCTTTGGAAGGCGGTGCAGAAGTATCAATAAACTTCAATATGACTTGGACTTCTGACAACCGGAAAATGTACAAATTTGGTACACTTCTTATTCAACAATAAAAAAAATCACCAATGTCTTGTTTAGTCCTTTGGAGTAATACGTAAGACTTGTTATGAAATTGGATCACCAAGACATCAAAAGGCTCTTTTATCATATTGGATGTCTCAAAAGACCAAGGGTTTACATCAATAACTCGCAATAATACTAATAGTGATAAACCTGTGGCCGCGCGAGGCCCTTAGTTTAAGCTGCAACCTTCACAAGCTACCGAGTCAAAAGCAAAGACGGATGACATCAATGGCATATTTTCTGAGCTTCTTCATGATCACAAAACGTTGGCTTACATATTGATGTGTCAGTCACCTTATGGGGGCACGCATAAAGGATACCGTGATGGTTCCAACAAGCTAAACAAATGTTGATCAAAAAAAGTTCACATTCATGGAGTTGATTTCAGCAAAGGTTTTGATCAATTGAAGTATGAAGAATGAAAAGGTAGAGAATCATCTACTGACTGAAAATACCGTCACTGAGATAATTATACTCCTCGCATTGTTGGTTACTTACTCCGGTCTGATCGGAACCATAAAGCACACAATTGTACATCCATATCCACTTATGTCCTTTGGTGATCACATCCACAGAAGAAATTGTTGTAAATATCATGAGTGTGAAATAAAGAGGTTTTGGAGGACTTCACCAGCATGGCCACATCGCGCATATGGACAATTGTAGGTTCCATACCCTGCAATAGTCTGCGCACAAGCTGTGTGAAAAGTAGAAAGGATCAGAACAGATGACAACGACAGTCTATATCAAAAAGGATTCACCGGCTGGGTCCCCCTTATTGAATCCAGCGGGACAGTCTAGGCCGCTGACCGAGTTGATTTCCATAAGGAATGACAGTGTGATGTACATCACAAATATATTGAGGTGGGTTTTGAAAGACATCGTGTTGTACATGGGGACCACGGGAACATGTGGGGAAGTTACTTCTGAAATTGGAATTGGACCGTTGTGGTCTATTTACGTGGTCTAATGCACTTTGGTGGTCGCACAGCCGGTGGGCGACACCTCTCTTCAACTCTACTTCCTTTGTTCAGTAGGTATGTTGAGTGGTATTGTGGGGTGGCTGAAGGATAAGAAGATCTGAGAACTGAAATAAACCCATGAGTTTAGTTCTATTGATCAAAGGCCTTCAAAGGCTCTTAAAATATTATCCAACACCGGCAATGCAACATCACCGGGACACATCAACGCCATATGAAGATGGATATCAGTTTGTTTCCTTTTGTCTTATCATGATGTTGGAACCTTTCATTCTCGCTCGTGACTAGCAGAATGGTGGAAATTGCACTTCTTCTCATCGAGATGTCTTCCAAGTGGTACATAGTGATTTAAAGGTCCAATGCTCTACCTGTTTCCTGTATAAGACGCTGAGCCCTCGCATGAAGCCCATCAGTAGAGCTTCCAAGACAAAGTCCCTCTCGCATCCTGATTTCCAACAACGTACACTCATGATGAAACGCAGGGAGGTAGTTTCACATGAAGTAAACTTTCCCTGCACCTACCGTTCAACTTTCGGCCACCTTTGACGAAACAACCTCGGTTGTTCTTGCAGCTGAGGTATGCGTGGAAGTCTGTGCAAGCTAAATTAATCTACGGCTTCAGCGCAAAGCAAACTCGCCGGTTTATAAAGGGATAGCTTGCTTCCGCACCCATCAGTCAAGAAGCGCTTCGCAGCTTTCGGATCTGACTATTCCGATACTTGGCCTTGGCATCTCGACCTGCATTAATGTCATGTAGGCTCATGATGTGTGTATGCATGCGTATCTAAGTGTGGAGGCTCACTGCCTGATCGACTTCAATCCGGGTCATCTGGGTCATCTCTAACTATCACATCGTGTTAAAAGATTCAATATCGAACTAGAAACATATCTTGGTCATAGATTAACCATCCCGTTATTTGATTTTAGTCTCATCTTCAGAAAAACTCGCCAATAAGCTGTGAAAACAATTCTGAGATATATTTGAGTGAGTATGGCAGTGCATTGCACATCGGATAGGTAGAGATGATGTTATCAAGTCATTCCGGATCTCCGGTGGACGTGATTCATCTTTCCAAGTATTTAAGCTGAGGTCTTGCTGAGGAATAACTTCATCCCGAACAATAATTTCAATCATTACTTCTACTCATCTGGGACCTGAAACTCTTACCGCCATACTGCTCCTCTGAGTGCCATCATGAGATCCTTTGACCTTTTCTTGCTTGTCTTGGCCATCGGTATATATGTTTCCTCGCCTCTTCATCCTCTCTTCCCCCAATGATAGCTCCTTTTTCAATAACTTACAATCTTATTTTTCTGAGTGTCTCTCAATAGTCTTCGCCTCTAGCACTGGGAAGAGCATTCCCACTACCACAGCGACTTTGACGGATAAGCAAACTATACAAGCTGAATCTGGATTTAGCATCGAATCTGGGTATAGCGTCGAGATCACTCAAAGTTTTGAGGTTACTTTCTCTACTATAACCAACTACAATGCTACTATTCAAACTGCCTGTCGACAAGGATCAGTTGCAAGTGTTTTAGGTGCTTTTAATGAAATACATACTGCTATGAATCGATTAAGCAAAAATTTCGTGATCTCCCTTGTTTTATCTCGTCAAGCTGCTGTAAGTTTCAGATGAATGATCAATTAGAAATGTCGACAAAAGTTTAATGTTTGGTTTTCTTTCCTTAGGTTTCTTGTGCTTCAAGATACACAGAACTTTTAATGCAATTTCAATTATTGATCCGAACAGTATCTGATTACCCAATGATGATCATGGCTTGTCAACGTAAATCTTTCATTTCCTTTCAAAAAGATTATCTTAATCAAAGAAATGAAATTGACATACTTTCATTCTCCTAATTTCCTTTATATAGCACTTATGTTAAGATACTCAAGACAATTTCAAATGATGAATTCATATTTCTCTCGTTGTGGTATAAATATGAATTCTTTATTACAAAAGCAAGTTGGATTTGATGCTCGAATTTGGTTAAAGTTTGGTATAAGTTTTGAAGCTGGTTTAGGATTTTGATCTATTTCATTTAAACTGAAAAAAAGAAGAGAAGATTGGAATGGAATTCGAAATCAAACCCATTTTTTTAGGGGATTCATTTATTTTGTAAACCTTGATCATTACTTTTGTTGCGATTGGAATGTTTATAACTTGTCTAACATGAAACATTTATTTGCCGTGATGCTTTATCACCTAAAGTGACCCGCGTTTAAAGTGTTGTCAAACTCATGAAAAAAAGATCAGTATGACCAATCCTCCCTACCCGCTAGGGAAAATGTCAAAATGAACGATAACGAGTCCAAGAAGTTGAATATAGTCCAAAAGAAATTATATTTCAAAGCTTGATACCAGATCAACCTTTATCAATACAAGTAAAATTGAATAAAAACAAAACCCACAAAGTACATTTTACATTGTCCAAAACTAATGCTCTCAAAACAAATCCTTCACCCTACAAATCAATCAAAAGATACTTAATGGAATCACATCGCCAAGATCAACATTGTAGGGAACTCAATCAGAAAATAGAAATTCTAGTGAATGAATTTAAATTGAGCAAAAACCTAAAGTGAAGACAATGAACTTGGTTAATCAAAGCCTGCATAATCTGATGTTATGTGACTGTGGAGAATGAGTCAACCCCAACAACAAGATCTAGAGAATAAAGTCCGTTTGATTGATGTCTAATCTTGATATGAGATCAACCGAAATGATTTGTTTGATCCAGGGAAGAATTTATTCCATTTGGATCACAGATCCTTGGTGGATACTTACATGTTGTTGTTAATGTTCATTGAGAAGCAACAAGACCACATGGAATAGGATTAGAAGATGAAGAATTTCTTTGAATGGAAATTGAGAGCATGCCTTTCATTCTCTTATTTTCTTCTCTCAAAATCTTATTTTCATTTTGAACTTGATATAAAAAATCAACAGCTAATCAAAAGAAGAAATCATCAATTTATGGTTTTATTTATTTTTTCTTGAAAATGAATATCTACCATTCAAATGAAATGAAAAATTACCTCTAGATAAAGTTTCCCATTTTGATATTTTGGGATTCTTGTCACCAATTAATCCATCAGAAGGGATAGCTAACCTAAGCTCATCAAATAATTCTTTCATCTCTTTTCTTCTTTTTCTTTCTGCAAGCTTATGACTAACTTTCAAGTCAGAAGATCTCTCGTTATTAACTTTACTTTGAGTTTGACTGTTCTCAAAGAGAGTTTGGTGTGGAGATTCGAATGGGATCGATGACCATGGTGTATCCGGACAGCTACTTGTAGGTTGCGGGTGTACGCCAGTAGTGTACGGATTAAATTCTGTTGATGGTATGGCTGGTAGACTAGGTAAAGCCATGGCGAGAGGAATACCTAGATGAACTGGGGACTGATGGCTTTGCCAAGGAGTATTGGTGGTATGGGTAGTAGAAGTTGATGGTGGTGAAGGTGCAGCATGTGAATCTGTATCTGAAAAAGGATATAGTGATGAACCATCTGATGTCTTTCTGACTGGTGAGAAATTATGTTGAGGTAAACTTGAGTATTGGTGTTGGAATGGACTTGATGGAAATGTTGAAAGAGTTTTAGATTCAAGAACACTTAGGCTCGCATTCCTACGCCTATGTGATTCCATGAATTCTGGATAAGAGTTGAAGCGGTTCGAATGGGTCGAAGTAGAGCTCCACTCTGAACTTGAAGGCAGTTGTGTGTTCTGAAAATTAATCGAGGTAGGAGAAGTGACCAAACCTGATAGGTCTTGACGTTTCCGTTTAAAAGGAGTTGGGATTTCATTGGAATAAGTTTTGAGATTGTTATCATGGTTATCATCATCATCATCATAATCGTGAATACAAGCAGTACCAATATTATCATTATTGGTGTTGGCATTAGTATTAGTGTTATTAGTATTATTATTAGTATTATCAACACTGGCATTGTGTTCCTGGTAAGGATGCCGGGGCGTCATTTCAAGAGCTAAAGACAAACTCCTCGAGAGCTTGTGATGTGGTACAGGCCGAACTGCGGTAATGAGTGGAGGTAGACCTAGGGTTGATTTATTAATTGGTCGTGAATTAGAAGGAGTTGAAGGATACATTAAATCTATGGATGAGGTATCCAATGGAGTACGAGTAAGAAATCGATGAAGATGAGATTGAAAAGTTTTTGATAGGATAGTTGAGATTCTGACAAATCCTTTTTGAATCATCAGCAGTTTATCATTCATTTTATCAGTCTATATCCTTTCACAATCATAGGAAAACCTCTTTCATCCGAGGATTGGTTGTGAATGTGATTGTACAGCGATTGTAGTGAAGTGTTGAGGATGATCGTCTAATTATCAATTTTGATACACTGTAAAGCGATTTGCGGGGGTCCAACGACGTCGACGGGCACGTAGACAAGCCTCGGGCATGTATCCCCGCCGGCGATCGAGAGTATGGTGACTATTTATCACTGAGGTTGCGTGAATACGTCGATAGTAACATTGGGAAATGTAAAGAGATGAAGCGCACTCGTCTTAAGACTTCAGTTACGAGACTAGGGAAGTCATGCTTGTGCGCAACACTTGCATCGTAAGCCTTTCGATAGCGATGAGACCAAATTTATTAACATCAGATTGATGATATGGCAATTGTGATGATGGCGATAAAATTAAAGCGAACTCGATCGATGAAAACCGTCAAGATCGGATCAGTCGGCTAAATGATTTGTCTTTCTTCACTACACGACACATATCAGCACTTCACAAAATATGAAAAGGTGTCCCGCTTTAAAAAATTACGCATATTTTACAGTCATTCAAGAAAAGCCTGCTCAATTTTGCCCGCAAAACTGGAGCGCTTGGCGGGAAAATTTGTTGCAAGCTTTTCTTAAATGACTGTACAGCTCGGGGCAAGTTGTGGTACATCGTAAAAATAAGTAAAAACCTTTGACTTGAAACTCCTTACTTTTTGCATGATTTACAACGCACAATTTCTTTTGTAGACTTTCCAGGATAGACTGTGTTGATATGTCGAGTGCACAAGGGTTAGAAGTAGATATTATGAGCCAGGAAGACTTTTCAATTCTGCATCAGAGAGTTCTTTTGACAATCAAGAGCCTTTGTCTAGTTGGCAGGACAAAAAATGCGGGAAATGATGAAGAAGCCTACTTAACGTCTAACTCATCAAAAAGGTAAACGACAAACTTAACTAAGTCCCTCTTGAGCAGGCTCCGGTGCTCAAGAGGGACTTGAGTTTGGGTGTCTGATTGGAGGCTCAAAACACGTTTCTTTAATTCATCAGATCCAAGTGTAAAACAACCTTATAAAAGCTTTCCTTCTGCTTCTTCTTCTTCACCTCCAAATTGAAATAATACATAAGTTTTAATCATTCAAATGAAGCAAAAAAGAAAGAACGAAAAAAAAGATGATTTTTTTCCTTTTCTACAAACTGTAAAAGAAAAGACAGAAATTGACGAATAAGGTAATACGGAATAATAATAATAATAATAAAAAGGAAGGGCTGAAGTTAATTTTAACAAAACAAAAAAAGAAAGGAAGCCAAATAAAAAAGTCTTAAACAAGGTTGTTTTTTCAAGGAAATGTAAAATTCAAGGTTGGTTTGTTTAATGATAACTTGGTAATGCGAAACCTATTCTAGAGTTTGCAAACTAGTTTTGGTTTTGTGTATAAAGAAAAAAAAAAGTCAGAAAAAACTCCCCAAAACAAACAAGATGCAAGAGAGAAGATTCAACAGAAAGATGACTTACGTCAAAAGTGGTGTAATAACTTTTCATGAAAGAGATCCCTAATCAAACCGCAATGATAAAAGAAATCAATTAATTACTTCAGACGAAAAAGATTCAATAGATTTTAAGTCTTACCAAGTATCCAATCACCACCTGTTTCACCACTAAAGACAGCTCCAACACAACGACTACTTCCAGGAGAAACCTTTCCCAACTACAAAGTTTCAAAGCAACAAAACCACATCAACTTCAGAAACAAACAATTCGAACCACTTTAAATAAAACATCAAACTTACATTCATATCCAGATCATTAACCAAAAGTTCCAATCCATTCCCAAAATCAAAAGTCATCCTAACAGATTGGCCACAAGGAAAAGTATAAAACCCATCCCCAGCCTTAGTCGAAGAATTAGGAATAGTATCCCAAAAAGCTTTAGCTTGATCAGAAGGAGCCGCAATATAAGTCGTACCCGAATCAATAATAGCCGTAGTAGATGTGATAGGAACTTTAGTTTTAAGATTCTTTCCATTGTTACAGTATAGATTTTCAAGTTTGATTTGCCAATAGGTTTGTGAAATTAAAGGTGCGTATTGGAATGAACCTTTGAACTTGCTGGGGTTTTGTCCTCCTATATATAATTCGGATTGTGCATATGAACCTGATGCAGATCTAAATACGAACCAAATCGAATTATTTAAAGAATTTCAATTATCAATTGTTGAGCTTGTTGAGAAAAGATTCCAAATGATTTGGTGAATGAGAACTTACCTTCCCATTGCGAATGAGAACATCTTACTTTCTGGTGATGATAAACTAGGGTTTTGAGACATTGCATTATAAAACCAAGGTTTAGCATGACTAGTAGCAATACTTTCAAAAGCTAAAAAAAATCAAATCAAGTAAACCAAATTAATGAGAAAGACTGTTTTTCAAAACATAAAAAAAGAACCAAATAATTTTTTGTAGTTTCACTGACCTAATCCCAGAACTCCATCAGCAGGATCATTAATCCAATCTTCAGAAAGCATATCACAAGAAGCAAAAGCTTGATTCTTAACTGAAAAACCAGAAACGGTAACACTATCTTGATACATCGTTCCACTTACACCTCCTACACCATAAGCAATTTTAAATGATTGATTCATATCGGTTGATGTACTTGATACTTTTGGATTGTAATACATATGTTTGTTTGTTGAAGATTTACCACAATTCTTCTTACACATTAATGATTTAATCCACTATTTTTAATAAAAGAAAAAAAAAGTTAATTGTTTAGTTTTCTTTTCGAGTTTTCAAATTTATTCAAGTTTCATAAATGAATGGTTTATGAAAAAGAATCAGGATTCAGAAAAACAAAACGATTTACCATATCTGATGAACCCGTATCAAAATCAATCATAAAATTCAAAGGAGGTGTACCGATTTGAATCGAACCATAAAACTCAATATCACCTTTATCTGAAGTACTATCAAACAATTTAGTAGAATGAACATCATTATCATGACTAGGATTAGGATTCGGTTCAGTTTGTCTAGCATTCGAATTCAACAAAAAGTTTCTAGAACTTCCATCTTGATTATCTTGATGATCTTGACCAACTTGTTCGGTTCTGTCTAATCCTTTTGTAGGTTTCTTCATCTTCTTAAACCTTCCAGAATGTTGATGATGAATATACTTCGTACCTCTAGCTAAACCTAATCTAGCAAAAGCTGTACCTTTCTTAACATCCATCGAACTCATTCCTTGGTTTTCTTCGTCAGATGATGATGGTGGTGGGGTTACAATTGGTTTAGGTTCAGATGAAACTCTTAAAAGTCCTAATCCATTAGTTAAAGAAGAAGAACTTGGATTAGAATCCGGAAATTGTTGTAAATAATTCGACGAAAGATCGGTGATAGATTTAGGTAAACTTTTACTTGAAATCCATCTACGTGGATGTACCAGTTGTTCTTCAATTAAATTTATATATGATTTTTTCTTATAACGTGATTCAGTTTTGGTTACAAAACTTTTTAAGGTTTTCCAATTTACAATTCCTACGTAGTTTGGATGATGATTCGATGTATCTTGTAATGATGATTTAGGTCCTAATGGAATAGCTAATTGACTTGATACATTTGAAATAAAAATTAAAGTAATGAAAGTTGAAAGTTGAATAAGAGAGTTAGTTAAACTAAACCCCATCCTCTTGTCTTTTAAGATTTGAGGATTTGAAAATGTCGAAAAGGAAGGTCTTGCTTGAATGTCAAAGTCAGTTGGATGTCTTGAATGATGTTGATGATGATGATGAATAAATTCAGGTGAAAACCCAAGTGAGTTAAAAATGAAGGTGAACAAAATGTTGATTGAGTGTTCGTATTCGTGTGTGTGTGGGTTTGCCGTTGAAAAGGAAAGAGATTGATAATAAATAATAAAATAAGAAAGATGCAAGAAAAATGATAAATAGAAAAATCTGAAAGTCTATCGTTTTTTTTGAAGGTGATTGATTTTTGTTATTGAGTTGAATAAACAAAAGAAATGATACTTTTATCATATATAGATCCGATCCTTAATCCTATGGACAATTTTGGATTTTTCTTTTAGATTAATTAAGCAAAGTTGAGAACTGGACTAGACGTTTGGTTTTTTTGACTGCCCTGTTTATACATCATCCAATCTACCTTTTTTCTATCATCATCATCAAATGAATATCAAGTGTTATCCGTAAAGCGTCATTTCCTAAAGCTCTCATCTTGATCCTCAAAGTCTTGATCCTCAAAGAAGATCAAGGAAGGAACACCACCAAGAGATACTCATCATAGATATCTTTCAACAAGAAGTTCGGATTACAAAGTCATCCTTTTGAGATGGTTGATATCTGATTTTGAGTCATGGTCGATAAGAACATCAACTGTTCAGATCTCTAGGAACAGTTTACCCTCAGTTGACCGTTTTCTTTGAAGACTCTCTCGAAATGATGTCATTACCCGCGTCGCGCGGGTTACGTCACGGTGACGAAAAAAGAAAAGCATGGTCAACAAGGCCTTATGGAAGTGCAATCATCCTTCAGATGCACAAGAAGTTCACAGCGCCGATGTCTACGATGGCTGAACTCGTATACCACACACATCGGGTCATTCAGAACCGCTAGAACAGTCTGCCGTATGGTGTTGATGATCACGGTTTGAAAGTAAACAGTCTTGCTTCTCTAGGAGACGACAGTGGTACTCTGTGAAACGATCAAGAACCGATAAAAGCCTTCTGAAGGTCTCGTGAATCATTGGAAAATAGCCGAGACCTATGAGAATGATATGAACTTGGGTCAAGCCAAACCATACACACTAGCATTTTCAAGTCCAATAATAGCGGTGTACAAACCTACAACCCAACATGAAAACCCATGAAAAAAACCCATGAAAACCCAACTTCTTTATGGGTTTTTTTCATGGGTTTTTTTCATGGGTTGCCCTGGAAAGGTTTGAATGCCCCAACTCCCATCACAACCTAAAGAGTCACACTGACAGGCCACACGCAGCTCTAGTCATCACTTGAGGCCTTAACTTTACTCCACAATGAGTCCACATCTCTCTTTTGGCATCCACCTCAACCATGACTCCATCCACTAGCCCCAGTTTCCTTCCAAATTCGAATTTTAGTTTTAAAAGTCAAAAGTCTCATCTCTTTTTGTTTGAAATGAAACAATATCTTGTGCTTTTTCTGAAATAAAACGATCCCGTTTGAATTCGACTGAAAACAATATCTTACCTATAGAAGTATCCTCTCAAAGTCTTAGAAGTCAACTTAGCCATGTTCTTTTTGAATTGAAACGATATGTTTTTTCAATTGAAAACGATTTCTTAGTTTCCAAAGTCTCATCCAAAGTTTTGAAAGGCGACTCAGATCAGTTTTTGTTTGAAATAGAACGATCGATTGTGCTTGTTTTAAAATATAACGATTGCTTTTGAATTCTTCACATTGCAAATGACGAAACAAACCGAAGAGAGAGAAACTTTGAAATCGGAATACATCAGGTAGACAAGCAAGGTGTATTTGTTTTATGGAAGGATTTGGGTTATTTTGGGTGTGATGGTAATGAAGGGGAGGGGTTGGTTGAGTCTGTGTATATCAAGCTCATCTTTTTTTTCAACAAACGGGTGGTCAGATCTAGCCGATCTCAACCCATGTCAAAAAACCCATGAAAAAAAACCACAAAGAAGTTGGGTTTTCATGGGTTTTTTTCATGGGTTTTCATGTTGGGTTGTAGGTTTGTACACCGCTAATGAAACCCGATTTGAAAACCCTTCAGACCAACATAAACCAAACGCTCATAAACCTTTACAGGCATACATTTGTACAACGACAGAAACCCAAAGAAAAGAGATCAATTGGAAATCTCATGACTCAGAAACCGGAGGATCTTCAATGAGAATACGTTTAGATCTTTGAAAAGGTAATTGAAGGAAAGAAAAATCAAGAATTTCTTTGATACTAGAAAGATTTTGATTCAATTTCAAATAGTGAATCGAAGTTTGATTTAATAAAGTTTTAGTTGGAATTGATAAAAGTTCAAATAAATATTCGTTTTTCAATTCTCCTAGTTTTGATAGATAATTTATTTTCATTGGGTTTAGGCTTTCGGTTAAGATTCTTAAGAGGTTTTTTGGGCTTTCTTCGGTTGTGATTGAGATGTATGAATTGTTTTCGTAGTCTAAAGTGGCTGGATTCATTTTAAGTGATGATAATAGTGAACAGAGCTTTGTTGAACTTGGATGAGAATGAGGCAGCTTGTGTAGTTGAAGACTGAAGTGGATGGTTGTTGAATGGTCAGAAATCCAAGGAAGGGTTAGGTTTCAAAGTTATTTGGTGTTACCACGAATTTTAACAATTCCAGCATTCAACTTCAAGCTTTCATCAATCAATACCAATCAAACACCACACATCCTCACTCTCAAAACTAAAAACCAATCAAACCCATCAAAATCTCAGTCTAAACAAACACTCTCGGGAATTTCAAATAGAATGCCACCCAAGAAAGGTAAAAAAACCAAAAAAGGTGTAGATGATGATGAACTATGGTAAGTAGAATTCCTTAAACTCAAGTTCATGAAAGTCAATCAAAGTTCTGACAAAACGTTTCATCTTATTGAATAACTAGGGCAGGAAAAGAAAAAGAAACCATCTCATTAGTCGATCCGAATCCAGTATCAGAAGAAGAAGAAGAGATTCCCATCACCAAAAAAGGCAAATCTAAATCATCCGCTTTTGCTTATGCTGCACTTGATGAGATGACAGGTGGAGATGAAGAAGTAAAGGAAGAAGAAGAAGATCAAGAAGATTTTGGTGGACTGATGAGTGCACTTAAAAGTGCTTCAGCATCCAAAAGTAAAACAACTAAAAAGGACAAGGTAAACCATCTTCTTCTTGGTTTTATGACTCGTAATCCAAATTGATCCAATCTGATATCTTTTCTTATCCTTGAATCGTAGAAGAAAAACAAAAAGGCAAATCTATCAGAAGAAGAAGATGTTAAGAATGAAGATTTAGTAGAAGATCAAATCAAATTAGATTCCAAAAAACCCATCGAACTTACGATTGATGAATTATATCCAGAAGATGAAGACGAAAAGAAAAAATCCAAAAAATCCAAGAAAAAAGCAGGAGGAAAGAAATCAAATCATCAAGCAGATGAAGAGTTAGATGAAGATGAGTTTTTAGAAAATGCTCGAAAAGCACGTGAAGAAGCCGAAGCAAAACTGGCATCTCAAGTTATTCCAATCTCTTCACCTACGATTGAAAATGATGAAGCGGCTCCTAGTGGGGTTTTATCAAAGAAGGAAAAAGAAAGGTTAAAGAAAGAAAAAGAAAAAGCAAAGAAGAAGGCTCAAGCTGCTGCTAAGAAAGCAACTGGTACTCCTTTAAGTCCTGTACTCGATCAAAACAACTCTGAATCTCCTAGTGTACCACCAACTACAGATGCTTCAACAACTCAAGAAGCGACCGCGCCTGGGCAAGGTGGAGAAGACGACGATGAAGGAGACGAAGATGAGGGAGCTGGAGGCACTGCTGCCTCAAAGAATAAGAAAAAGAAGAGTATGTTACAATTTCTTACAAAGTATTTCTTACGTTCAAGGCCTAACTGACGTCTATTTGAATCTTACACGTTGTCCAAAGAAAAGAAAGCCGGTGAAAAGGTTGAACCCGAGCCAAAGAAGAAAGTAGGAGGAAAATTGAATGCGTTACGAGTAAGTTTCATCTAACCTTTCATCATCACATGACATGACATGACATATGCTAAAGTTGAACTATCACTTTAGGCTGCTATGGAGGAACGACAAAGGCTTGAAGCTGAAGCTAAAGCAAAGGCTGAAGAAGAAGAAAGATTACGAAGAGAAGAGGAAGAGAGATTAGCAGCTGAGGAGAAACAAAAAGAAGAAGAGAAAGCCAGAAAGAAAGAAAAAGAGAAAGTAAGTTTTAAACAACAAAATCGAATCTCATAACCATCTTTAGATATTTGAACTTATTGAGCCTTGATTTTTTTTCCACAATTTTTTGGATATAGCTCAAGAAAGAAGAATTAAGGAAAGCTGGAAAATTATTGACTCCAAAGCAAAAGGCTGAGAAAGCTGCAGCAGAAGCAAGATTGAAAGCATTAGTAGCTTCGGGTGTTCAGGTTGCTGGACTTCAACAACGGAATGGCGATGCTCCTACTTCAAGTACTACTTCCAAGAAACCTATCTATAGCAATCGTAAAAAAGGTGCCAACAAGAAAGATCCATTAGCGGATGTCTTAAAGCTAGATAATTTGCCTGATGTGAGTGAGCTTAAGATATCGGAACCCGAGAAAGCTGCAGTAGATAAACCGGAATCTATACCATCCCCAAGTCCACCTATCGAAGAAGTCAAAGCTGAGGTGGCTAGTGATGTTAAGGATGACTGGGAAGCAGAAAGTGATGGGGTCAAGGATGATTGGGAAGCGGAAAGTGAAGAAGAGGTTGCACCGACGCCTCCTAAGAATACTACCACTCCTGCTGAAAAGTCACAGTCGGCGAATAAATCTGGTCCACCGGTATCTAAAAGCAAAACACCAGTAGCCGCGCCGAATAAGACCGCCCCAGCTAACAAGCAGCCAACAAGACCGAATACAAGCAAGGCTCAAAACACCAAGGAAAGTAAGACAACAGCGGGCAACAAAACAAAACCAGTCGATTCGAAAGCCGACAGTTCAGAAGACTCAGAAGATGATTCAGAAGAAGATGATTCAGATTCAGAGGAAGACTCAGATTCAGATGATTCAGATGATGATTCAGATGATGATTCAGATGATGATTCAGATGATTCAGATGGAGAAAAGAAAATGTCAACTGCAAGAAAGATGGCAGCCCAACGTAAAGCAGAAGCAGCAGCTAGAAGGATTAAACGACATGAAGAGGCACTTGAAGCTAGAAATCCTGAAGATATGAGAAGTCCGATTTGTTGTATTTTAGGACATGTTGATACTGGAAAGACCAAATTACTTGATAAGGTTAGTACCAATTTTTACCAATCGATTTTCTTAAAATATCTTGTTTAGATACTGATTTGAAAATCTTCGGAATTGATTCTTTTTTCAAAGATTCGACAAACTAATGTACAAGAAGGTGAAGCTGGAGGGATCACTCAACAGATCGGTGCTACATTCTTTCCTATGGAAGCTATCAAACGTAAAACAGCTGTGATGGGAGAATATGATATTAAAGAATATAAATTACCTGGTTTATTGGTGATCGATACACCTGGACACGAGTCATTTACTAATCTGAGAAGTCGAGGTAGTTCATTATGTAATATTGCGATTCTTGTGGTAGATATCATGGTTAGCATCTCTCTTCTCCAACTTTGATCCGTGTCACATTCAAACTCACAAAGCTTTATGCTTATTTCTCTTAGCACGGATTGGAACAACAAACAATTGAATCACTCAAATTGTTAAGGGATAAGAAAACACCATTTATTGTAGCTTTGAATAAGATTGATCGATTATATGGTTGGAAAGAGATTCGAGAAAATTCATTTAGAGATTCACTTTCAAAACAAGTGAGACCAGTGCAAAAAGAATTTGAAAATCGATTGAAATCAGCCATCGTTGCATTTGCCGAACAAGGATTAAATGCGGTACCGTATTATGAAAACACAAATTATTCTAAAAACGTTTCATTAGTACCTACTTCAGCTGTCACAGGTGAAGGTGTACCTGATTTATTAATGTTATTAATCAAATTAACACAAGAAAGAATGTCAGAAAGATTAATGTATTTATCCGAATTAGAATGTACTGTTTTAGAAGTTAAAGTTATCGAAGGTTTAGGTACTACTATTGATATTGTACTTTCTAATGGGATTTTAAGAGAAGGTGATAAGATTGTCGTTTGTGGTCTTAATGGACCGATCGTCACTCAAATCAGAGCACTTCTTACTCCTCAACCTATGAAAGAAATGCGAATTAAAGTAAGTTTAAGTTTTGAAACTCTCGATTTATAAAAAGTTGAAATTACTCGATTGATTTAAAAAACGAACTTCTTGGTTTTGGTTTTGGTTTGGTTTGATTTTTAGGGACAATATGTTCATCATAAAGAAGTTAAAGCAGCTTTAGGAATCAAAATCGTTGCACCTGATTTAGAAAAAGCGATTGCAGGTTCAAGATTATTACTTTTAACTGATGATGATGATGAAGAAGACTTAAAAGAAGAAGTGATGGGAGATTTAACGAATTTGATGAACAATATTGATAAATCGGGTAGAGGTGTTTGTGTACAAGCTTCTACTTTAGGTTCATTGGAAGCTTTACTCGAATTTTTAAGAACTAGTAAAATTCCAGTATGTTTTTTGAAAAGCTTTCTCTTTCTTTCTCTCTCCCTCTAGGATTCATTTCAAGTTAATGATAATATCTTACGTCTATTCTATTGTAGGTTTCAGGTATCAATATTGGACCTGTTTATAAAAGAGATGTGATGCGTGCAGGAACCATGCTTGAAAAAGCTAAAGAATTAGCAGTTTTACTTGCATTTGATGTACCCATTGATAAAGATGCCGAAAAACTTGCAGAAGAAACTGGAGTGAAGATCTTTAAAGGTAAATGATCAACCGTCGACCTTTTGATACTTTTCCTTAGTCAAGAACTGTTCGGGAAAATCAGTTACTGATCTAGACTGATTGGGTTTTTTCAATTCACATTTTTGTTGATCATAGCCGATATCATTTACCATTTGTTTGATGCTTTTACGGCTTATAATGCTAATATTCTTGAAGCCAAACGAATCGATTCGGCTCCTATTGCTGTTTGGCCATGTCGACTTAAGATCATTCAGGTCTTTGCTAAACGTGATCGTAAGTAGATAGCCCTTTCGAAACGGACTTTGAAATATTGGGATTTGAATCTGACGTGATATTCTCTATTTAGCTATCATTGTGGGTTGTGATATTTTGGAAGGTACATTAAAGGTTGGAACACCTTTATGTGTAGTGAAGGTAGATCCGGTGACTAAGAAACGAGTGACTGTTCCATTGGGTAAAGTGTAAGTCGATCATGGAAAAAACCCATCGCATTTTCCACAATAGCGGATCAACTGAATCTTTTGACTCTTTCTTATAAACTCCACAGTACTTCACTTGAGATCAATCATAAATCAACTCAAAGTTTAAAGAAAGAACAAGCCGGAGCAGGAGTAGCTGTTAAGATTGAACATGCTTCATATCAATCTGCCATGACTTATGGTAGACAATTTGATGATAAAGATGAAGTGATCAGTCAAATCTCAAGACAATCTATTGATGTTTTAAAGAATGTGTTTAGATCTGAAGTTTCAAAAGAAGAATGGGCATTGATTGTGAAATTGAAAAAAGATCTTTCAATTGATTAGATTAATTAAAATTATTTTGATTCTTTTTTCTTGTTTGATTTGTTTTTTTTTCTATTGTTGTTCTGCTGGTGTTGGTGCTGTTGGGGTTGGAGTTGGTTTTGTTCATGTTTAAATTGATTTAAAGGTTTATTGTTTTAAAATTTTCTTTCTTTATATTTGGTATACTACATATAAATACATCATAGGTTATATAGCAAAACATTTTATAAATTTTCTAAAGTTAACAAACCTAAGGAAAAAAGTTCTAAAAGCTTGAAGGTATTCTGTTGGATCTTGATTTGGTCAATTCATTCTTTTAAACTTGGATGATTATATATGAAGGTTCAATTTGACCAAAAAAATGTGTTATCTACATCCAAACAATAGGGGGTTTCAACTTGAGATAATTTTGTGTAAAAGTTTTACAAAATGGACAAGTTTGTAAAATTTTACAGTGTCCTTTTTTCCTGCAAACATATGGTCAACAGCATTTGGGACACCTTTTTAGGTGTCCCAAATTTTTATGTTTATGGTAAATTTTACAACAACAGGCAAGATGTTGGATTTTATGTGGGATGTGTCTTGTGGGTTGCACTATCACAGACCCTGTGTGGCACTGGCTAATCTCTACAACACCAGGTCACTTTTTGTTGACCAACAGGTGGTGAGGAGGTTGAAATTGAATGGATGAGATCCTGTTCATACATGGTGAGCCCACAGTGGGCTATGCCCCGGCCCCGGCCCCAGCTGACTGACCATATCTCTGAAGTCTGTGGTTCATGCCCTGGGGCATCTAAAGCTAACTTGATAAGGCAGACAAAAGTACTGTGTCTCTACCACATGTGATTGCCCGGAAGGCATACCATACCATTTACTTCAAAAAAATAAGCTCCATAGATCAACAATCAACTCATCTGACTTACATACATGAGATTTTGAATCTTGGTATACTTTCAAGTGTATATCCACATTTCAGACTGCACTTCCTTTATTATTCAGTGTATATCAGAAATAGACTGCCTTTGAAATTAGGATTGCTTTATAATTACATCTTATATAAATAGAATTCCTTTGGAGAATATTCCTTTTATATACCCTTTATGTTTGACATGCCTCAATTAATTTCTTCTGCTCTTACCACCTGTCTTTTATCACAACAACTCCGTGTGGTGCATGTGTTGGCAAAGGCAAGTGGTCCCCCCAGATGTACATTGACTACTCCAGCCACACCCACCAGCAGTCTAACCCCTTCTGCTCCCATCTCCAATATCAACTATACTACCACTACCAGTACTACTGCACATTCATTGTGGGTGTGGCAGTATTTTGTTCAGCAAGATAATCAAGGCACCATCAAGAACCACAGGGGCAAAAATTGATGCTCACATAGAGGTGAGCATTGTACACCTTCCTGAATTCTCCAAAGGAGGTTGTTTCTTTTCAGATTCCTTCAATTGACAATATTGGTAGTGCTCAGGTGATCAGGCTTTTTTGCTCAAATTTTGCTGTACATTGCTGCAGAATGCCCATTTCCATCTTGGACAAGAATTCTTTGAGCATAGTCTCTCAGATGAGTACTCAGAATCAGTTCATGACTCACTGCATACTCAGAACAGCTCAGAACCTTGTCCAAAATCCTGGATCAGTAGGCTCCAAGGCATGCCACTGAGGATCAGCTGAGGGGCTGAGATGAAGTGAGCAGATGGGCCAGCCCTCCCTCAGGCTTCTTCACTAAGGAATGAATCCTGAGAAAGGCCTAGTTCATCTGCTCAGTTCCTGTTGATCATGTAATCAGCTCATAAACATGAAGAGAATAGGAAGAAAAGGGAAAGAATTTGGAAGTAAGATTGAACAATTGTTAAAAACAACTAGAAAATTCCAATGCTCACCCCAATGTGAGCATATGTTTTTGCCCCTGTGCTTGTGGTTTCTCAAAGTTGCTTTTCTTTTCTGTCTCATTCTTTGTCTTTTGGGAGCTGGTAAGAAAAGAACCACATCTGACCTCAAAAAAATCACATCTCATTGCAGCTTATCTCCTTCTTTTATATACCTTCACAAATTGATTCTTTCATATTTGAACAAGTCACTAGTACTTCAACTTACTTTGGAGTGTTGAGTAGTGTGATAATCTCAGGTAGACTTCAGAAGAATGTTTGGGGACAGTTTTGTCTGAATAATCCAGCTGGTTCTTGCATATTCTGACGTTCCACAGAATTCCAGCATGGACACATGCAGCTAAACCTTATTTTAGTTGACTTTTGGTAATTGTTTCTGGCTTACTGTGGTGCAAGCTTTGATATTATGTTGAATACATTCTGAAAACATATTAAAGTCCCCACAGGACCTGGCCTGCCAGTGACTTGATGCTGTGCTTCTTCTTTTTCTCTTTTTCTCTCTGTCTTCTTGGATTTTTATTTTCTCTAAATTTTTCTGTTGTTTTGTTTAGAATTTCAGAAAGTTGCCACCATCTTGTTTTTCAATATGCATCCACACTTGTTCCAAAAAGAAATAGGTTTCAGAGAAAAGAAAAGGGCTACCTGGAGAATCCTAGGAAACTGGCTAGAGGATGAGCGTAGAGGGTGTGGGACAACTGAGTGAAAATTCTCAAGCTCTCATACAGGACCTCCAAATGCCACAAGATTTTCTGGCATATCCAGATCTCTTCCTGGCGTCTTGGCCATCCTCTGCCTTCCTAGTACTTTCCCTGCACTCTGTAATGGACTTTAGTACCTCTGCGGGCTCTGATAACTCTTGCAATATAGTCAACATTCTGACTCCTTCAAAAACATCAAGCAATCAAGAAGCTTTCATCCTGACCCACAACTTACATGGGTTCACACTGCATTGATTTGGTAGTAATTCAACTCAGCTACAAAAAATCAATAATCATCCTTATATTCTAATTACTTCAATTGGTTACTTTCCCTTATAGGTACAATATCAACTTGCTCACCGGTGACATTCTATATTGAATTGGTTCTGGTTTTCTCAGTATGAAATCTCAGAAGCTGAGGCTGAGGGAAAACTTGTTTTGAAATGTCACTCACATCTGTAAACATGAGATAGTTATCATTCTTTCATTTGTGGTTCTTTCAGGTTATTCAATCTTTGCAGTCACACCTGTTTTAGCTTCATCTGATCCTACTGCACCTCAATCTGGTACACTGATTCCATGTGAAGCAGATGAACAAGCACAATATCAAAACCCTTTCTTATATTCACCTCCAGCTGGTTCAAGTCCTGCAAGTAGTACCACCAACCAAAGACAACATCAGATGAAGATATGTTGGATGATGAACAACCAAGACAGAGAGTTGGGTTAGCTAATGATCAACTACCAAACTTATGTAAATCTGGACAACTATGGCTCACAATCAAGGCTAGTCTATCAACCAACCAAAAAAGAAGTTCCCATTTTTTTCTCATCTCATACCTTTGTCATAGTGTTTTTTACGCATCATTAAATTACTATGTTTGCACAAAGGTCACTCAAATCAGCCCCTTAAAAGCTAAGGAGAAATTCATTCATGTTTGATAAGGCTACAAGTCTTCCTTGGGAATAATACTTCAAACAGTATTGCTAGTAATTCATATGTTTTTGTGTTTTCATCCTTTAAAAACTGGGAATAATACTTAAAATAGTATTGAGACATTTCCCTGGTGCCTTTTTTTTTCTCTGTTGTCAAAAAGAGGGCAGCAAGTGCCCTTGTGGTAGGTTATCCCTTCTTAGGTGTTGTAAAGCCCTTGTTGACCTTCAGATACCACACGGTTAGTGATGGTCCATCCAATTCTACACCTGATTGTCCCTCTCAGGTCTTCCTTCCTCAATTCCTCAGAATGATGGCAATTGTGATAAAACAACATCTGAAGAACTTCAGCAGAAATTTTTAGCACATTTTGGTTAATATTTTGGCAATCTTGTTCTTTCTCTTTGTGCTATGTACATATCTGCTTCAATCTTTGTGATCATGTACATCAACTTCACCTTCACATTGTACTTTGTCAATTGGAAGTTATATTGGGAATCAGATGTGACATTTATTTGATCAAACTCTATCTAATTTCAGTATATTTTATCTATCAATAGTGGATGATACAATTATGCAAGTGTATATTACATATTTGTGTTGTAATTTTTAAAACTAATTTCCCAATAAAAAGAAGGATCCCTCTATTTGTAGCCCCTTTTTGAAAGAAGGGGCTGCACTTACATACAGGTCTGCTCAGTTCCTGGCTCATCTGCATAAGTAAATAACATGTGATACATTATGTAACTTTTTCCATTTTGACAAAATCATCCCAAAAATTGACTACATATACCTCCATAGCTACTCAGGCAATACTCTGGAAGCCATTTGACAGCAACAGAAAGTGTGTTACATGAAGTTGAGTTGATGAACTTACACTCAAGCTTTGGGTCAGTGTATGTAGTCAATGCTAGGAACATTTTTGTCAAGCTGAAAAAAGTTACAGTATGTATTACATATGATTCAATTATCCAGATGAGAAGATAACTGGACAGATCTGTATGTACATGATAGCCACTCATTCACTCAGCCTGCTACATGTATGTAGTGTGGGTGCTATGGCTCAGGTGTGCAGTGATAGATCCTTTTATGACAAACTATACTCTCAATCATTTTCCCATTACCACTTGTGGAAAATGCTCACTTAAATAAGTCTTCTTGGACAAATGAGTAGTCAAGAGAGGAGGGACTTAGACCTTATAACACCTTTTTGGTGTATGAGCCAGAAAAGTTTGGCTGGGCACATTTTCAATCCTCCATATCTTTGTAGCCAGTATACAAATATCTTCTGGACCAAAGAAAAGTCTGCTGCCTCTGATCATCCTACACACACATGTCTTTTCAAATCCACCCCTTGCCGCCAGGAAAGCCCTTAAAACCAGACTTGAAGAACTGATTTTTGTGTAACATTTCAGTGTGTTTGGTATGAGCTTTTGACAGGTTGTCAGCTTTTGGCCTGATTTTGGTATTTTTTGTAAACTTCACAATTGCATTGTTCTGTGAGTTTTGAATCTAATTCAAAGCAGGCTACACATATGTGTGTAGATTGAGCGGGCGCACAGCCCTTTTCTTTGGTTCCAAGGATATTTGTTTTCAGGATACAAAGATATGGAGTGTTGAAAAAGTCCCCAACCAAACTTTTCAGGCTCATATGCCAAAGAGGTGGTATAAGGTCCAAGTCCCTCTCTTGACTACTTGTTTGTCCAAGAGGGACTTAGTTAAGTTGAAAATGTATAATGTTTACAGTGAAGTTTAATCTCTCTATCGGAATAGCTATATTTACGACCCCCTATATTGAATTGCACCCACGTGCTCTGTGAAGAAATGTCCAAATTGTAATGTGATTTCATGCACATCGTGCTACCATCTGTATTGCTGTGCTTACCTATCTCATGACAAGAAGTCTTGTACTGATCAGGTCAAGAAAGAGGAGGTCGGTGTTGATGTCTTACTGAAGACCACATCCATAGACACTCTTAATTTATCCTCTAAAGTTGAGCAGGTCATCAGTCTTTCTGGCTCAAGTTTTGTGGTGAATCATGATTAATAATACCTGTCAGTCTCTGTTTGCTGGTACATATCAAAGCTAAAATGTTATCTGTGTCAGACCAAAACAAGGCTCAGGGCCAGAATCATAATTACCTGTCAAAACACTATACCTCCAGACATTGGAAAGTCTCAGTGGTTATTAGGCCGGCATGGATAGTGGAGTTCAAAAAGCTGCATTCTTCATTCTATTCAAGAGGTTCAAATTCAATAAGACAAAGAGAGTTACAAAGAAGTCTTGATAAGTTAGCCTGTCTGTCTATTTCATCGGACCATGGAACTTATTATCCAATTCCTAAATATCAAGAGAAGAAGTCAGTACAATTCTTTGAAAGAATTTACACTCAAAATGCAATTTCTGTGATAAAGATAAAGATAACTGTACTGACCATAATTTCATCACATGTTAAATCATTTGTAACAAGACATTTGATTCCATGAGATTCAAATCCTTTAACCAATTCAGGTTTAATCACTTGATTTTGATCACATTGATCTCTAGTAAAAACAATTAATTTAAACTTGGGTATTCTTTTGAACCCATGCTGATCTAGACTACTTAAGATCGAATCCCAATAATCTTCACTCGAATTTAAATCTGTAACAATCGTTCTAACGTTCCTTAACATTTTAACTTCTAAGCAAGAAATATCCCACATATCTTCATCATCAGGTGCATCTCGTGTTCTAAGTACTCTTAATTTTGGAAATCTTAAATCTGTTGCATCATACATAAGTTGAGCAGGAAAGCAAAGAGTAAATAAACCTTCTAAAGTGTTTCTAATAGGTTCAAAGATTCGACCTAATCCTTCATGATCATCGGTATCTGAAAAAAGTTCAATAATCTTTAATTTCTTTTTGGGATTTTGAATTAGATTCAATTTCATTTGTTCTTCTTCTTCTTCTTCCTCATTGGGTTCATAAAAACCAGTATAACTAAAAGAAAGGCAACGTAAATTTGATAATGCTTGTGGTGGTGGTGTATTTGAACAATCTATCGAGGAATCTGGATACGATAAACATTCTAGATTTGGTAATGATGAGAGTAAATCGACTATTGAATCTGAATTATAAGTTCCGTCTTTTGATTGAGAATGGCCACGTGAGATACTCAATGATTTTAAATCCTTGATGGATTTAATAGCTTTGATCAATTCAGGTGTAACACCCTCAGAACGAAGAAAGGTAAGGTCTAGATTCTTCAAGTTTGAACCAAGCAATTCGATTAATCTTGTTAGTTGACTCATTGAAACTGGAGGCGTTACTAATTGACAAACAAATCCATTTCAAAGAACTTTTGGTTAGTAATAGTATCTTAAAGTAAGTAATTCGAAACGTTCAAGTTGAGAAACTCACTATCAGCTGGATTTTCTCCATATTCTTCTTTGTCTGAATACCAAAGTTTTTGAATTTTAAGTGTTTTAACTGGACAAGAAGAATAAGGTAAATATAAATCATCTGTCCAATTATCCAAGATCAGTTTTGCATATTTTGAATCATAAATAGAAATCGTTTGAAAATAAAATGGGATAACAGCTTTTGCCCAATTCTTTGAAATCAATCTTAATTTGATCAATTCAGAGTATGATGACTTTGTTAAATGTGGTTCTGAAACGATTGAAGAATTGTGTCCGACTTGTTTATCTAATCGGTTTACGAATACTTCTAAGATCTTTTGAATGATTTCTAATGGTAGCGTATTGGTTTGGTTCATCCTATCTTCTTTTCTGGGTTTTTCTTGTCGGATGTTCGATGATCGATTCGATTGTTCTCTAGAGATGTTAGGAAATAAGATATGGACTATATATGTACTACTTCATAAAGAATCAAACTCTCAAAGTCTTTTTCGATTCAGTTGAGTTTACAATTCGCTCAGTCACAGTTTTCAATCTGTCTGATGTGTATTGAGTTAGAATCCGCGACGCTGCTCGGTACAAGTTGCAAACAGCTCATTAGGTTTATCAACCTGTCTGTAAGTTTTCAAGAAACAATTCTTTGGTAAAAATCTGAAAATCAAGTTTTTAATTCACGAGATCCAGGATATTTTAGGATTGTAAACAGGATTTTTATCCCCATTGATAATAGGATACTGGAGGACAAGATATATAAATAACAGATGGGATGGAAAAAAGAACAAGACTGTCTTTTCCTCGTCCATGTCCTCTTTTTATCAACTCCACACAGATGTTCCAACTCCCGCGAGGGGTGGTAGAGTCGTACCGCCTTTGGAAAGCTACCCTGTCGACTGCAGTCTGTACTTTACAACGCATGTCCAGAGTGAGTCTTTTGTGGAGAGTTATTGTAGGCTTTGAGAATTTCTTCACAGGAAGAACCTCGACAATCTACTTCTACAAGACAAGAATCTTGGTCTACTGGTACAACAACTTGTATACTACTACTTCTGCTAATCCGGTGGCTATATATGTCAAAGAAGGGAATCAGGATGATGACTCGGCTAAGTATTTGGATTGCATCCTGGTCGGTGGAGCGAAAAGAAAATGGTAAAAGTGATGATATGACCATCACCGGGGTTGAGAAATATTAATTGATGAAATGGAGTTGGTTATCTTACTTTGTCAACTTCAAGGTTTTGTAAACACGCTGTTAGGCCATTAAAAGATATAAAGATGTTAATAGATTTTACACCATTTTCTTGAGATTCGATGATAAGTTTGAACTTCACTTCCATGGTGTTTGTCAAAGCAAAACCATTGAACAGCCCTTTCCTTTCGCATTGGCAGAGCAAACCTCCAAGTGTTGTGTATTTTTGAACAAGGCACCGAGCAAAGTTCAAATCGTTTATCGATTTCCAAAATCGCGTTCGGGATGCATCATTGGGGCATCTTTGATCTTAGGATTGTGATCAAATTATTGCATGATTCCAATTCATAAGGGACGGCAAGCAATCTGCATCCAATATGACAATAATCAGGAACATGAGCACATTTTAAGATTTTGAAGCGACCATGAACTTTTCGTGAGGATTTGAGGGTATAAAAAAGGTCCTTTGTTGGTCGAATCGGTTCCTTTTTTCCTCTTCCTCAGCACATTTATTGCCATGAACCTTCACATCGAATTTCTTGATTTTATATCATCATTCATTCTCATTTATCAATCTATCGCATTCAACACATTTCTTCAGCAGATCTATTGCCTGTAACCTCCATCTCACACTTCTTGATATCTTGGTATATCAATTTCCAACAATTTACCCAGCAATCTATCCCATCACCTTTCAGCATCAGTTTCTTGTTTTGATTATTGAGTTCAAGTCACCAATACACTCTCCATTCGACTTCAACTCTATCTTCTTCTTTCAAGTTTTTCTCCTAACCTCAACTTTTCCACTTCAACATCATGAGCTGCTCCAACGCTTTCCCCACCGCTTTTCTTAACTCAGTGTATGGTCCACATGTTTCTCGTAAACGTACCATTGCTCATATCGATGTAAGTGATCCTTCTGTCTCAACGCCTAAATCCCACACTGACGTTTTTCATCTCTTCATTCCTTTAATTCTAGAACTCGGTTTGCGTTTCCGATCTGGCCCCTGTAGCTCACATCAAGCGTGCCCGAATTGTACGACCTCAACCTCAAGGGTTTATATATACCAGCACAGGAGTGACTACAAGTTCCCAAGATTTCGCTTACGTCGGTAGTGGCAGCGAGGTGATCCGAAGATCCTACCCAAACATGAACGTGTGTGACCCATCTCTGGGTGATTTTATCCTTAGCCTATTTGAACCGAATCTAATGTATTTCGCTCGACTTAGTTCTTGATCACAAACCATCAGGAAACCACACGACATGAAGATTTCGAGGCATTCAAGTTGCAATTGGCATTGGAGTTATTGATGGGACCTGCACCTCCTAGCTTAATGAGCGGAAATCAAACCAGTCCCAGTACATCGACTTCTTCACTTCCTTCATCACTGAACCCATCTCCAACGGTGCCATTTAGGCAGACGACATCATATCCTCATCGACCTCCTAACCCAGCAATAGAGAGGAGAAGACCGATGCCCCTGTCATTCGTAAATGTGCCGAATGAAGATCCTCACCAGTTTGAAAGGTCACAGATGATTGAAGCAAAGGGAAAAGAAGGGGTTTCACAGAGTTCAAGTCTTAAGTCGGTAGAAGAAAAAGATGAAGATAAAAAAATACTGAATGATCTTCAGAATTTATTTCCATCTTATCAATATCCTCCGCCACTCTCATGGTAGTTTTTTTTCTTTTTCTTCTGATACTTTGAGTCCATGTTTGTTGAAGTTCTAAGTACAAAGATATATGAGTGTTTCAATTCTTTATTCGGCATTTCTCTTGAATAACTTTTTCTCTCTTTCTTTTCCTTATCTTTTCCTTCTCAATTTACTCTATATTGTGCTTCTTTTTTATGTGCTCAGTAGATGTATGAGAAAGTTTTGATTCTGGTTTTCCATTGTAGATAGTCTTAATATTCTAGTATTATCAGTTTTTCATTTGTAAACACAGGATATTACATTAAGATATCCCTCATGAATGTTGATGTGAAGTTGACTTATTGCCCCGAAAACCATATCAAAAGGCCGCTATCTCTTCAATCTTGGACTTAACCACCCAAGCCTGTCGAGCTATTGAAACCCCTTTCTTCATTTACTTGAACTACTCATTACCTGAAGGGAATCATCTGACGTGTACAGAACACGGTGAAATCTTTGGATCATTTTTACTCTTGAGAGCGTGGTGTGCTCTCTGAAATCTCATCCTGCGTGTTCAGGTCAACCTGCTGTCATTGACATATGACAATTTACCCCATTTCTGAGACAAGGGCAGCTACTTGTTATCAGTTGTTTAAATAGGTGTTGGATTTTGACACACACTTTGAGGCATGGGGCTGGGCAAGTGCAGAAATTTGAGGCTTGCCACTATTGTTGTCAATTTTGGCAACCAAGGGTTGAAACTTGATGTCAGCCCCATAAGAATTTGGCAATAGGCACCACCACTGCAATGCAAAACCAGGGCCCTCTGGCTAATTTTGGAAATAGCCCCAATTTGGGGCTGGCAACTGTGTATACTCTCACACTCTGGAGAAAGATGTAATCAAGAGAAAGAAAATCAGTGGTTTGACAAATAATAATGTGCATAGTGCATTGACACTTTAAAGGTTAGGGGGCTTTGGGGATCTTTGGCAAACTGTTGTGTTCAAATCACAACAAGGTCAAAGAAGCTCAGAAGTGCCAAACACAAGCACAGGAACAAAAATATGCACCTTGGTGTGCATCCCTGCCTGCAAGATGTACCAAAAGTGTAGAGAATATGATCTCAACTATCCTTGAATTGAATCAATTCTTGTTGATCAATTTGTATTCTTCAAGATACCTCAAGATACCTTCAAAGTATGTTCAAGTTGTGTTGATTTCATACTTCACTGGTCTTTTATGCAATTCTTGCATCAGCTTTGAGAGCTCAAGAAAAGCTGCTTGGAATTGTTGCATTACATCTATTCATACAAGAAACTGCACTGTATTTAACCAGGACGGTTGTAAAAGGTGTTTGAGTTGAAGGAGTGTTGATAAGTAAGTCAGACCATCTATTTCATCAGAGCATTAAGCCTCTAATCCAATTCCTGATTATCAAGCAAAGAATCAGTGTCTCATCATATGTCAATTCATTTGTCAGATGGCATTGAACTCCAAGAAATTCAAAGGCCTTCACCAATTCAGGATTGATGATTTTATATTGATCCCAACAACATTGATCTTCAAGGAAGATAGTATGTTTGAAGTTGGGTATGTCCTCCAGTGCATCTGCAGCTCCACCAATAACAGCCCCTTCCCACGTTTTTTTTGGTCTCCTCAAAGCTTGTAGCTACTGTTCTAAGATTCTTTAACCTCAGCACCTTCAACCAAGAAAGACCCGGTAGACATTCAGCAAGTTCATGAATCCCAACCACTCTCAAGCTTGGATATTACAAACCTGGAACATTCGCCAAAAGTTGATCACTAAGTGATATTGTGAATATACCTTCTAATGTATCTTTTTCAGGCTTCAAAAATCCACACGAACCTTTTATCTCTTCAACACAGAAAGTTCAACTATATTTAAGGTCTTTTTGAATGCTTGACCAATTTCAGGAACCTACTCTTGTTTGCTTGTGAACTCCACAAGGTCTCAGTCAGCCACAAGTACATTTTCACACATGCTCCATTGGGTCTAGCAAGTTGTTGGGACGCAGAAGGCGGTGAAGTAGAAAGAAGCTGTGATAAAACAAGCATTTGTCTAGAGAGAGACGCAATCCGAGGTTTTTTTTTGGTCTATCAGTCATTGTACTCATGAAGTTAGTAAGTGGTTCTGACCAGGAAGTCAAAATTACAAAATGAATGAATGCAGTGGAATTCATCCTCAATTCAACATTTTGCCCGCGCATACATATCTCAACTTCCAAGTCATTTTCTGAAAATAATTAACAATTGCATATACTCATGATACTGGCAACGAATAAAGCTTGAAGTGCCTTGAATTGAGCAAGACTGAATAAAAGGTTTAAAACAAAAATCATGGTTAAATGGAATACAATTGCATCATACAATTTACAATCTCAACACATGAATCAATTAAAGTACATTTCACTAAGATCACAATCTATACTACTCAGCTAACTCTAGCCTTCAATGCGAGTTGATATACTAGTTACATCTGCGGATTTTATCAGTCCACTTACAAATGTATCATTCCGAGTTGACGGGATAGATTGAGCCTCATCGCCACTCTAGATCAGGCGACTTTCTTTGACCTTGTGCTGGAAACCGCTATCTCAAATATCGAGCTGTTATCTATGGCTTGCGAATACATTTCGCGGTAGTAGCTAGAGGAATTTGATCGAGTTCTTTGGAGGCCAAGAAAATGAGGTGGATCACAAATACTGAAGATGTTGATCTCATCATCGGATGGAGGGTTTGCTTTATTGATTTCGCAAGCTGGGTCCTCGTATCGAAAGCAGACGTAGCTGAGGATTTGATCTGATAGTTGAGGATATGATGGCATCTCAGATTAGAGCTTGAAGTGGAGCTGTTCGAAACGATATTCATCCAGCAGAACTAAGTTTTCGTCTTCTTCCTTGATTCAGTATTTGCAGAAGGTGGAAGTGAAATATGAGATTGGATTAAAGAATGTGCTACTGATTCTTGCTCAGAGGTGATAGCTGATTCCTGATCCCGATTACGTGATTCAAGAGCCTAGAAAATAAGAAGAATGCAGTCCGATTCTTGAATTTTCGAAATTTAAACGATATGATCAAACTTTCAAGAATACTAACCCTTAGGTATGATCCACTACTCTTTGAAAACACCCGTTCAGCATCTCCTACGACTTCAGTGTGTGGGTTGAGTAAGGATGAAGTTCCAAAAGCAGCAGTTGTAGTTCTTTTACGTCGAGTTGAATGATGATCGACTGATGATATTCCATTAGCGCCTATTGTGACAGACGGCGGAGCTTTAACGTAAGCTTCGTATCCTTTAACGATATTACCGAATGAGTTCGCCGTTGGATGAGTCAGATAAGCCGTCTCATCAGCGTAAAGTGTTGCTTCTAATGAAGCCTTGAAGGTTTCAAAAGTGAAAAGGATAAAGAAAGTGTCAGGTTTCGAATATGAGTCTGAGATTGATTATAAAAGCGCGTTCAGATTGACAACTTACAAGTTCTTTGTCCAACTTTCGTTTCTTCAAAAGGGTTTGAGTCAATTCCTTTTTAGCTGTTTCTAATCTTTGTCTTAGTTCAGGATCCTCAATGACATGATTTGATATCTGAGTATTTTGATTTGATTGATTGGATTCTTGTTGTTCCAAGTTTGATTGATATTGGATGGAATGTGCTGTTATAGGTTGAACGAGATTACTTGAAGCCATCGATGGTTTTAGTCAAGTTGAACTTGAGCGGAAAGGTTTCGATCAACTCTTCGAGAATTAAATCTCCAATAGCCTTTCACAGCTTCCTTGCCTTTCACAGCTCCATCACTTGTCACGTGAGAAATCGAGCTTGTGATATACAACAGATTCACAAGTTCGAGTCATGTCGATGCCTCAAGACAAATGTGGACTTCAGGTTGTCTCACAACGAATCAGTATAAGTAGTTGACATAATCCCCAGCGGCAGGTAAGTACTTGAAGAATTCTCTTGCACATAACCGAATCGCACGGCTTCAGAAAAGAACCGAATGGAATCTCAAACCCGCTGAGGATGAAGTAAAAGAAGAGTGTATACGAAAAACATCTGTTTCTACATGGAATCTGATAAGAGGAAAGTAGATAGATTTTAATAATCAAAAAGATCTGATCATACTTACTACACTGATTTTAAGCTTGCTATAAAGAGCAAGAGAAAAAGATCATCTATGTTGGCCCGCATCAGGGGTAGAGAAAGGAAGTGTTAGGAGAGAAATTTCAAGATCAAAGCATTTGAAAGATTCCAGAGCATCAGTAAATATGCGATTTTTGAACTGCTTGTGATATCAGTAAAAACTTACAGTCAGTTGACATATCCTTTGTCTTGATATTGATCCGGGCCTTGATCTGGAGGTTCCTCAGGAGGGATGTGGAAAAAACATCCTTATCAAGTTGATGATCAATGTTTGAACCTTGTAAACTTGTATGGTTAACTAGAAAAAAAAGAGGTATGAGTCATATGAATGAGGCCACCCAACAACGATATCTGCAAGGTTGGATGTCACATGAGGTGGTATGAAATGCATATCCTATGTCCTTGCCCTCCAAGGCGCGATCATCAATGTCCATCCTTCTCCTGTGGGCTTCGAAAGATCTTTGAAAGAAAAGTTTGAGAAATTCGTTCAAAGACAAAAATGTGTCCACACGAAATGAGATACTCAAGATCTCGTGGCGGTGAGGGTTGATTGATGCACCTTGCCCTTGGACATCTCCCATTCAGACCCAAGAGGGGAATATCCAACATTCATCGTGAGAACACCAGGGGGTAAACTTACGGCAAGAAAACGGTTTTCGAAGCCGTTTTCCTGCCGTCACGGATTTGAACTATTCGTGTCGTTTCTGAGACGATTTCAGATGGGACCGCACGAACGCGGTTCCCATCACCGTTTTTGGCGGTGCGAGCAAACTGCCTCGGTGACCCCTGAACACGGTCCCTGGAACGTTCCGAGGGTACGTCGTAGATTTGCCAAAAGAAAATCAGGCAGTGGGACTTGAACACAGGCTCAAAAACGAGAAAAGGCTTGGTCGTGGCCACAGAGCGTTTCACCGCTACACCATACAGACCACACTGTGAGTCCACCTTGTGTCATATCAGTATGCTTTCGAATCATCAACCGAGTCATTCCTCAATAACAAGGCTTATCAGCTATCGTTGGCACAACCGGTAACGATGCTTGCCATGTGATTCTCCGAGGCTCAACCGATGGACACGTGTATTCGGCTCAGCATGTAGAGTCATGTAGCGCACAACTTTCAAAAGCTGGCCTACGACCATCAGTGATGATCGATTGCTCGCATGGTAACTCACAAAAACAAATTGCAAGTTAAGTCGTCGTTGCTGAAGGTAGTTCGACACCGATTGCAATCGGTATCAAAAAAACTGCTTCACCACCACCTCAGGAGCCGTTCTCAAACGGTTGCTGACATGCAGCTCGTTCCAGAAGCGGTGGTGGAACGGTGTCCGAATCGGTTTCGGCGAAACCGGTTCCACACCTTCCTGGGCGGTTCAGGTGACGAAACCTTTGAAATCGTCACAGGAACCGGCCGAGGCCGAGGACCATTACCCCCTGGTGAATCTGAACTCCCTCTCACGTCTGAGTCGCCCATTTTGACACACTTTGAGCCATTTTTAGCAGTTCGGAGATGTCCAATATCCAGCTTTCAAGAGTTGCTTAAATTAGTCCTTATGTGAAGCCATGACACGCCTCGACGGGAATCTCGTAAATCAAATTCAGCATCATCTGGATCGTGGAGATTTTGAATCAGACAAAGCAATCCAGGAGGATAGGCCGCATCTACTGAATAGTGGCAATTCTCGCTCTCATCCACTAATTTTCTCAATGTTCACATACACCAAGATGCGCTCAAAAGCTTAGGGCCCGTTCGGTCCCTTTTCAGATATTATCTGACCTGAAAGCCAAATTTCGATTTGCCCCTATCTCGAGGGGCACATCGAGATTTTGGTATCTCAGGGATGAAAACTACCGAACAGCAATCTGAAAAAGGTCAACAGGTGTCTGTTGACCCCTTCAAGATCATATTGCTGTTCGGTAACAACAATCTCCAAGCTGCATCTTTGCTCTCTATCTCATCCAAACCTCTAAAATGGTCATCCATGACCTTCATCGTTCTCTCGCTTCAACAAAACCTCATCGTAGGGAACTCGTGCAACGAGTGTGATAATAACACAAGTAATAATATCAATTAATTGTTTGTTTGGAGACACATACATGATCCAGGCTGTGGAATAGAGGGGTATCAAGAACATGAATAAAGAAAAAAAGAATAGGAAAACAAGAGGAAAAAAGCGGAAACAAACAAAACAAACGGAAACGAACAAAACAAAACAAATAAAGAAAAGAAAAGAAAAAGAGACAAAAGAAACAAAAAAGAAAAAACAAGGAGAGAAATGGTTGAATAAGTCGCCAGGTCATGACAAAGCTGAGCAAAGGATTGAAAGCTATCAAGAGGCGACATGAAAAGGGTATGTGTTGATAATGAGATGTGGAGAGAGAAGTGGATGATCAACGACGATGAGGGAGGGGCAGATAGAGATAGAGGGCCGAGATACAGCCTCAAGGCTCTATCTCTATCTGGTCAAATATCTTGATCTTGTTGATCAGATATTGACCCCAAATACTGGAACCGAACATCAATCTGGTTTTCACTTTTTGGTCGAGATTGGACCGAGATACTATCTGACAGTATGTAACACTTTTGGTGTGAAATTTCATCAGATAGTATCTGATCAGCGGGACCGAACGGGCCCTTATATCAAGGTGGTTTTCATGTGTATGATTATCTCAGTATCTGTTTTGAAAAGAGCGGCTTCAGCCGAGACATTCTCGATGCTATGCAACTACGCGTTTGACGGGGGCTCAGCAGGCGATCCAGTATGTTAGTCATTTTTATCACATTTTGGTTTCATCTAGGTCAGCTCAAGTGGTATTTGCTTTGAAACAGCTTGTTCGCAGGTCCGCAAGGAAGGAGATTATTACAATCGATATTGTAAAGCTGACACATGCACAGGTAAAGTTGCTCACGTTCCTCTCCATTTACAAGCACGCATCATGAATGACACTTCATTCATATGTGAATATCACAGTCGTAGGGAGTAAAGAGACAATGGTCCAAATGCCTTGTGGGAAGATCAAACGACATTGCGCGAAGTACTATCCTTCCGCCGACCCGCAGAAGCATAATATTTACAGTGAGTAAACATTTCCTTTCCAATCCTTGAAGCCATTGATAATTTTCTCACACAACTTCATCTTATGTTTTTACCATGTGTATGTTCAGTTTGTTTTGACAACTATGATCGCCAAGAGTTCAAATGTCCCCACGCCATTGGCGCATGGCCATACCTGGGTAAGGCACATTTTTCTGTTATTACGGAGAAGTTTGCACAACGAGTTATTGATCTCATCAGTATTTGTCTTTGATTCAATTCAATAGGGTGTTCAACATGTTGCGAAAAAGAAGATTACAACAAGTGCAAGTAATCACCTTTTGATTTACGGACTTGAGTGTACTGGGAATTTGGAATAAGAATTATAGGGTGTCAATGAAGTCGAATAAAAGCATACAAATGATGACTGATGTCATATATGTCGGAGATGAAATGGACCTTTTACGAGCTATGCGTACAGAATCCACCTGGAATAAAGCTTGAAGCGTCTTGAATTGCACAAGAATTGATGATAGATCTTTTAAAGATAAGCATGATGAACTTTAAATCTTTCCATATGCATATATAGTAATTTGAAACAAATCTCAATAAAATCTATATACTATGCTACTTGGCTAATTCTGGCCCTCAATGAGCTCTCATAGGCTCTCATCAACTGATTGCTTCTGAGATTCTGATGTCTTCGTTTATAAACAAATGATCTCCAATTAATTCGACAAATCGACCCTCATCACCGCTTCAGATCAGATGATTTTGATTTGGGTCCAACCGGAGACTACTATCTTGGACGTCGATTGGTCCTCTATAGCTGGCAAAGGTATTGCCAGGCAGGAGTGACAGGAATGCTATTGAGTACGTTCAAATGTGAACATAGGAGACATATCACAATTCTGGGCATCTTGAGATGAACCTCAAATGAAGTGCTTTGTTTCAATGACAGCACAAGTGGATTTATGGCATTATGTCAAACTCAAAATGCAACGGAATATCAGAAAATAATTTGAAGTAAAACTATTTGAAGTATGGACCAGGTTCTTTTAGTAGTCTTCCTTGAGGCAGTTTTTTTGGATGGTTGAAGTGAAACATGTGGATCCTTTATTTCTGGAGCATGGATGGATCTTCTTTAGCTTAACGAGAGTCAAGACACAGCCGTGCGTAGAGATCTTTGTCAAGCTAAGCCTTCTGTGGTGGGTACATATGAAATAGTTAATCAATTGCTTGGTCGGTTTGGTACCCAATAGCTCAGCTGATAAAGCACATGTTCAGATGATTGTAAAAGAGTTGTCTGATGGTTCTTCAGAGGTACGGGAAGCATACTAAAAATTGAGGGGATGGTAGAATTTAGAAGGAGATTATATGGCGTTGATGTTGCCCGGTGATGTTGCATTGCCGGTGTTGGATAATATTTTAAGAGCCTTTGAAGGCCTTTGATCAATAGAACTAAACTCATGGGTTTATTTCAGTTCTCAGATATTCTTATCCTTCAGCCACCTCACAATACCACCCAACATACCTATAAACAAAGGAGGTAGAGTTGAAGACTGTTGAAGAGATGTGTCGGCCACTGGCTGTGCGACCACCAAAGTGCATTAGACCACGTAAATAGACCACAACGGTCCAATTCCAATTTCAGAAGTAACTTCCCCACATGTTCCCGTGGTCCCCATGTACAACACGATGTCTTTCAAAACCCACCTCAATATATTTGTGATGTACATCACACTGTCATTCCTTATGGAAATCAACTCGGTCAGCGGCCTAGACTGTCCCGCTGGATTCAATAAGGGGGACCCAGCCGGTGAATCCTTTTTGATATAGACTGTCGTTGTCATCTGTTCTGATCCTTTCTACTTTTCACACAGCTTGTGCGCAGACTATTGCAGGGTATGGAACCTACAATTGTCCATATGCGCGATGTGGCCATGCTGGTGAAGTCCTCCAAAACCTCTTTATTTCACACTCATGATATTTACAACAATTTCTTCTGTGGATGTGATCACCAAAGGACATAAGTGGATATGGATGTACAATTGTGTGCTTTATGGTTCCGATCAGACCGGAGTAAGTAACCAACAATGCGAGGAGTATAATTATCTCAGTGACGGTATTTTCAGTCAGTAGATGATTCTCTACCTTTTCATTCTTCATACTTCAATTGATCAACACCTTTGCTGAAATCAACTCCATGAATCTGAACTTTTTTTGATCAACATTTGTTTAGCTTGTTGGAACCATCACAGTATCCTTTATACGTGCCCCCATAAGGTGACTGACACATCAATATGTAGGCCAACTTTTTGTGATTTTGAAGAAGCTCAGAAAATGTGCCATTGATGTCATCCGTCTTTGCTTTTGACTCGGTAGCTTGTGAAGGTTGCAGCTTAAACTAAGGGCCTCGCGCGGCCACAGGTTTATCACTATTAGTATTATTGCAAGTCATTGATGTAAACCCTTGATCTTTTGAGACATCCAATATGATAAAAGAGCCTTTTGATGTCTTGGTGATCCAATTTCATAACAAGTCTTACGTGTTACTCCAAAGGACTAAACAAGACATTGGTGATTTTTTTATTGTTGAATAAGAAGTGTACCAAATTTGTACATTTTCTGGTTGTCAGAAGTCCAAGTCATATTGAAGTTTATTGATACTTCTGCACCGCCTTCCAAAGCTATTGTAACTCCATGAAATTATGCCCATGCAAAAGTGTTCCAAGAATTTTATCAGAATATGGAAAATTGGAGGAAAAATATAACAATTTGTGTTTTTACTTTTTGTAAAATTGATGAACTTGCATCCTATATTCAGACAGAAATTGACATACAAGAAATTGACATACAATATGCCAAATCTCTGCACCACAATTAGTTTGAGAATGATTTTTGGTGCTCTCAGTTCAACCTCAGCATGAGCCCCGCTCGCTCGGGAGCGGGGACCGGCGAAAATCCACCCCAAGCACTTTTTGGAAATGCATCCCGGCTTCCAAGCCGACCCCTCCCCGTCGGGGATCTTCATGTACATCTTCAGACCGTCCCCCGCCACCGAAAATTGGGGGCCTACCGAAATATCGGTTCCCCGTCGGTTCCCCGTCGAGTGTTAGTCGGTAGAGCTTGCTAGATCAAAAAAATTCATAAATCTGCTTCACGAGCAAGTTCCGGCTGATATTCTACTGTTTCGTACAGGTATTTCATTGTATTTGATTCCTTATACTGATGTATGAGTTGTTACGAGGCCTTCCTCACCTTTCATTTCTCCCTATCTGCCCTCGATTCTACAGCTCTCTGCTATAGCTCGGTTCCCCGATAAAAACCGGGGATCCTCATACTCTTGCCCGGTCCCCGCTCCGTCGGAGTCGGTACGGTGCCGGGGGGCTGAGATACCTATCCCGAGGCACCGTACCGACGGTACGGAAGCCGGAGATCCCCGAGCCCGCGGGAAACGGGGCTCATGCTGAGTTCAACCGCATTCAAACTCATCTTCACCTGATTGACTTGAAATTTGTGGGTAGTCAGTCATAAACTTGGCTTGCAGTAGAAAGTTGTGAAGACTTTCAATGAAACCAAATCAAATACATGAGGTTGTTGTATTTACATTCAGCTTGAGAATATTGTTGGTACAAGCATGGCATTTTTGTGCTATGCATAATATGAGACATTTACGGGATACAAAGTAGAAAGCCGGGCATGTGCCCGGGCACGCCTGCAGCTTTGAATCCCCGGTCACTCAAATTCAGACACCTTTGCTAACTCCAAAGCTTCGATTTCGCTCAGCACCAATTCCATGCCTCGGTTCACGCAGAAGCAAGACCTCAGACGCTCGATTCAAGTCGAACGCCACTCAAGAAAATCCCTGCGGCACAACAACCTACCCCTCCTTGCTACTTTTGGAGTCGATACAGCAGCTGTCCAGTTCCTATTCCGGATGCTTCACGCGCTGAAGCTCTTTTGCCAAGGTGTCACCAACAATGATCAAACTGATCAAAAGAAGGCCTCTCTTATCACTCTGGTCAGTCTTCTTGAGTTGCTACCCGCCTTGGATCGCAACTACAACCTCCTTTGATTGGGATATCGTCTTTGAGAACAGGCCTCCTCTGAGCTTGAGGTCCTAGACAAAGCACTCAGCATCTTAAATAACAAACGGTATGTTTTGAACAGGATCTCTCGTGGCCGCCAGGAACTGCGAAATGCTTGGTTCTCTCAAGTTCTGTTGGAAGGTGGTGATGGTTTCATCAAGCTGGTATGTGATAAATCGTTCAAAATAAGTTATATTTCATGCTACTAATCCTGGTTTTTGGAAGGTCCGAATGTCCAAATCAGCTTTCAACAACCTCATCGATTTGATAGAGGACAATCCGGTCTTTCATAATAACTCAAACATGAAGCAAGCTCCTGTTTGGTGGCAGGCAAAGGTGGCACTTGCAAACTTGGGAACAGCTGGTAATGGTGGAGACCATTTTCATCTGGCACAAATGTTCAACTGCTCAGGTTTGTTTCTCTATCTCAGTTTGATTTTTAGGAACTAATATTTGGTTTTGATATTGAACGTTCTAGAAGGTAGTGTCCAAAATTGGACAAACCTTTTCATCCTGGCTGTACTTGATTTGAAAGGCACATACATGCGGTGGCCCACTCCTGAAGAACTTTCAGCTCTTAAAAATCAAACACGCTCAATGTCATATTTCAAAGATTGTGTCGGATTTGTAGATGGTACTTACACTCCCCTGGCAACAGCCCCGCGTGCTACACCTGAAGATTATTGGACACGTAAAAATTTTTACGCTTACCACCCCCTTCGGTAACGCATATGTAACATGTGCGACCAAATATGCACCACCAAAAATGCGCAGTGATATTTGGTGGCACATGTGACCCAAGATTTTCATTCGGTAAACCCGAGTGCAACAAAAGGTGCACACGTATTTTTGCATATATATGCAAAAATTGTGCATATTTGTGAAAACGACTTTTTTGTCATTTTTGCTTTTGATATATGCAACTTTGCGACTCTCTATCGCTCTCGTTTCTCACCTCATCAACGCCTGATCGCATCGAAAAGCTGCGAAATAAGCGAAAAATTGCGCTGCGGATACAAAACCTCATTGCATAAATTCATTGCGCTTCGTTGAGAGCGCAATCCCGGTCAAAAACATGTCATTTCGTTGCGGAGGATCTCAACAAAGCGCAGTGAAGTTTTTTCTTTTGCAACACAAATAAATTGTGAAAATGGCTTCCAAAAAGCCGGGACAAGACCTTTGATTTCAAACCAACAAATCAGACGGAGGGGATAGATACAGAGCAAAATGAGGTGTTTAAAACACACACAAACACTGAAAGGCTTTTTGACGTAATGAAAAATGTATCTAAAAGGTTCTCTTGCCCTTCTTTTGCCTTCCCATGATCTTCTACGCAATGCGCATGGCCTCTCCATAGTCTCCCGGAGGCATAAAGCGCTTTTTCAACCACTCGCATAGTCCTACAGCGCGCTCGATGGTTTGTGAGGCCAAACCACCTCGATCAGCTGTAATCACATCGGCAGCAGCACTGAAAGTGCGCTCACAGGCACATGAAGTACCTACACAGCAGAGGTAGTCACGTGCTAGTAAGGCCAAATTTGGGAAATGCTGAGCATGACACTGGCCAGGCAAAAATCAAGTCAGGATAAGAGAATATCAAATGAATGGAGCAATTGATTGAAAATGACTTACTGCCCACCAATGCAATATGTCTTGATTGTCATCGCACATATATTTTCCCAAAAGGTAAGCTTGAAGTTCCGCGTCTCCAGGTTGTTCTGGGGCATTTTGCGAAGCAAAGATGTTTCGCTCCTTGAATATGTTTTGAGGTGTTGCTTCAGATGATTCCGCTTCAGCTACCTTGGATGTGGTGTCGGGTGGGTTATCCTCAAGTAACTCTTCATACGCGTTTGTCAATACATCGTGTGCCGACTTGCTGCGATCAGGATATAAGGTTTCAAAGAACTTGCCGCGAAATTTCGGATTCAGCATGGTCGCCAGAATGATTGCGTGACAGTGAAGGGCTTCTTCTTGATAATTTTGAAGTCGAGAAATCATGATGCCGATCCTGGCCAGTTTTTGGTAAGGAGTCTTGGATTTGATAGCCTTGAGTGCCCTGATAGTGGTGGTATATTGGAACAATACTGATCCAGCGTTGGGAGCATCACCCTCCATGCATTTGGTAGAGGAATGGAAGATCTGAATTGATCGATCAATGACATCAAGTATCAATAAGGGAAAAACTGATTTCAGATGAAAATGAAACTACCCACAATTAGCACATTTTTAAGCGCCTCAACCATCTTCCAGTCCTCTGGAGAGATACATATACCATCAAAGTTGTTGTCCCTGTCCTTGTTCAACATGCGATTGACAATCTACAACAAAGATGGTCAGTTACATCCAAAGTTTCCAATTTAACATGTTTCACATACCTTCTTGGCCTTCAGCAAACGCTCCAACATATCCAAGAAAATGTTCCAGCGCTGACCGTGGGCTGCAATTAAGCCTGGTCCAGTGTATGATTCTTCTTTTGCAATGGCACGGAAAAGTTGCATCATTGGTCCGTTCCTTGTAATAGTTTTGTTCACTTTTGAACACTGTTCAAACAAAGTTGTGAGCTGCGAAACAAATGCAAGTATATCAAAGGAGATTAAACTTGCCTTGTGGATTGCTTTTGAGAACAAGTCACCTGAAACAATCTCGGTGGCTTCAATTTTGTCAGCCAAATCATTGTCGTTGACATCGGATTCACTATCTCCGACACATGGATCCGGGTTATCTTTGGATGGTGGTTCTTCAAGGTCTTCATCGCCATCTTCAACTACATCATCACCATTGTTCAAGACAATTGTCGGAGGCTTGTTGTTTTTGGGTAGATCGGGTAACAGTAGACAAAGTTTGCGTCCTCTTGGCGCGGTTGGCTTAGAGGCTCCGGATTGAACTTTGAGACTTGCAAGACCATCCTTCACAGTCAATGCGAGCTTGTGAGCATAGCATCGGATCTGATGACGGCTGGAATCCCAGTAAACTGCATCTTCCGCTGAAAGAAACATATCCTGGAGTTCATTAGCAGTAAGGGTATTTGTGCCCCCGGAGTTGGTGGTTTGAGCAACCACGTGGGTATCAAAAAACCAAGCAAGATACAAGGTTAGTTTTGAAAACTAAAGATCAGCCATTAAATAAAAATGCTTATCTTTTTGTGAAGCCCATGCCTGATGAGAAAACGACCAACCGGGCGAGCGAGGAGAGCGCCATAATGGTTCCAAGCAACCAACTTGAGAGTCAAATGGTGAACGTGGAACTTCCAGTTCTTGTCAATGTACAACACAGACACACCGATGAAAGCTTGGCAACCACGCTTGGTTGTCCATACGTCGTGGATCAAGCAAAATTTTCCGGGTAGGTTCTACATAAAAAAAATCAGATCAGATGATGATTGAATGATACAACGGAGAAGAAAAACTAAACTCACCTTTAATTTTTGAATTATGTCATTATGCATACCTTCGTAGATCTTCATTGCTTCTCTTGCTGCCCAAGCTGGAGTGTACAAAACAGCTGACGGATTGGCAAAGTGGAATGCTGCAATGAGCAACGGATCAGCCATGCGATTCCAAGGTAGTGCTTGTCTGACTAGCCAGAGGACAAGCATGCAGTTCAGCAACCGTACGGTGAGCTTCGGTATCTCCAGGAAAGCATAAAGAAGTGTCGTCTTTGGTCCTTCAGCATCTTTTTTGGCGGCTTCAACTTTCTGTTGATAAGATGGAGGTAGTTTAACACCAGCTGATATGGCTTTGTCTTGAGATTGACAGTGTTTACGGCCTACTGCACCATCTCGGTGACCTTGTAGGTCGAAGTGATTGGTTTCCCCATCCTGATAGGACTTACCACACCACAAACATGGGTACAACTGCTTCTCGGTGTCTTCAGGCTGAGACAAAGGAGAGATCAAGAGAGTGAGATAGAGTGAAATAGAAAGAAAAGAAATGTCAGTAAACAGTGATCTAAAATGAATCTCAAAGGTCACTTACATGTGCAGGATCGAATTTAGGATCATCATAGTAATCAAAAAGCTTGTCGGGCTCTTCAGTTTGCTCAGCTTTTCCAGGTTGATTATTTTTGGGGTTGGGAACCATCTCAATGTCGGAATCATTATCAACCATTTTAGCAAGTGCCTTTGGGACTTTTGAACGCTGAACAAATGAAGAAAAGTTACCAAACATGAATCAGAGGTAAGAAAAACATCAATAAACACCTTTTTTTGGCTTTTTGCCCGAGCCTTTCCCTTCTTGTTTTTTGAAACCTTGCCTTTCTTCTTTTTTTGCTTGCCCCCAGATCGCGATACCGTGGACTCGGCCGAAGAAGATTCTTTGTCTGATGAAATCTCGGCTTTGTCACTTGTAGGGTCGTCATGAAGTATCTTGATGGGACTTTGGCGAAGAGGAGAAGGTACAGCCAGACGCGAGTCCCGTGGCTGGGCAACAAAGCCTGGGGCCGTTTGAGTTGCTTGTGGGCTACGCGGACGGAGGGTACGGCTTCCAGAAGGTGAAGGGGGATGTAGCAATGATGAGGATGATTTGGCGCCGGCGGCTGATTCTTTTGCAGCCTTCTCAGCTTCAGCGCGGGCTTGGTTTGCAGCCTTGAGGGCTGCAGCAGCGGCCGCACCTGGTTTATAGCAAGCCATGACAGGAAAAGATGATAAGGAAGTGGAAAATCATAAAAAGTAAGGTGATGGATTTTTGACAAACAGTCAAGCAGTGCTTTTTCAAAACAAGAGAATTTTTTTGGTCAAAATGTGAGTGTATCTTGACCCCTTGCTGATAGTGTCTCAGCAGTCTGCTGTAAAGACAAGCACATGGATACAACAGGGGTAATAGACTAACCACACTACTGGTGCTCCATCCTCACGAGAAACAAACTAAACTCTTTTCTTTTTAACTACGCTATCTTAGTCTGACTTGGCAATGCATGGTTTTTCTGTGCTTGTGAAACTCTGAGTGTGAAGAAATCAACTACTGTTTATGTATGTACTTTACCATCCCAATACAGTGCGCAATGCCCTGTTTTTTGCCATTTTGTTGTGAATATCCGCAATGACCTCACTGCATAATACCATTGCGTTGCGGTGTACCGCAACATGTAATATGGTCATTGTAAGTGCGCTGCTACGCAGTGCAGCACACTAAAATTCGCAAAAAATTTCGCTGGTGGTTAGGCGTTGACCTCATCATGGTAAGTTTTTTCTTACTTGTCTCTTTTCCTCTTTTTTTCCATCTTCTTTCCCTCAACACTCAATACCCACCCTCTGCCTCACTAATCTTTTCGATTTTTTCACTCATCCTGTCTTTCTAACATTTCTCCCTTTTGGTCACTCTTCACACTGATTCCAACTTGACTCTCTTTGATCGCCTCGCTTTACCTATTTTCACTCAATCTCAACATTATCAACTTGGCACAACCCTCATGCATCTAAATCAAAAATTCAATTAATCAAAACCAAATCATAATCGATTGAAACCAAAACCATATCCTTCACATTGCAATATCATTCATTTGATTTGGAATCTTTCAATTTGAGAAATTATTAATTTATATCAAGATCAAGTCATATTCAATCAAAAGCAAATCAAAATCATATTATTATGGGGACAAAACCAGGCGCTGATTTAAGACACTGATGTCATCATATCATTTTACCACTTTGAATCATTTCAGATACAAAAAGGATTTGGGAATTTTATCCTTTACATGATTTGTATGGTCAAATTAATTTATACTTGTATTCTTCGAATCGGTTTGTTGTTTACATAGTCTTTGATTTTTTCAATTCAAGATTCTCATTTATCCACAGAGATCTTATCTTCTCTCTCTTGCATTGGGATTTCCTTGAAAGGTTTGTTTGTTGAATTGCTTTTTGGATCCGATAGAAAGTTGAATATTAATGACACTGTCACCCTCAAAGGAAGATGAGCAAGACAAAGGGGAGATGAGAAGAATCGAGTTATTTGTACTCGATTCACTCAAAGATAGCAAATTATCACGTTGAATGGCTCCAAGGTCATTTCTACCGAATGGCAAACAAGGGTAAACTTGTCAATGATTGTAAAATGCAACCTTTGAACACTTTACCGAACGTCTTCACATGAAGAAGAATATACATACACACACGATGAGAAAATTTCTCACCGTGATACAAAAGTCACATATGTAACTTTATGCAACTTTTGTTACCGAAGGGGGTGTACAACGTCATGCTTGTATGCAATATTCATTGTTGAGTGACTTATTACGAGTTGGGCTGGTGTGGCAGTGTTCATGATCAAAGGGTATTCCGGTCTTCACAAGTGAGTAGATCAATTCTTTAAATTGTTAATCTGTTTTTATTAACTTTTACCTATTTTGTTGTCTATTCAGTTGTTTAAAAATCCAGACGATTATTTCGATCGAGGAGAATGTCTCCTAGCCAACCCAGCTTACACAGTTTCAGATGTAGTTATACCCTGTCTAAAGCGCTGCGTGGGTCACAGTCTTTGGCCTGAAGAAGAGGCCTTTAACAAGGCTATCAGTGCTTTGTGAGTGATAATCGAGCATTGTAATGGGATGTTGAAGGGGCAATTTCAATCTTTGAAAGAGCTTAGATTGGTAATTAGAGACGCTGTGACTGCCTTGCATGCTAATCAGTGGATTGAGGTCTGTTTGATAATACATAACTTTCTCATTTCTATCAAGGAGTCGTGGTCAGATGTATTAGGAAATATCAGTGAGGCTCTGGAATATGATTCACGGGTTCGACGTGGCCCTGCAGATGCAACTACTTTTGAAGATGATCATATTTTGAGAAGGGATTGTGATACTCGGAGAAGGGATTGATTATTTGCATATTTCATAGCTTCAAGACCTGCATTTTAAAAAGATTCTTACAGTTCAATCCCCATGCGTGTCAAATCATTGTTTTCAAAGGTTTCTTCTATTTGTCAATTGTTGTCTTGTCTACCTTTAACTTTCCTACTTTCTTTTGAAGTTTGTTTTATCTCTCAAATAGTATAAATGTGAACAAATTTCAAAGAATATGTATTGGATTCAACAAAAAAACATTTGAGATTTACTTAACAAAAGTGAGAATTGGTATCTCAAGTCTTCTAAGCACACAGAAGTTTTTTCAAAAAGCACATGAGAACAACTTAGAATAAAGGATGGTGAAATTATCTATCTTACAACCAAAGAGACATTTTGATTACATCCTTTAATTGATTTGGTCAAGACTTCGATTACATCCTTTAATTGATTTGGTCAAGACTTCGATTACATCCTTTAATTGATTTGGTCAAGACTTCGATTATATCCTTTAATTGATTTGGTCAAGACAACATGTTTAAGGTCTACAAAAGTGATAGCAATAATCTAAACTGGAAATAAACAACAATCAGGACTTTTACAGTGGAATTATGAATTTAGCAATCTGTCTGAAGAAAGATTTGGAAAAAAAAGTCAGAATGATATGCATCAATATGAAAATTAATTACAAGAAACTCACCCGGTGATCATTCACTTGAACTGGCAGTTGATTGCATCATAGCTTGCGCTTGTTGAGCTGCGAGCATTGCATCTTGGAGGCTGAGATTGTGATCTTTCATCAAAGAGCTGATCAATTGAGCGTTTTTAGCTACTTGTTGATGTTCTAATTCCGCTTTCATTTGTTGCATCTCCAGCAAATGCTTCTCCTTCTTTGAATCTAAATCAAATTTGGCACTACTTAAGTTGAGATTGGCTAAATCAAGTTCTATTTTAGATTTTTTTTTGACTTCTTCCGGAGTAAAGATGGTTTGAGTCGGTTGTTGTCCATAAATTGAGGTACCCATTTTTTCCGCGACTTTGGCCAACCTTTCCATGCTTTGACCATGCTTGGCAAAAGCAGTGTGTTCAATCGATTCCGTCAATTTGACGGCTTGAGCAGACGAAGAATCAAAGTTGTGGTCTTCAAATAGACCCTGGATCGACGAAGCCGAACCAGAAGTTCGGCCACGCTTGCTGAAGGATGATTGACTCAGTGGGTCCCAGGGTGTTTGGGATCTTGAGCGTTTGAGTGATGAGGAAGAACATTGAGCTTGAGGTTGGACAGAAGCTGAATCTCGAGTGCTTTGCGGTGTTGGCGTAAACGGCACTTGACTTTCTTCAATCAGCTCATTGTTATCATTCAAGAGGTTTCTGAAATCGTCCATAGTCGGATCCTCTGAATCATCTTCATTTAATTCAATCGGCAAAGAATCTTTGATGGCTGTGGGTTCCATTCCATTGTGGTTTTCTTCATGCACTAGATTCGAGTTCACCGAATGTTCTCTTGCATTGTGGCGCTGGGTTTGAACTCCAATTTCGGCGTCTTCAGTCGTCGCAGGTAAACCACGCGCCACAGCTAGTCTGACATTAGCATGTCGTTTCTCACAGACAGGCTCGAGTTCAAAATAATATTTGCACTTCTTCAAGATAGGTGCTAGGAAGGATCTGAGATGAGAAATGAGAAACAGATATGAAGCAAACAATGCAAAAATAAAGTATGATTGCTTACTAAGTGCCGTCTTCTTTATTTTCAGCCAGTCAGGATCTTTGTCAGCCCAACCGTTTGCAGTTTTAACTTCCTGTGCTGTCTTCAAACTCCCGGCACCAGTCTTGTTACGTTCTCCATCAGCTTTTTTGCCAAGCTTCCTCTAATCGGCCAATCTGTAGATCAAAATATTGAGAATTAGACTTGAAAAAATATAACATATGAACGTACCTTTTTGCAGATAGTATTCGCATCTCGCCAAGTTATTCCATTTGCAATCATGTATTGTTCAATCTCTTCAGCCACAGTTCTCTTTTCTGATTTGTTGTCTTTAAATCTACTAAAATTGGATTCATCTGTAAGCCATTCGATCAATAAATACATTGAAGTTTTTCCCTGTCCGTTATCATCGCTATCCCAATGAGTTGTTGTCTTATTGCCTTTGTCATCTTCGTCTTCAGAGCTTCCATTGTCGTTTTTTGGATTTTTGGAGTTTTTTGATTGTCGTTGACGGGGTTTAGCCTTTGACTTACGAGGCGAGCAAGGTTTTGCTTGAGCTCCTTTTGATTTACGAGGCATCTTTTGTTTTGTCGTTTTACTTTTATTGGTTGAACCGCCTGATTGAGCTAGTTGAATTGCTCCAGTGAGGACTTGGCTGAGCGTCGAAGGATCCAATTGTAGTTGAGTAGGAATGGGATCCGGTTCGGAAGATGGAACAAGGGAGTGGATGGTATCTGAGTTTAAGTCTTGAGAGGACGACATGACTATAAAATTTAATTTAGGTAATATGGTGTTCTTTGACTGCGTGGTTTGAGGGGATGGAAAGGGGTGTGCGGTTTCTGGGCGGAGAACTGGGCAAAAAACTGGGTGTCGACCTGGGAGTTTTTGTTTGCCCAGATTTCTGGATGATTCTGGAAATCTGGACTTCTGGGCACGTGCCCGGCTTTCTACTTTGTATCCTGTAATTGAGGTAAGCCCATAGAGTCAATTTGTCATTAGAAGATATTTAAATTGTTTGAGTGCTATTCAAACATGGATCTATTGTATTTGGAGCATGGAATGTTGAGATGATGAATTGAAAAAGTTGTCTGATGTGATTTCCAATGTATACATACAATCTTCCAACATTTGGTGTACGGCATATTGAGGTGCGGTGGCCCTGGGGCAAAACCACTGCCACTCCTTTCTGTAACCCATGATTTTGTGTTTGATGTTTTGTGATTTGTACAAATTTTCAATCTGTATGTGAAAGACCAATACAGACTACAGTTATGACAATCAACAATAAACACATATTAATTGATTTCAAGCACATATTGATGATCAATACTAATCTATTGATGATTGATAACAATCACCTTTGCTTTACAATTGGAGGTGATGCCAACAGTTTTTATTCTTGCTGGCAATGTTTAATAGCAAGTTCTTTTTGAATTACAAGCTAAAACATTTGGTCATTTGGAACATCCAAACCATTTAATTCTAAATAGCAGTGGATCAAATTAAACCACTGTCTAATCAGGACTTCTGGGTGCTATTTAGGGGGTACACAAATAAAACCCAGACTTTGAGAAACACAAGCGTGCAAGGGCTAGCTAGCCAGGGATTATGATCCCTCCTGATGTGCGGCTTATCTTGCTTCCACATTTTTATTAAAAATAAAGAACTCTTCTGAATCATAATAAACCCATTCATCCAGTCAAGAGCAACTGTCTTCCTGGGAGCAGGACACTGCTGGAAGGAATCTTCTATCCTTCCAGTAAGGTGCTAGGTTTCTATGCAAAATTGCTGCTCTTGCTCTTAGCAATCCTGTGCCAGCCCACACCACAGCATTTAACATACCTTAGATCCAAGACTTAGCTCTCTATACTCAAGGTGCCACCCGGCGACAGATATCCGTTGGTGCATCTGTCGGATACGGATGTCAAATAGGGGCTTGGAGCTATCCGGTGGCCGGATAATCCGGCCAGTCCGGTTGTTGGATGGAGGAGCAGAAAAAACAGTGTTCTGCCGGATATCCGGCGGTTATTTCATCATTTGGCAGGCTTGGTTTCTTAGGATGTAGATGACAAAAGAATAGAAAAAAGGAGGGGGGGATGAGAAAATAAATACTATTCTTCTTCACCCTCAAGGTCAATAACAGCAGGAAGTTTCAAAGGTCCGAAGATTGTTTGCCAATCTTTTACACATAAAAGAGTCTTAACATGTAGACTTGAGAGGTTACTACGCTGAGGCCCCAAGATTCTTTTGGTCTGGTTGAATTGCCCCTCTGACGGGCAGCTAGTTGCCGGGATTGCCAGAAACTCCATTGCCATGTTAGCCAAACCAGGAGAGATGGCTACTCAATCTTTTCAAAAGTTCAATACATGTTGGTCACAGTTTTTGAGCTTATCCCCAAGGTATTGAGTGATCTCAGCTTGAATTGAATGCATTTGCAAATTGTCTTGGGTGCCAAAAATTGCATCTTCAAAATACTGAGGAGTAGACGTCATAGCAGTTGATGGTTTTTTGCTAGTAATCAATGTTGGAATTGGTGCATTGGTTTCAAATTGGATGGCTTCTAGTTCAAACATTGACCTAAAATCCAAAATGGTGATGTGATACTTGGAAAAGATTGTTGCACGTTCCTTTTTCAAAGCAAATGATGATCAGTACAAAGTTAAGTCAGAAAAGGTAGAAATGAACTCACTTGAAAATAATTCAACTTGAGACGTGGATCCAGGATGGTGGCACATACCGGTGCAGGTTTGGCAAGTACTTTCTTGAAGTAATCTTCAAGTTTAGCTATTGTCTTGTTTGCAGCAGTTTGTAATTGATCAAAATCGTGTTTGCCAATCACCTATGTGTACAGTCATTCAGATTAGCAAATTGGAAAGTAAAGTACACGTGAGTTTAAAACAAAATACTTACGTCTTTGAGTCCTTGTAAGACTGTGATATAGATTGGAACTATTTGATGCATTGTTGGGAACTTTGATTTACAAAGTATCTTGGTGGCTTCACTGAGTGGTTCCAAGAAATCACACATCTGTTTGACGTATTTCCACTCAGTAGGTGACAGAGCAGACTTTTGAGAATCTTGACCCTTGCAGAACTTGTCACATGAGTCTTGGAGTCGCAGAAGTCTTTGAAACATATGAAAAGAAGAGTTCCATCTTGTTGGAACATTAAAAATCAGTCAATTTGCGGTGTTAGTAGGATATCTTTGAACTGGCTCCACGTGGTCAATAGTTGGATCTTTTGACATGTAGACAACAGCCTCATTCTTGGCAGCCAGTCTTTCAGCAGCCTCTTTCTCCACAGCAGTAAGAGGGGTGGCTGCACCCAAAGTGTTATTAGCAGGGGTCGAATCACTAGCAGTGTTGGTGGAATTGTTGGTGGAAGCTGCAGAAGCCATTGCAAGAGCCAAGTCACGTCTCATATTGACAATTTCACCAAATACCTTTAAGCCCTCTTTGGCAGAGAGGTTGATCACATGAGCTACACACCCAGGAACCTGGGTCTTATGATCAAAGTCTTTCCTTCTGTCGATCCAATGAGTTGACCAATTGCCGCGTTTGTACTAATGTTGTCCGCAGTCATTGCGCTCACCTTGCTCAATAGATTGTACTTTTTCAAGTAGTTGAGGATGATGCTAGCAAAGTTGTTTGCATCATGTGCACCTGGAAGATCACATCAGTCATGTTGAGATATTTCATCAAAAAGGGATGAAAACGTACCTTTGATTTCAGCAATACCTAGAGTAAGATCCATGAGTTCCCAATTGTTATTGATAAAGTGACCAGTGAGAGACATAAATGGGACATTGTTTGGCAACATCCAAGCATCTTGAGTGATTGAAATTGATTTGCAAGGTGCAAAGTAAAGCCTCTTGATGAAATCCTGTAGTGATAATAAATCTGGCGCATATGATTGGCGGTGGCCGTGCATTTGACAAGCATACCGGTGTAAGGGTATACCTTACAGGTAGATCTCAGTGCTGTAGTCATGGGGTATGGGCTTAGACATCAAGAGCGTAGTCATCTTAGCTGCCCTGGCTCCTGAGTGAATCTTCTCCTTAAGGAGACTCTCCTATCAACACTGCCACTATACTATACAGTATTGTGATACTGTAGTATAGTACTGAGTTTTCAATACTATACTTTCAAAGTATAGTATTGAACTGTCTTTTTATATACTATACTTTTGAAGTATAGTATTGGAAACTCAGTACTATACTGCAGTATTGATTATAGCATTACTTTTGCTAAAAAGTTTGGCCCAATCGAGAAAAAATAAAACAGAATGTAGACCCAGAATCCGCCGCAGCAGAGAGAAAATTTTTGGGGTGCTGTGGGCTGTGGTGTGAGCACCCATCAATTTCCCAGCTGCCGCCAAAAAAAATTCATACATATTCTCCATATCCCGGTTGATCACTTCGTTTTCCTCATTAACAAGCTTGATCGTCTAGAAAGGATGAACTGTCGTTAGAGAAGATTGTCATTGTACATGTAGGAAGTAGATCAATGAATTCTAGATAAAATTGGTGTAAAAATTGAAATCCTTTCAATCTTCTTCATAGATCACAGGCAAATTGATCAATTTTGATCTTAATGAAAAAAATGAGTCTCTAGATTACATAAGAGAGCTGCGATTGTCCACAATCTCTTCCATAGGAACAAAGGATGGGGGATTAGTTTTTACCAATCAAAAGCAGTTGATGTTTGGAT